ACAACATGATTACAACGCCCCTTAATAACTTGTTGTTGTCGGCTTTTGAATATATGTGTCCTTGTCTTATTTACTAGTTTAATTGTAGGAAAAAATGTGCACTAATAAAAACAACAATCTAGTGCACATAATACCTTATATAACACATAATACCACAGATCATAAGGCCCTTTGTTACATAATTCGAGAGTTCTCAATTTCATGTAATATAAAAGGTAACATGTCATTAAAACCGTTGTATATCTATACTATTACTATAACGAGCTAATATTTGATTATTTTTTGATTTATTTGTGTGTTCGGAAACTATCATCTAATAGCTTCCGAAACTATTGAGTCATAGCTTCCGAAACTACTGATTACCGATTATATAAATTTATTCACTTACAGGATTCACGTTTGATATATTTAACGCGGGAAAGTCGCGAAAAAAGAACTAGTTCTTAAGTAATTAAACAATTCCCGTAGTTTTGATAGAGAATCAAAAGAAACTTGGACTTGAATCCTTCGATCTTGCTGAAAACGAAATCTTTATCGATTCACGCGAAGGTTGTTGACAAATGATAAAAGCAAAAACTCGGTCTAGTTACTCTTGTACATTTAGGGTTGGCAGATCTCGAAAAAGGGTAAATACAAAATACTAAATCGATTGCAAAGTAGCCTCAGAAATAATTCCGTAAACATTTTTTTGCTCGCCAACATTTTCCAAGCCGCAGAAAGACCGTATCAATTTTTTCGAGTTCAATTTTTTTGTAATATTCACTTTTTAAATTTTGCCTAGATATTTATGTGTAACTGACAACCTTATGCTATCGATATAATGAGTGCTATTCTCTATTGAATAGTTAAAAGCGTCTACTGAGACGTTCTAGACCACAGTATGAAATAAAAGGTAAAAATCATGAAAAACGATCTCGTATCGTTGAATGAATGACCAACACCTTCACTCTGAACTGCTTTTAAAGATTTAATGACACTCCTCTATAGTCTGCTCAATAACGACACAGGCAACATCACATCAACTTATACAAAAGCGTCAAACTTCATTTAATGTTAAACTTTTTACATTGAAAGAAGAGTTCCAACTCGATTGTGGAATTTGATATTTAGTGACTTGATGTGGTACTGTATATTGATAGATACACAATGTTACATCTGCGTTTCGTGACCACGAATTTACGCATGGAACTATACCTAGACAAATAATCTTTTATCGCGTCATTTATCGACTACATAACATTTCCAGCTACCACTTTGCAGCTATTAAAAATAAATATAAAACATAATAATATTTAAGACGACATTATCTATGAACCAAAGCTCTCTTTAATACTTACTATTTGGTTGATATTATACTCAGCTCAAAAAGGTTTCGGACCCCTGCGTAATAGTACCATATCTTAAAATTAGATAGTGTCTTTAGCATCCTTAAAAAGTCGTTTACATAATTTCGACATAACTACCGAACATTTTAGGGTTGATCATATGACGTAATATGTGTCGCATTTCATTCGGTCAACATCAGAACAGACAAAAATATACTCAAATGATATTACATTCAACAGCATATTTCACTGAAACGCTTGAGGTATGTTCCGTTCAGATGTGATCTGACTGCGCATTTGACTTCTCCCGTGGAAGAATAATTTTCAATAGTCTGTTTATCAAACTATGTGTATCTATCTCATTCTTCATTTCGATAAACCCATCATGGCTCGTGTGGGTGATCTAACTGAGGCATAATTCACCAACATTAAAGAAATAATAATGATGTTCCTAAAGACCACAAACATACATACCAAAATTTTATGATAAAAAAATTCAATCAAGTTAATTGTTATGCAAGCCGCAGAAATGGGTATTGCTAACATTGCGCGCATACTGATACACAGCCAGTATTGTCAATTATCCGGTTTTACTTTCAAACTGTTCGTTGTAATGAACTAGATGCCCACGTAACAATTCACAATGCTATTGTTGGCTTTATTGAATAAAGCAATCTGAGAACATGACTGTATGTGGGTAGATATTTATTTAGCAATATTGTTAACCCAAGTAGCTCGGTGGCGTAGTGGATAAGCGCCGCGGCCCGTGATCGTTGTCGTTAAGCAACTTTCGCAAGGGTCAGTCACGGGATGGGTGACCAAAAAAATATTATCTCGAGCTACTCCGTGCTTCGGAAGGCACGTTAAGCCGTTGGTCCCGGCTACATTTGCAGTCGATAATACCCTCCAATCCGCATTGCGCCAACGTGGAGGGTTATGGCCCATCCTCCTTAACCATCCATAAGAAGGCCTGAGCCCCTGCAGTGGGGACGTAAAAAGGGTTATGATAATGATGATGATTGCTAACCAAGCGAAGTTTCTTATCTATTCATCATGAAGTCAGCGAGATTAATATTCTACGTACGTAGATAACACGCAATAGTAATAATAAAATAATAATATCTTCCATCCCTGCTGAATGCACCTTCAAGATGGAATAATATCGTTCACATGTGGAATAATAGCTTCCTACTACTCAAAGAATTTATCGGCCTTATATTCAGATATATACACAATTTTGTTGTTTGTCCTGTATTCTCACGATGTGATCTAAAAACAAAATCCTATTACGGTTACAGGAACGATTGCGGTCACCGAATTCCATGAATGAATATTCGCATTTCTGCCGCATCCGGCCTATTAACATGATTGGGTTTCGTGTGACTCCAAATTATTCCTGTTAGCAGTAAGCGTTATTCATCTAACGCCGATGTTATTTTCATTGCAAACGCGCGAAGTGCATTAGATTTAAGATCTTTATGATGAAAGTACTGATGAAACTTCATCAAAAAGGTGATTTAATATCATCTTTTATAGTTCCGCACCCAAAGGGTAAAAGTAAGACGGTTGGAATTTTTACATGTTTCTGTTGCTGATTCAAAAAGAAATACTAAAAAATACAATAAACATTTAAGGGGGCTCCCATAAAATAAACGTGATTTTTTTGCTGGTTATTGGTGCGGAACCATTCGTGCGCGAGTTCGAATCGCACTTGGGCGATTTTAATTATTTAACTTGCTACCTTCGTGAAGCGGCCCGCGATCGTTGTTGTTAGCAACTTTCACAAAGGTCGGGATGGGTGGCCAAAAAATTATTATCTCGAGCAACTTCGTGCTTCGGAAGGCACGTTAAGCCGTCGGTCCCGGCTGCATTTGCAGTCGTTAATACCCTCCAATCCGCATTGGGCCAGCGTGGAATGTCATGGCCCATCCTCCTTAACCATCCATAAGGAACGCCCGAGCTCCTGCAGTGGCGACGTAAGAGGGTTGATGATGATAATGATGACAATGAAATATCAATATGGAAAGGAGCTGATCTGATGATGGAGTCGGACGGTAGACATGGGATCTCTGCAACTAAACAAAACAACCCAATCTACGTATAGTTTAGACACGTTTGATTAGTCTCGGCTGAGATTTTGGTCTGAGATATAAACCAAAACAAAATGTTTCAAAAATGCAGGGATATCAGTCCGAGAGAAGACAATCAGAATATTATTTATGACTTATATTGCTTAGTTTTAAGCAGTTATTGTTCAGTACAAGTTTTAGCTCAGTTAATGTTTATATATCGATGGCGTATCTTTTTAACTTTCACACGCTATTTACTTTCACAAATTTTACAACCTAACAAAAACTGAATCGATAAGATTGAAACTGTACTAACATTATAAAGAAGTAAAGTTTCCTTTGATCTCTGGATATACTTATCCTTTTTTAGTTTTGAAGAACGGACCTAGCATGATAGACAGAAAACAATAATATCATAAGTTTTTATCGTACAAATTCACGGCGAAAATCATCATAGTTTATTAGCAGCTTTCAATATAACACCCAAGTCGAAATAATCAAGGATAATTTACTAAAAATATATTCATGATACGAAAATAGACTTTTTTCTCAAATGTTTTTATTTGGTAACTAATATGTTGGACCGTGAACGGCGTGACTTTACACTATCTCTTCCTAGTTCCGCATAACAGTGCATTAATTTGTAACAAGTAGAACCTTCTATTTCTCAACAACCGAACTGTAATAGTTCCTATGATTTGTAGGTCACTGGAAATTTACCTCCACAAGCAGATCTATATCTGTAAAGTTGAACTTCATACAACTGCATTTAAATTTAATGTTTGTAAGATTGTGTTCCCGCGGAATCGCAATTTCAAAAAATTGAAAAATAATTATCTGTTACAATATAAGCAACTACGTCTGAAGCCAGGTGTTAAGAAGATGGTTCTTTCTCTTCTTTATTTAATATTGAAAAGAAAATTTATGTAGAAAGTGTGAATTGTTTGAAACAAAACAGAATTACCGACTTTTTATTTAGAATAAAATAAACTTGAATAATTATACCTTTAAATCTTAACTACGTATTTGACTTGCGTTTAATCTAGCTCGTCTAACTCTATAATTCCTTAACAGATCTCGTGAACGAACCTCTGTAAATAAAAACATAAACCAATAAAAACTCCTTAACTTAAACCCTTATTAAGTAAAAACCTCAATAACTTAAATTATTTAATTCAATTTAAACAAAATTTATTTAGTAGAATTGCCCCCCTGTGTACCTTGTTATCCATATACAAAACTAATTGTAAGTTGCTGTTATTAACTTCGTATAAATTACAATTGCGACTCTAGATAGATTTTCATAACATGACCAAGTTTACGAATATCCATTGTTGTGCCCCGTGAAGATATTCATCGATGTGAGTTTTGCGTTTAATTTCTGTGCCGTTGCCATGGACTTTAATACGTCAACAAATTAGTTTTTGCGAACGATTTCTTCGATAGTCTTCTCATTATGAAACCTTTCTTTGATACTCCTAATTAAAACTTGTTTGATTACGAACACATTACATTCAGTGGCTTCTTGTAATTAAACGTTGGAATCATATTTTTATTTTTGATAAACATGTGAAGAGTTATTATAGAAATTACATGGGATTGTGAAATGAGGCTCAGAAGGTAAGAAACTAAAATTGTCGTTGCTTTATAATATTAAAAACATTATGAATCAACCATTAATTAGACATTTAATATTAAATGCATATAATATCGGCTTATTCCGATTATCCACCCTGAAACAGCCACCCTAAGGTGGATACTCGGAAACGCGTGTTCATCTATCCACCCCGTTCAGATGTTTTACTTTCTTCCGGTGTTTTACCCCAAGTACATTTCTATCGTGTATTAATAAAAGTCACATTTCATTAAACAAAATAAATCATTTTTTCTTTATCCAAGTAAACAAAAATTAAGAACATTTAGACTAGTGCAAATCCGGGGCAGAGCATGTAGTATTTTTAAATTTAATGTTAGGTACCAAGTATCTTGGGCTGGGTTTATACGTTTTTTATAATTACTGTACACAGGTGGGGGAGAAAATCGGAGGAAAAATTATGATGCGGATTTCTGTTATCCACCCCGTTCAGGGTGGATAGATAAATACGCGTTTCCGAGTACCTTAGGGTGGCTGTTTCAGGGTAGATAAACGGAATAAGCCGTAATATCACATTTAAAACCCATAGTAGAGTTAGATTAGAATTAGAAAAAATCCGAAAGAATTTGATCTCTCGTTCTTCATAGTTCAGATATTTATTTTGCAGTGTTCTTCTTCTACGGCTAGGGTTGTTGTAATAGTTTCCTTTAATAATTATATCTAACTTTTCCGTTTTAAAAATTTCTTAAACTGACAGAAATCATTTACTATTAGATGTTTAACAACTGAAGTCTGCAAAATGTTGGTAACGTCGTAATATTTATAGTATACCGTATACGTAACGATCTTCCTTCATATGAAGTCGCAACTGCATTTTAAAGCTTAGTTTAAATTAGCTGTGGAATTGGTAAAATTAATAAAGTAAATGTGTATGTAAAGACTTTACGTTGTGGCGTTCACTCCTCTCTGCCTACCCCGACAAGGATACGGCGTGAAGATATAGATAGAATAACGTTATACGTAACGTTACGAGTATACGTTTAGAGAAGTCTACAAACTAAATAAACTACAGGCAGTCCTTGACTTACGTCGTTTCAAGTTACGTCAAACAATGTTTTAACACTGTTCCTCAAGCATACGTCAGTTGTTTCGATTTCCGGCATAGGAGAATTCACTTGACGCGAGGTCAATGTCCGTGGAGTTTTAATGTTAATAACAAAATTAGTGCAGCCTATCAGTGTTACCAAGACCTGTATGATAGCAAGAAGAAAGAAGCGAAGCAATCGAGAATTGATAGTTTCTTTAAGCCAAAAGTTTAATTTATTAATTCTCATTGCATATTTTGGTTATTAAAGTTTTATTATTATTACTGAAATACCAAAAATAACTAGCAATTTCATAAGCACATTTATAATTATTTTACGTTTAATTACTCACTTTTGATAATAAAGTATGTATATCCTATGTTATTAATGTAGTTTTTTGTTTATTCTGAGTCCGCGTGGAACCTAACCCTTGAGTTTTACATGTAAGCAAATGAAAAAAAGTGTCTCGACTTACGTCGTTTCGCTTTACATCGCATATTTCGAGAACCTAACATGCCGTAAGTACGAGGACTGCCTGTACTGACCTATGGTGCTTCTGATCAATCTACCCATACTGCAACTAAAACTGTTTTTGTTGGTTTTCAACACTTGGCCTACATAAACATTGGTCCTGAATAAACCATATTGAATTTTATCAAGAACAAAACTCAACCATACTTCGTTTAAGATGATTAATTTATTAAATCTTAATTAACGTCACAGCGCCCGCAGTAACCAATAATCTCGCGACCATTAATATCCAAAATAAAGTGATTTGTTTTCGGCATCTCAAATCTTTCCAATTGGGTCACAACCTAATTAGGTCGGATGTCACCGCAGAAAGCTACGGTGGATGTCGTAATAGCACCTCGGAGGGTTTAGTTAACGATCATTCTACGATGCTGATAAATCGTCCAGTTGGTCTTCAGATCATTCGTCATTTATTCCATCAAACCCATCAAATGCGAATAGGTTAAAACAAAGTCATCAGTATACGTTAAAGGCGTTCTTCGCCTTTGTTATTTTCTGCGTCCTTTGTACTAGTTTCACTGTTGAATAGCAAGTTTCTTGGAAGAGATTGAGTAAAAACTTTTCATTCTCCGCAACTATTATTTAGAAACATACAGTTTATAAAGCAACACATTTTCGTGTTGTATGTTTCTAACTGTCTGTTGTCAAGAATTATGTTCGTGTTATAGTTTTTTAAATGGCCTTATATGTAAAAAACAGTTCATATACGACTCAGACACACGGGTAGAGGTTTCCTCGAAAATATTAAATTTTAATTAGAAATTATTTATATTTTTAGTTTGATTTCCTTGAAATATTGCTTATATACCTAAGCTGCTGCGCGATACTAGTCAATTGTTAAAGTTTTCTTTCATAGAATTGTCCTCACCAAATACTTACTTTTCTCTAAATTTATAAAGATCTTCGTGGAAAATTATTCCATTATGAAGAGCTAAGATCTTTTCCTAGGAATATAATATTTTGGTATAGATAAAATCTAGTATACCAAATAAATGTATTTAGATACTAGTGGAATTGATTGAATATTTCAGGATTTGCCACTTCCATGCGTTATAGTAAATATAATGGACGCTCCCGCGTATAGTCGAGCACATACAAACTATTCTACGAAATCGAAACTTGAAATAGAAGATTTTATGATAATAACATGTGTGAACACAGTCACCAAAATCCTGCCACAGAACTAACTAGTAACAGAAACCTGAATATATCGAAATCGTTCTCATTCAAATAAACTTATTGAAAACACCAATATATTTTGGCTGACCTACATAAACTAATGTCATTACCACATAAATCAATCAAAGCCAATATTAAATTAGTGATAGTATATCTAGAATAGTTTTCTTGATTGAATCCTAGAACTTATCATAACCGAAGATAAAGGCTGCTGAAGGCAACCTTTGTTTATATAATAGATTGACTTTTATATATTTTTGATTTGTCTATGGACAGAGTATGGAGTTGTTTTCTCTGTTTTATCGCAGCGTATGTGGTTATAATATGATATTAGTAGTATTTATTGTATTACCCTACGTGTATTTTTTTTATACACCTATATTTACAATACGCAGTGTTTAAAGACTTTTCTATGAAAAAAATTACATAAGCTCTTTAACCGATATAAGAGAATTCTAGTTTAAAAATGTACTATTCAAATTTTAAACAATGACAGAGTTGCGGGTTTTACTCATTTAAGTTTAAACCATAATTATTCCACCGCATTTCTTCACATGAGACTAGTTGAGATTAGAGTGTTGTAATGTTAACTCTTTGGTCTCAAATTATATCTCTCATTTCACATACTATAGGGAGAACGAAGCAAAACTCGCCAAACACATCTAGTGAAGACTGGTGGGTATTTATTAATACTACACATAGAGACGAATACAACATGTCTGTCAATGAGAGAGATAGGGATAGCGGATATTCTATTTCGCGAAATATGCCCTCAAAAAATACTTTTAATGAATTATTCTAAAACGATTAAAATTATTATGAAAGTTCTCAAGCTACGGCTGTTCTAAATGGTCGCAAAGTAACAAATATTATTTATTTTACTTTTACTGAATCCAAAACAAACCAAATCAAAATCAATCGAGCGACGCGTCATAACGCCTACTGGTCATCACCTCCAGCCTAATGGCCTCAGGTCCTATGGATGGAATCGAACAGGAAGAATAGGCCATGACCCACCACGGTATTAACGATTGCAGACGCAGCCAGTACCGACGGCTTAACGTGCCTTCCGAATCACGGAGGAGTTCGAAATAATAAATATTGGTCACTGCCTACTGGTAGTATGTAGAATTTGATAGGTACTATGAGCTACAATGTTCAATGTTGTTTTGTATCTGTATCCGATAAAAAGATGCTTAATCACGTGATCAGTAACAGATCCGTCTAGATGATTCTATGGATGCATAAAAACGACAATCGCGTTCCGGTAACTGGTTAAGTTTTTATATTACACCAATGAACATTAAAAATACCTAGATATCATATAATTGAGATGACGACAGAACTAACTTTAAATGAATGTGGACAATATGTGTAATAAGTATAATTTAAATGAGAACTACATCGTATACTTTGGGTAATGTTTGCATCCAAGCATGAATTTTAAAAATATATTTATAAAAATTTTAAAAACAAGGTTTTCAATATAGCTTTCGACATTTACGAGTGCTTGTAACAGTTTTATTTTATTCGTCTTGAAGATTTACTAAATGATATTTAATTATGATTTTTTCTAAACTAATATAAAAAAAAATGTTTTGATAATACGTTACGTTACGTATTACGTTTTGTTAGAAACGAAAAAAAAAAGAATGTGAACATTTTCATTGATAGAAAAAAAATCAATCCTCATAACACTAACGCCATCTCTCAACAGACAAAAGTAATGAAATTCAAATAATAATCAAAGAATTTCATATGTCATATATTAAAATTCAGTTCCTTTACATATATGACATCAGCTTTGTATGCAAATGATCCTAGCGAAATAATATCGGTTTTTCCACTTTATAGTTGGTTGATTATGAAGATAAAGTATTATCTATAATTTTACACCCTCTCCATATTATTCCATTTATGACAATGTGTCATAGTTATGACGTAAAACTACGCACTATCTATCGATTACTTTTAATATAATACATAGCTAGCTTTAGGGAGGAATATAAAAAAAATCTCTCTAAGTATACACGTTTCATCATCATTTATCAACTTCTGCAAATGAAGCCGGGACCAACGACTCAATGTGCCTTCCGAAGCACGGAGTTGCTCGAGACAATAATTTTTGGTAACCCATCTCGTGACCGACCCCTGTAAAAATTGCTTAACAACAACGATCGCAGACCGCGGCGCTTATCCACTACGCCGCCGAGTTACTCCAAGGAATATACTCACAACTAACAGTTTCCTGCGCTCAATAGTTTCAGCTGTGCTGTTGTCTATCAGTCAGTCTGTAACGAAAGAGTTTTATTATATAAAATCGGGCTCTATTTCGTGAAATGAATTAGGGTAAAAATTTGTATAATATCTATTTATGTGAAAACAATACTTAATCTTATCCTGAGTCTGTAAGTTATTTCCAAGATACTGAATGAGTTTGATTACACTCAAAAACTCAAGATTTGCTTAGTTGAGATATCGGAGAAGCAACCTTCACCCTTATATTTACGTGATAAGTGCTTTTATTGGTTAAGTTTCTAAAAATACGAATGAGGTCTTCCCGGATCGTCTCACTTAAACTACACGAGTTCCCTCTTTGGCTTATGTTCCATAATCACGGAAACTGGAACTTAGAGTAGAGCTTATGCTCCGATGAAATGATATCGTTGGAAATTTTCCGCCATGCAACACTGCTAGTGAAAATATTATTATTGCCACTTTTTAATTTGCAATCGCTAGCCAGGCAACGCATGGTCAATGAATGATATTCAAACTTCAAGTAGGTATCACTTAACAATAACAATTTTGCCCGTTTTCACTAAACTTCGCCTAAATCTGTCGCCTAAATATTTAGGAATCGCCTAAGGTGCATATACATTTCACTAATCAGTAGGACCATTTAAAAACATTGAGCAACGTCAAAGTTATAACATCTGTTAACGATCGATCGATCAAGGCACGGCGCCTTGCGCTAGGCATTTGCTTAATATGACAGGTCACAAATGTGTGAAGGGATAGAAGAAAAACTGTTTATTTGGAATTAAACTAATCTGCTGTGTGTAATGCTACGCTTTATTTTAGGTTAGTTAGGTGTGTCTGCTTATGAGATAATATTGAAATGATTTAAAATAAATCTAAACTTCCTGAAACTTTCTTATTTTAAATTCAAAAGTGTTAGTGGGCAATCTTCTTGATTTGATCATCTTTCATCCGCCATATCGTTCAATGTTTAACGTTCGACGATTTGCCCGACTATACTCAGGCTAATCGGTTTTGTAATGTGAACAAAGTACTATGTAAGCAGAAATGGGCAACAATCCGGGCTTTCTACCGCCCATCTCTGTATGTAAGTAAATAAAATAAAGTTTAAATAATTATTGCTCTCTCGTCGATCTGCCAAACTTTCGACCGGGCCGATCGTGATGTTCCTGGCAAAATTTACGGCATACCGTGACATAGCCGGGCAGATCATAAATAGTTTCTGTTCATTGTCTTCATAAGTTTAGAAAATCGCCTACTGTATATTCCTCTTTATAAAATTCAGTAAGACTCAAGAAGCCGTTGGGTCCGGCTGCATTAGCAATCGTTAACACTTACCAATCCGCACTGAGCCCGAGCTGTATATTATGACCCGTTCTTCAAATTATTAAATTTTGTGTATGCATGATGCAAGTAAAGAATTTATCTATCTATCTTATTTGAATCCATCTATTGGGAATGTGAGCAAAATCGAGTACCTAAAAAAATAATCCATTCGAAGACATTAATATATATGTTTACTTATTTACATTTATTATGGGGATGTTTGCATAATCATATTGAATTCCAGGGTGTAACGATTCGTCTGCAAAAAGTTACAATTTCATCTGAGAGAAATTTAAATTATAGATTTATCGGTTGTTCGGCAATATCGCGTCATCGGTAATGGAGAGAATCCTGTCCAGTGTCATCATACGTAATCATTACACAAATCATACGTTTATTATATGTGAGCCCCATTAAATATTTATATCAGCTACAGAAATACATCATCTGTGGAAATTTCAACTGTCTACAGCCTGAGATACAGCCTGGTGACAGACAGACAGTGCGGTGATAGTCAAGACCGCTACAACGAAATGCAAGTGACAGGGACGGCATATCACAGTACGAGGAGCGTGAGGGCCGTAAACTGCGGCTCCAACAAAACTAGTTTCGTACTCGCTTCCGCTACAGTCCTCTACTGTTGTTTCGAAACAGTACATTGACTCGCGTATTCTATGTTAAAGTTTCGATGTTGGTAGTGAAATTACATGCTATGTATTTAGTAGTAAACCCCGAGTGGATCAAACTGAAAGTTGTTAAAAGTGATAGATATAGAAGTCCCTCTTTTGAATTCGTATACGTAAATATTGTAAGATGACCCACTGCCTATTTCGTATGATCTCTCATCGTTTAAACCTCCTCTGGACTACGAAGTTTCTCGAGTTTAAGCGAGACGAACGAACAGCAATTGATTTTTATTTAAATTGTATGATGATATAGTACCCATACATAATAATAAGGAGAAAATTATTAAAACTGATTTAAATTATTGATTTCTTATGTTTTCATTGACAATCAACATCTTAGCTTATGTGATCACGGAACCTGTAAAGGGTTCGAAACGTCAACAAAACCAAATAGGTACAACCGCGATGAAACCGTTTAAAATTTGTTTCGTTTATTAATTTTAATTATGTTGTAGTTAACTAATAATGAAGTTACCTATACGGCCAATATTTTTAAAGCCTTTAATAATACTCTTGGCAGAGGCGTATAAGAATATCATTCGAAGCCCGTGGCATTCATCGGGTACGGGCGGAACCCTTACTGACATCCGGTTTCTGAATTGAGAATTTGAAGTTAAGCACGTCTCAAACCGTGCTTAAGCCATTTTAAACGTAAATTAAACAGGTTTTCATTACTGATTTATTTTATTTTAATGATCAGTTGATAGCAATTTTATAAAACTAGGACTTTTTGCCATATGAAACGTAAAAAGCTTAAGTTGTTGAGATTTTGTGCTGTTCTCAATTCAGAAACCGGCTGTATGACTTTAGGACTGACCTTATAGGACTTATAGGTTATCTATCTCTTACATCCGATTCAGATTAAATAAAGCGCATGTATAAGATGGTGTCGCAAAGACAAATAAATGAATTTTTCACAATGGACATCGATTTTTTGTTTTGTTTGTTTGCAAATTGTGGTTAATGATATATCAAATGAAAGGGCTATTTGAATTATGGAGTCGGGTGCCTATCATTCAATTAATAACCTACAGAATACTTCCGCCCGACTTCCACAGCATTTTCTTGAACAAGTCGTTTTTGGGATAATTATGTATTATTTACCACTTATTCGAGGTCTTTGAGGATGTTTGAGGTCGGTTCTATTTTTAGAAATGACAATGCAAAAGCGGAATTATGTGCGCGATTCCAATTCACTCATGGCTGAGGGTTTTATTTATTTTATAATGTACCTTATCCTTTTTGGCATTCGTGTCATAATGTTTTATATTTTTCTTCTCAGGGAACGTACTAAAGAAAAGGAATCCAACGACAGGACATGGTTTTGGCAACAGCGCCGCTACGTGGTGGCGCTGCTGGCGTTCTTCGGCTTCTTCAACGTTTACGCTCTCAGGGTGAATCTGTCTGTGGCGGTGGTCGCCATGACGGAGCCAGTGGAGACGAAACTAGACAACGGAACTGTGGTTATGGTAAGATCATTGTACCACCAGTATGTGCTAAAGTATTATAGCAGTCAGTATAAGACACGGCTTATAAAACTTGTTGTTAAGAAGAGAAACTAGATAGTAGATCGGTGACGTAGTGGATTAGCGCCGCGGTCCGCGATGGTGTTGTTAAGCAAGTTTCGCAAGGGTCGGTCACGGGATGGGTCACCAAAAATTATTGTCTCGAGCAACCAAGGCACCATCAGCTGCTGGTCCCTGCTGCATTTGCGTTAATACTCTCTTAATATTTAATATTTTCATATCCAGCATTGGACCAGCGTGGAGGGTCATGGCCCATCCTCCTTAACCATCCATAGGGAAGCCCTGAGCCCCTGCAGTGGGAACGTAAAAGGCCTGATTATGATGATGAATAAGAGAAACAGATTATATTACTTAAGCAGTAATTTCCTTAATAAAGAAATACGATAGGTAGCAATTGCGAGAACTGAAGGCTTGCCCTTTTTCTTCGAAAACGAAATTCCATGAACATTCGGAACAATAATATGACCAAAGAAACCAATTTTTAGTAAAACACCTTTAGACGACTTTAGCTAGGTAAGTTCTATCACTGAATGTGGAAAAGTGTGAATGCAAACGAAAATGTACTTATGAATTCATAATTAGTTACCAAGACGAAATCTACACAATTCTAATTCAAAAAGTAAAGGTTAAGGACCACAAAACATGTATGACTATATTGTTATTTGTTATATAATAAATCATCAAAAGTCAAGAATCTATTATGCTATGTTTATATAGAAACGAGTAATACTCAAGGTGATAATAATGTAAAAAAAACTGTTAAATGTGAAGACCGTGCCTTGTTGCACTCTGTCATCTCTCTCTACTCAAGAATACGGTGCACGAAAATATGAACAGAAATATTATTATTGAAAATATGACAATTTATCTCGTTATACTGTGTCACCTCACTAAGTGTGGATCGTTTATTGTAACCTAGTTCTGTACTAGAAAGGGTAATGATGTAAAGGGGCTTAATGAAAACTGTTTTTAAATTAATTTAAGTACTCAAATAGTGTGTGTTTTGATTTAAAACATCATTCTTCTTCTTCTTCTTAGTCGTTGCACTCTTAAAAGATCATATTATTTCTAAATGCCTTTGACTGAAATTTTCTCAAAGCATCATCCTTATTACCTATATAAATTATAATTTGTATGCCGTTCAGATTGATGGTGCTTTATAAAAAAGGTCATATTGGGATATAAAGAAAGAGTATACTACTGCTTCGAACGATCATTCACAAAACTATGATAATAGTGAATATATAAAATTTTATTAATATCGGAAAGAAGTGTTACAAAGCCTTACCAATTTGAACCTTAACTCAAGGGAACAGCGTCGTAAGATGACCTATATACAAGTTTTAACCATTGGTCGAATTTTAGTGTCTATAATAATAACAAACTTGTATACTTTTATTTAACTATAAAGGAACCTTATTCTGTTGGACGAAAGGCTATTTTGAAGGGTACTCGTCAAATTAATAAGTTGTCACCCTCGTATAAGTGATATGGGTGTGAAATACTACTCGTTTCTATGCTATAAAGTTGAGCCTGTATAAATATATATTTAATTTGGAACGTGACAAACTATAAAAGATAGATTCAATGTCATATTTCATACAATTTTATTATTTATCTATATCCTAAAAGGAAAGACTTTTATGTTGTTTTTTTTTTCATATTTTCTCTTTAAAAACGATTGTGTTTGGGATTTGTATGATTTTCTATTTATTTACTATGTTGGTTACCCAATTCCTATCCACAATTACCTTTCTCGGGACTTCAACGAATATTAATAAAATAAATAGCTAAATCCTCGAGATTTGCACTTAGTTACGGTTCCTCCGATACGCACAATTTCATATTCCTGCTTTAGGATTACAAATTCCTCATCAATATGTACCAACAGAATAATTCATGTCATTCTCCAAGAAGGCGACTTAACACTCAATCTGTTACCATTTGGTGCCTTTATAAACGAGGCCACAGATCATAGAAAGTTTATGTCGACTCCTATTCTCTCTAATTGTTGGCTCTAATTACAATTTCGAAACCATTATTAAAAAACTAATGAAATGTAGTCCCAGTATGTAACCTTGTGGTATTCGACGGCGCTTAATAATCATATGTTTATTATATATATGATAAATTTCGCAGTCACAATGCTACACTGAAATATATTCTTAATAAAAAAAATGCTTAAAAAGTCATTAAAAAAATCCACCTTATCCCTGGTACTCTGAGATGGTATTCGAACCTTTCGCAGTCCCCCGGATGTATTTTAAATATTAATCATATCTTAATTAAAACTATATTTATTTTTTAACATTAACATTCTTGATATCGATACTTTTCCACATGAAAAAGTCGCTATATCAAAATAGAGATGGGTAACCTAGAAAATAATGTTAAGTATAAAAAATATTTAAAGTAAATATAATTATATTGAAATTTGCAACACATGATAGTAAATTTTGTCTTTTTAGAAGACAGTTCTAAAAGTTTCAAAGCCCTGACTCAATACATAGAAGTGTTTTCAGACCAAATGTAATTAGATTTTTCAATTTTTCAGTTACCGGAATTCGATTGGGATTCGAAAACCAAGGGGCTGATACTTAGCTCCTTCTTCTACGGATACTTAGTGACGCAGTTACCCGGCGGTTGGCTCGCTGCTAAAATAGGAGGTAACAGGTTTGTTAAGTGTACAAATCACACAGAGCTAAAAAAAGACAGAAATATTAAGTTACAAGTATAAATTATTTGTTAATGTCCATATTTAATGATAATTATTATAGAAATATGGATTCGTTGAAGAAATTATTTGCTTCATTTGAAGTCTCAATTTGTAAGGCAGCAAATGCACAGAGCGAGACATTTAATATTGACCGTGTCCCATATTTCCATCTGTAATCTGCTATTAAATAATTAGTATTATCAATACCTTGTTCTTGTATTTACTCACTAAACAGTACAATTCTTATTCCAAATGTCAAAGATAAATTAAGTTTGCCTCTTTTATTAAATCATGGATTATGATACCGTCCGAAGTGAACTATTCTAGCCAATAAGTAGATCGAAAGCCAAAATTCAGATTTATCAGCTTATCATTATTCCGTACATGTCGGAAAGCCGCCTTATGCAAATGCCTACCGGACCCGAATAACTTGTATTTATAAGTGCAATATTCAATAACTTCCACAACCAGTTGAACTTTTTAAATATGATTGCACCGTTCGCAAAACTACACGAGAAGTACACTTGGTTCGTCCCTTAGAATTTGATTTTACTATTGTAGATGTTAGTACTTGGGAACTGTTTGCGAGATTTATTAATAGAAGGATATGTGTTATAAATCGCAAAATTACATACTAGTGTTTGTTCACATTGGCGTCAGTACTTTAGCACCTACAAAAGATCTGTACACTGCTCGTAAATGAATACACATCGTATTGTATTTGCGGTTTATAATACTGTTACCACTTAGGATTCGGAATAAAAATTAACGCCAATTATTATCACAATAAAATAACAAAAATAATCCAACTACAAAATTCACACTTCAACTTCACTATTTCACGTAACTAATAACATTTCACGACACTATTAGCGGCCCGTGATCGTAGTCGTTAAGCAACTTTCGCAAGGGTCGGTCACGGGATGGGTGACCAAAAAATTATTATCTCGAGCTACTCCGTGCTTCGGAAGGCACGTTAAGCCGTTGGTGCCGGCTGCATTTGCAGTCGTTAATACCCTCCAATCCGCATTGGGCCAGCATGGAGGGCCATGGCCCATCCTCCTTAACCATCCATAAGGAAGGCCTGAGCCCCTACAGTGGGGACGTAAAAGATGATGATGATTAGATCGTTCGCCGCTCGATTTATCGCTTCGAGTTTTGCTTCCAGATCGCTTCTTCACTGAAGAATGCCGGGACGACTAGTCCTCCGCGTATTTATAGGGGCCGATACCACATCTACAACATTCTAGATATGGTCTGAGTGTGGTATATTCTAGGTTAGGACTTGAAACATTCTAGGTGTTTCCTCGGCCCTACCCGGTGTATTCGAGGCATTACCAAGAAGTACTAGAACGGCTACCCGTCCCTTAGCATTAGTCGACTGGTAAAACGCGCCGCAATGTATGCGATTTCGTATTTTCAGCTATAACCGTGTGTATTTAAACGCAGTGAGATCTCAGCCTAACTGGGAATTGCTAAACATCGTAATTTCAAAATCATGGCAATGAATTGCCTGCTCCTAAAGGTGAACGTCCATATGTCAGCACGCACACACCGGCCGCACGACACGCAAAGGATTATATTAAAAAATCATATGACGTCATCACCATAATTCCAACATCAAAAATAACAGTCGCATTATTTATAGAAGCATTACGAAAAATGGCACTACAGTAGACGTGTGACATCGACAAATCCGTGCAACGCGTTGCGTGTCAGCCGGTGCGTGCGTGCTGAGGCAGTGGACGACCACCTCAATAATTACTTTGCATCATAGTCGTCGTTGGTTTCCATTTTCAGAGTGTTCGCGATAGGCATAGGGGCGACTTCCTTGCTGACGTTACTGACCCCGCCCCTGGCATATACGAGTACAGCCCTGCTAATTGCTGTTAGAGTTATTGAAGGACTATTCGAGGTGAGATCGCAAGATATTTATGGACACTAACATTAACAAAATTGGATTTATTAATAATGTCAGAAGTCGCTCTCTTCATCCACAGGTATCCATAACTGTAACCCCTCTCGTTCAATAGAATTTTGTGTGCTCGGATCACTTTTTCGTTATTAACATTTTCTCAAATCTATTTATATTTAACATTCAAATTAAATACAATGGCGATGTTCTTCGCACTTGTTCTTGAATCAAAAGTACGCGTACTAGTTAATCAGACTAGAGAATTATGAAATGAAATGGAAATATCTTTATTCAAGTAAGCTTGTTACAAGCACTTTTGAATCGTCCAAAAAAAAATTTTTTTTTCCATGCCACTTTTTCAGGACGTCTTTTAGTTGACAAGAAGAACAAGCGAAAGAAACTTACCAGCTCTTTATCATAAGTAATGACATTTACAAAATCATGTAATTACCAAAATAATATGTATTATTACAGTAATAAATACAACTTTCAAAGTCTGTAGGTCATAAGAACGAAGTAGGTCATAAGGCGAAGGCTATTAATTCCATGAATTGCGGTCCTTAAAATAATCATCAACTTTATAATAGCCTTTGCTCATAAGTATGTTCTTTACATGAATTTTAAACTTATTTATATCCATAAATCAATTACATTTTGTGGTACTTTATTGAACATAGCAATGCATTTAATGTACTCCTGTAGTGATGTACTCCTATACCTATATTTACCATCAAAACTGTCAACATTCTCCCACTTTTTATCACTTTGTCAAAAGGTGATAAAATTATTTTTTGAATCTAATCCATTTTATAAAGTAAATGATTTTTTGACAAAGACCTGGAAAGATTGTAATTTTAATTTGTAATGAAAATGTAGTTAATAAATCAAATTATTAATTTATATAATTATTTGCAACTTAATTTTGAGAATGACGAATTATTTTATAATGATACAAATTGCATATATAATTATATTATGTAAGCTGTAACAATTTATAGTATTGTGAAATTCTGACATGCCAAATGTGACATACATGTCATAACATGGCCAATTTATAATAAATAAATAAATAAAGGAGACATTTTACGGTATTTTAATAAAAATCCCGTGCTTTTGACCCGAATACGGATCCGAACTTTCGATCGGACTGAGATCGTCGTGCGTAATAAACCGGGCACGTCTGTCTGTATGTGGTCAGGGGGCGACGTACCCGTGCATACACGCGGTGTGGTCCCGCTGGGCGCCGGCGGAGGAGCGCGCGCGCCTCGCCACGTTCGCGTTCAGCGGCAGCTACGCGGGCACCGTCGTGTCCATGCCCGTGTGCTCGCTACTGGCCGCGTACACCGGCTGGCCGGGCATCTTCTACGTGTTCGGTCAATATGCATTATACGAGTATTATAATTATAATCGCACGTTGAGAACAATAGTGACACATTGCATAAAATGCTATTTTGAGTAATGAGCGTTTAAAGTTCAAGAAATTGTAATCGGCTCCTCTAAACAACGTATCGTCACTACACTAACTAGCCGTTACTATGCAAACTACGTTCACAGGGATTTTTGCATTTTAAAGTTTATAAGTAACAAAGGAAAATGTTGCCAAAAGTAAAAAATACGTCGTTTTTGGTTAGTGACATTGTCATTCTCAACGTGCGATTATGTAACAGGGTCTTGTTCGTGAATTATTTTGAAACTATTTATTTAGCTCGGTAGTAGCTCGGTTGCGTAGTGGATAAGCGCCGCGGCCCGCGATCGGTGTCGTTAAGTGTTGTATATCGAGGAAGCAGGTGATACGTCAGACAAACGAGCTAGTTAGTTGCACACTGATTTATTACAAAATAAGGAAGGGCGTGGCCCGTTCTGACTACCCACATAGATACATAACATTAAGCAACTTTGGCAAGGGTCGGTCACGGGATGGGTGACTAAAAAATTATTATCTCGAGCTACCCCGTGCACGGCACTTTTTTCATTTGCTGTCGTTAATACCATCCAACCCGCATTGGGAAAGCGTGGAGAGTCATGGCTCATCCTCCTTAACCATCCATTAGGAAGACTGCAGTGGGGACGTAAAAGGGCTGATGATGATGATGATATTTACCTCGACGTTTCGACTACGTTGCAGCAGCCGTGGTCACGAGCAGACTGAAGAACTCTGCGGGTTCACGAGTTTATGCACGTTATGAGTTAATGCACGAACAAGACCCGGTTACATATAGATTATAGTACAGGAGCTCGTTACCAAAATGTACAAGAGATTTTTAACGTTTGACACTTCAGTATCTGGAAATATATATAACTCGGTACACCCTGTAAATCAAACAAGCTTGTTGTTGTTGAAGTATCAACCATTACAAAATTCTTGCACATTTTTGTCACGAGATCTCAGTATATTTATTACAAATAATTGCTATTGGGAATAATAATAAATTTCCATCGGGTACATTATTGAAGAATATTGAATACTTTTATATCATATATTTTCATGCGCACTATCCATAAATGAAACTCTTTACAGTTTCCGTGTTCAGTTACTGATGTGTTGATTGTCTTTTTAATTAAGAGTATAGCTACCTCTAAAACAATACTATTGTCCCCCACTCCTGAGCTTAAGTGCCTATTATCAAAACCAATTATTATTAAATTGAAGGGAAAAAAATACGTATTTTAATATTTTTCTATTATCTGTCTAACGGAATTAACAGAATTTCGTTTTATCCCAGTCATCAACACCATCCTGTTGTACCATTCTCTTATCTTAATTTGAATTATTTTTTAAAGCAAAAACCAACATTTATTTATATTGAATATCCGTTTTATAGATTATTTAAATTAAAATAAACATAAGTGCTTTTTCAATTTGAGTACGAATGAATGAATGAACGAATGAACGATTTATTTCGGTGCAAGTAGTAGAGTAGAATACTCTATTCGTTTCGATTATCCCCATCTGCTGTGTTATATATGGGATTACCATAAAACCTTCACTTCTATTAAACAGATATTCAGGAAGATAAATTCTCAATAAAGAGAGAGGAAATCTCTTCTATTTATGCCAGATGTTTCAGAAAATGTTAGAATTTTATGCTTTCATTGCAGGGATATTAGGCTTAGTATGGACGATGATATGGTGGTTGGTAGTGAAGGAATCTCCTGAGAAGGATACCCTTGTTACACCCGCTGAACTGAAATATATACAGGTGAGAAATTATTCGAAATAATTAGCTATTATCTATACTAATATTGTCAAGAAGAAAGATACGATCGTCTCTGTCTTTGCATTGAATATGCTTTGAAACTACTGAAGCTATTTCAAAAATTCTTTTACCTATGAGAATTGCATTGAATATGCTTTGTTATGCATAAACGACTGAAGCTATTTCAAGAATTATTTCACCTACGGAAAACTACATAATAAGGGGATGAAGTAACGTCGGGAATAGTGGAATACCGCGTAACTAACACTTTAAAAGCTAATTTGAATTGAATTAACATTACAATAGGGATTATAACAAGTTTTTTTTTTATATGTCCGTGGTCGGGTAGATTGTTGACAAATAAATATACACAAGTATTTTTATTTACAAAGATACATTGTATTGAAATGTCATATGACGTCACGCTTTTGTACATTTTCTACACAACTGTGACGTAGCGAGCCCCCACTCCTCAACTTTGATGGTTTATTATCTGAGCTATTTCTTGCTAAATTAAAGTAAACGAATACAAATGTAATATTTTTCTATTATATGACTGACAGACTAAATAGTATTTCTATTTTTTTTATGCCTAGGCGTTTCTGTATTAAATGTATAACCTTTTGAAATAGGTTTTGTTTAATTGAATCTATCCACTATAAAAGCGTAGCGTTAGACGTCGAATGTGCGGCTGTTTTAGGCTGCCGTGCTCAGACACCGCTGTCTGTCCGTCCGTCTGTCAATGTATGTGCGTCTGTCAAGCTATATATCATAAACCGTGATAGTTTAGCAGTTTAAATTATCACAGATGATGTATATCCGTCGCCGCTAAAATAACAAATTCTTAACAAAGAATAAAATTAAATATTTAAATAGCCCTTAACATAATATTTTGCGTTCCATATCATCTAATAGGGATGGCGACTAATTTTTGTTTGTTTGTCTGTCAGGTAGATTATTAAAACACGTATTTTTTAATTTAGTATCTGCCATCTTATCAATAAATTACGATGCATTGAGTTGAAATGTTGCATGACGTCACGCTTTTGAACATTTTCTACAATACTGTGACGTAGCGAACCCCCACTCCACAACTTCAATGCCTATTATCTAAGCCATTTCTTGTTAAATTTAAGCAAAACTTATTTGACTGACGGTCTAAATAGATTTATTTTTTAACCCAGCCATCCCTATATAATCTACCGTTTGTACGCGATTCCGACTCGCACTTAGCGAGTCCAGTTTTTTTTATATTAGCAATCTGTATTCATTAGACTTGAGATCTGAGTGGGCATGTTCTGTTAGGATTCCCGCGGCAGTCAGATAGACGGGTCTAAGATTCGTCACCCGTGGAGGGCGATGCTGACCTCGGGCCCAGTGTGGGCTATAGTGGTCGCCCACTTCAGTGAGAACTGGGGCTTCTATACGCTGCTCACGTTCCTGCCCACCTACATGAAGGGTAAGTGACTTTTATATATTTTTTTTTTTGTCGTTGAGGGAATGCTTTATGCGCTGTCCCTGCTTGACAAGGGACATCTACACTGTTTTTTTTTTAATGTTCAGGCAATCCGCCCAAACAGCCGAAAGAAATATTTTTTAAACTTTCGATTAAGATTAAAATTTATCCTAATCATTATATTTATAAATTTTGCATTCAAAATGCATATCATATTTATTTGGTTGTTCGGGTTGATTGTCTGGACATGAAAATACGCTCTGTAGTAGCGAAAAAGTAACAAGTGCTTGAAAGATTCGCCACGCCTATTAGGTCCCGGGTAGCTCAGTGGTTAGAGTGAAAGGTCGTGGGTTCGAGTCCCTTCTTAGAGTATCAAGGTCTAGTGGATTCTTCTAAGCATTTTTCATTATGAATATTTTCTATTATAGCATTGTGAATGCAAAATTCATCAAATATAATATTAAATCTTTCAAAGTTTATCGACATACCTAGCTGTCAGTTTGAACAATTAAGCCACAGATTAAATTTCCGCGTTTTTATCGTCTACTAACCACATTTTATTTGCGTTCAAATTAGGATTGAATAAGAGATATTATTTTTGTTGATATATTTTAAGCCATAATTTTTTTTTAAGGTTTTGAAATTATGTCTTGGATTATTCGTATTTAATGTTCGAATGTGGTGGTCACTAGGGATATGTTTAGTGGGATAAAAAAATATCCTATTATCTAAGTCAGCTAATACCCTATCTGTATACAAAATTTCATCAAAATCCGTTCATTACTTTCGGCGTGATTGACCGACAAACATCCAAACATCTAAACGTCCAAACAAAGAAATTTTCACATTTATAATATTAATAGGATTATTTATCACAGATACACACAAACACAGACACAGACACAGAGACACAGACAGAGACAGAGAGAGAGACACAGACGACGACACAGACAGAGACACAGACGGCGACACAGACAAAGACACAGAAAGAGACACAGACACAGACAGAGACGGAGACATAGAAAGAGACACAGACACAGAGAGAGAGAGACATATTAACTATCGTGGTGTACCACAGACGTGTTCCTCTTCGATACGTCGCAGACCGGTTGGCTGTCGGCGGTGCCGTACCTGGCGATGGCGGTAGTGCTGCAGGTGGCGGGGCACCTCGCCGACTGGCTGCTGCGGAGGGGCCTGCTGTCCCGCACCAACGTCAGGAAACTGTTCAACTGCGGGGCGTTCCTGTGCCAGGTAACGTATTTTCTTTCGGCTGTTTGGGTGGATGCCTGAACATTGATGAGAGTGCGCTCTGTAGTGGTGAACGGTAACAAGTGCTTGAAGGATTTGTCGGTCCTGTTGGTGGGTGGCTCGGTGGTGGGAGCGGTCGCCCGGATTGCGAAAGGTCGTGGGTTCGAGTCCCATCTCGGGGTGCCAGGGACCAAATGGATTTTTTAAGTATTTTGTATTAAGAATATATTTCAGTACAGCGTTGTGAATGCGAAATTGATCAAATATAAGGTAACGTATTTGTCGGCGGTCATCATCATCATCACCAGCCCTTTTACGTCCCCACTGCAGGGGCTCAGGCCTTCCTTATGGATGGTTAAAGAGGATGGGCCATGACCCTCCACGCTGGCCCAATGCGGATTGGAGGGTATTAACGACTGCAAATGCCGCCGGGACCAACGGCTTAACGTGCCTTCCGAAGCACGGAGTAGCTCGAGATAATAATTTTTTTGGTCACCCATCCCGTGACCGACCCTTGCGAAAGTTGCTTAACGACTGCGATCACGGGCCGCAGCGCTAATCCACTACGCCACCGAGCTATTTTTCCTTTTCCACTGATTTCAATATATATGAAATTACAATATTTAAAGGATTTAAACCACAACAAGCGATAAATGTAATTGCAGACGGTATTTATGGTGGCAGCGGCGTATTCTACGTCAGTGATATGGTGCGTCGTGTTCCTCACTATAGCTGTAGGTCTCGGTGGGTTCGCATGGTCCGGTTTCAGGTAAGGATCAATCTTAAACCTTATTTCTATAGTAATACGACTTTATATCTTGTTTTAAAAGGTAATATGGCTTCTTTGAAACGAGTATCGTTTTATGTATGCGTAAAGTTGAATTCTCTAAGTTCTGATATGAGTAAGAGGGGCGTGACGTCACGCGCTGTTTATGGTCACATGACAATACAGCTTAAAATATTTTTTTTATAAATAGTTTAAGCGATATTATAAATATAATAAGCATAAAAGTGTGATTATCATCTGTACATGTATATTAAACACTATTTTTATTTTATTTATTTATTTGGGATAACAACAGCTTTTATACTAAATATATTGTACATAGTGTCTTATTTACATGTAAGCCATTTATAGCTATCCACGATACATTATATTGAGGTCGTTAGCAGCCAGGTGTTACTTAGAACTAATTAATTTATAAATAATACTGAGATATGATTAGATCTATTGTTAGTAAATAAGACATCTAAATGCTGGTGATTAGGTGTGTATATATTTTGTCTTTGAATGATTGCTTAGATTCGGTGAACCCTTTCACCGATTGCAGAGAAATTTTTGTTGTATGAGTTGACAATACGGGTGAAAACGGCATTCTTACCGTAATTGGTGGTATGATGTGGTACGTGGAACAGTGGCGTGTGTCTGGTACGACGTGTCGGTGCACAAAGGGAGATATGATTTGTGAGGTCGGGACAATCAAAACGACCACGCACTATATCAAATACCAAGCATGCGTCTATTATTATACATTTCGAATGAAACAGTTTATTATGGAACCTGAATTTAAAATTATTTATTCGATTTGCTTATTATAATCTACAAAACTGTGACGTAGCGAGCCCTTACTCCTCAACTCTAAAGCCTATTATCTAAGCCTTTTCTTATTAAATTTAAGCAAAATTTATCTGACTAACGGACTAAATCGATTTTTTTTTTTTACCCAGTCGCCACCCCTATTAATAATGTTTTCTTTTTTACTTTTTCAGTGTGAATCATTTGGACATCGCAGCTCCTCACGCTAGTGTCCTGATGGGCTTATCCAATACCGTGGCCACCCTACCCGGCATCATCAGTCCGCCGCTAGCTGGCGCCATAGTCACTAACAATGTATGACCTTATATATTTAATTTTTATATTTGATCAATTCCGCATTTACAATGCTATACTGAAAAATATTCTTAATGCACAATGCTTAAAATCCACTTGGTCCCTGGCACCCAGAGATGGGACTCGAACCCATGACCTTTTAGCAATCCGGGCGACTGCTCTAAGCACTGAGCTACCCAGGACCTAACAGGACTGACGAATCTTTCAAGCACTTGTTACTTTTCGCTACTACAGAGCGTATTCTCATCGATGTTCAGGCATCCACCCAAACAGCCGAAAGAAATATTTTTACAATTATTTAAACTTTCGATAAATATGAACATTTCGACGCTGGAAAGCAAACACGTAGTAACCCGCAAAACCAATAATTTTTCTTTATAGCTGAAAACATTTTTATTTTCAATAAATAATTCCTATAAACATCCATGGTAAAATAGGATGTTCCTTAGTCAATGTATATGGAAATAAGATATTTTTTTATTAAAAATATAAAGATTTTTCACTTTAAATATCCGTTTTAGTTTTGCAGGTTACTACGTGTTTGCTTTCCAGCGTCGATTTGTTCTTATTATTATATTTGATCAATTATGAGCAATCGTGGATTCGAGTCCCATCTGCCAGGGACAATGTGGATTTTTTAAGCATTATTCATTAATAATATGTCCTAATTTTTATACCGGATTTCTAGGAAATAATTTGATTTGATTTCCTTTGCTTTGATTACAGACCGCCGAGCAATGGAGGATAGTGTTTTTCATATCAAGCGCCATCTACCTGTTCGGAGCGATAGTGTACGGGATTCTGTGCTCGGGTGAGAGACAACCGTGGGTGTCACAAACACCCAGTCCCGCTGCCGGTTATGAGAATAGCGCGATGGATTATAGCTCTGAAATGTAAACGTGTAATATACAATATTGAAAAGTGTTACTTAGATCTGACTTAACAAAACGAAGGTACAGTAGAACTATATTTATAAGTTACACCAATGTACTTGAAGTTAAATTTTGGAAAGGCGTGAATAAAATAACTAATATTAATGTTTTGCGTTTCCGCGCCATTTTTGTTCGTTTGCTGTTTGGCGCCATTTTAAATTTGATTTTTGCTGACGCTACTTATAAAAATAGTAGTACTGTACACACTTCGTGTTTAGATAATCTAATTTCTTTAGTGGTAAGAGACAAAATGTCATGAGACCGGATTGCATGCAATATAAAAAAATTGAAATATGAAACAAAAAAGATGTTACTACAAATTGTATTCCGCAATCGATTTGGTACTTATGTTAATGAAATATGTTATATAATGAGACGTCTGACGGTTTTGTATAACATGACATGCCTTTGCTTTACATAATTATAGAAAAAAACTTAGAAGAAAGTGGTGTACATCTTAATGTTTGCCACAAGCATATACAGTGATAAATCTATACAAAGTCTAGCAGAAATAACGCACATCCTTATACATCCCAATGAGGAAGTATTTAAAAAAAAGTACTGAAAGCACCTCACTAGATGGCGATTCTAATAAAAGTTGATTTTTTCAGGAAACGAATGGACCAGATATAATCATTTCCGTTCCTTTTAACTAACATATTAAAAAAACTGAAATTCGCAATGTTCGAAACTTACATATGAATACAAATACGAAAAAGTACAAATAGAATATGAGTTATTTATTGAATTTAAAAATTTATTTACTTTTATACATGAAAGAAAACCGTACCGTAGCGACATCTAGTTTGATTTCGGGAACTAACGATTTTTTTAATACTTCCTTATTAGTAAATGCATTTATAAAACGAAAATTGGAATTTTACTTTTATGTACTAAAACATTGTTTATGTGTAGTCAGTTATACTAATTGCAGGGTAACAGTGTGGACATCTTACGAATCCGTCAAAATTACGGCTTAATAAATATAAATACTTATATTAAAAGTTATTGAAATCGAATCAGTATCTGATTTTAAATAAAACTCATTTCAGAATGTGCGTTAATTAAGTTACATGTTGTATATACTTTATTTGAAAATAGCAAAAGTATAACACTGTTTCATTGGACATATCTTGAGCTATTGCTTAACGGCAAAATATGAACGTATCACCGAAGTATTAGAAAAAAAAAACGTTATTCATACATGTACTCGTTCTGAGTTATGTGTATCTGCTTTATTATATGAAATCATTGCATATCAATTCGTAAGTGTATTTAGCAAAATATTTAATTTCTTTTATATCTTATCCCTTGCAATCGATTGCAAAAGAGAAATGAAATAATTATTTATTTAGCACTGAATAAGGCATTGATTACTTAACTAGTGTTACTACAAGAGCTAAGTAATGAATACCTCTGTTTATAATATTTTATACTATACTTACGAAAAAGAAAAGTGCTAAATCACTGAGTCTTATTCTTTTTATAACTTGACGTGTTGTTTACTGTACCGTGGATTGCAAGAATAGGGCGGGTCAAGTTTCGTGCCTCACTGCACTATAACGGCCCTACCCAACTGCTTAGTTTGCCTTAAGTATCTTTCGCAACTGAACGCAACTAGTTCTTAAGAAAAGATAATATGTAACACACTTGTGCAACTCGTTTACTATATGGTTGCTAAAAGGTACAATTTACCTTAAATAAAAATGTGATATTTGACATAATTCGGGGTCATTCATCAATCACGATACACGATAAGGAAGCAGAAGAGGATCAACAAAGTATTACGAATTTTTTATCCGTCAAGTAAATCGCAAAAAAAAATATATTTTTTATTTTGAATTGTCACATGTAAGTAGGTAGGACTTAATAAGACCACACTCCTCAACTGTAGTGCCTGTAATATAAGTCATTACTTGTTAACTTGAAGCTAAAAATCTCCCTACTAACGGACTAAATGAAATCTTTTTTTTTCCATATCATCATCCTTATTTATGGATGGCCTCTTATGTTTTTACCTACTTAATAAATTTTTAATACATGTAACACGGTCGCCGAACAGAAAGAATTTCGTACAATAACCCGCCATTACATATCGCACACCTAGATCTAAACTAAGACAACTCAAAAAGCTAATGTGGAGGTCTGACAATACATTTTTTTATGTGGCAGGAGCTCGACCACTGATTCAACAAAAGAAAGCTAAAGTTATCTAGCGGCTCATCCCCGAACCTTCATTGGATCTGTTATGTTGGATGATCCCAAAGTATTTGAATATTGTACTAAGTCAAAACTCAATAAATTTTTGAGTTGTCTCAGTTTAGATTTTTGCGATTTGATTGCTATTGCGCTTGCACAGATGCATTTAGCTAATTTTGTCATAGTAGAGTGAACCTAAATAGTTAATAAACAAGGTCTATCGTTGGAGTAAATTTACTGACACTGCACTTAGTATTAGTGAAAATTCATATTATTATACAGAGACTTAACCTAGTACGAGGTTCTACGGGAGTAATATTCACTCTTAGAAGGAAGTAGGTTTGCTTATTCTCTGTATAATAAGAATTTGGACTAATACTAAAATTGCAATTTTAGCGTAAATTTAGACGTTAAACCTTGTTTATTAATAGCACTGAAAATGTTACAATATCTATAAGTAAGCACAAATGCCAACTTACATAATTCGCTCTCTTCGGCGATCGTGCTATAGACACAGTTTTGTATTATTTGATTTGGACACTTTTGTTTGTATAATTTCTAGTTATTTAACTTATTGACGAATCTGATAGAAAAAAAATAAGAGCTTAATAGAAAATAAATACGAGTTTTATATTTTAAATCAATATGTGAATTTGTATTCGGTGAATGTAAATAGATAAATGTGATTGTCTGTGGTATGTATGTAAAGTTTGTATTGTGATTGTAGTTAAGTATAATAAAGCTTATTTGAGGATCGTATAATTTATTTATTTTATAATACTCTTTGTTCTACAATGTTAAAGAAGAGTATTACGTCATGGAGCATGTAAATGCCGCTAATAAGAAAGATACTATTTTTAAACGTTATTAGTACCACCATAATTAAGGTGAAGATGCCTAAATGTTTTTTTTTTAGAAAACTTTATAAAGAACATACCATTTCTTTATAAAAGAAGAAATTACAAAAAATAGAAAAATAGAAAAAACAGCCAACCAATATTATCTATAAAACGCAAAAAAACACTTAAATATTTATTTTAGTAAATCTGTGAAAATTTCAACCGTCCAGCTATAACGGCTTATGAGCTGACCTGCCTAATTTGAGATCACAGACTGTTTTCATACTTGAACTGAGTCTTAATAAATAGGGTTCATTTTTACCCTTTGTGAACGTAACCCTAAAAGTAGTTGATAATAGTTTTTAGGACTAGTCAAAATTCTAAAGCTGATGTACCAAAATAAACATCTCTTATTAGATTCCTACATTTGCATTTATCACCTGCCCTAAAAATTGGACTGCTGATTGGAATCCGTAATGTCCAGGACAGAAACTGAAAACTGTTGTCACATCACAACAAAGTCTGACTCCAAGCTTTTTAATAAACAAGGTTTAACGTCGGAATAAATTTACGCTGAGACTGCACTTATTATTAATCAAAATTCATATTATTAAACAGAGACTTAGTAAAGGTTAACCTAGTACGAGGTAATAGGGAGGGTTTGATTGATTGATTGATTAACACTTTATTGCACTAAAAACAAACACATAAAACAGAAAGAAATAAACATATATGCAAAAGGCGGCCTTTTTGCTAGGGTAGCAATTTCTACCAGGCAACCTTTGGCTAACAGAAAGGATACCAACCAAGTACAAATATAACGGGTTAGTGCTTTAAATTAATAAATATTCTTAACGAGAAAAAGAGGTTTGCTTATTCTCCGTGTAATATTAATTTGAACTTATACTAAAATAGCAATTTTTGCGTAAATTTACTCTGACGCTAATCTTTGTTTATTAATAACACTGAAAAAGTTTATATATCTTACAACTCAAGCTCTATATTCTATAGATACATTGTGCGGACAAATCTTATTGTAAGATGCAGACTCATACGTAATAATTTCAACCTTAATCTACCGTAACTAGAATTTAGAGACTTGTTTATATAAAACCCATTTAAACCAAAAACAAACACGCCACTCAAAATAATCCTATGTTTAATATTTAAAATAGCGCCATCTGTGTTCAAATTTTGTAAACTTTAACCAATGAGATTAAAAAAGGTATTTGAGATAAATGATATTGCAATGTTTTGTAATCAAAAATTCAGTCATTTCTTATCAATCATTAAGTATTGATTTCTCTTAACATCGATTTTATTTTAATATTAAATGTATTAAACAACGGTTTTTATATTTTATTGTAAAATTACTTAGTCAGACTTATGTCTTTGCTTGGACATTTCATTGTTTCAGTTTCTAAATTGCAATTTTAATTCAATATCATTAAATTAAAGGAAGTGTTTGATACATATTTAAAATTTGATTTTGTGCGGGGCCGAAACCGGGGTCCTTCTAGGTAAAATGTATAAGTACTTGTAATAAAAATTGAGAACAACTGCAAACAAATATTTTGTCATAGTACGCCAAAAAATCGCTCTTAATATTTCAGTTTTCGTACGAGGACATTTATTTCAAAATAATAAATACTCAAAAAATTTCAATACATTCTCATACCACTGTATTATACTTTTTTTCTAAAATCACTGCTAAATCCATTTATTTATATTTTAGTTAATTCTATTTATTTAAAATATGGTTATTTAAACGTGCAAAAATAGTTTATATTATAAAAAATAACAACATTACTAATAAATATAACGAAAACTACCGTCGTTTCGAGCGAACTTTTCGTGACGTCATAACCGCCGCGCCGGTTTGTCGGCGAAGTATAAAGGATGCCGCCACTTTGAAACACCGCTTTTTCACCAATCTGCGAGGCGAGCGCGTGCGTCTGTTAAATTGAGTTTTTATTTAAATTCACAATGGAGAACGATATGACGTATAAATTACTAGATTTGATGCAGAAAACTGGTTATTCTATAGTTCAGCACAACGGACAAAGGAAGTTCGGTCCACCACCGGACTGGACTGGCCCGCCTCCACCGAAAGGCTGCGAAGTGTTCATCGGAAAGTTACCGCGTGAAATCTTCGAAGACGAGCTCGTGCCGATTTTCTCGAAGGTCGGGAAAATCTACGAACTCCGGCTGATGATGGATTTCTCCGGCTCCAACCGAGGATACGCTTTCGTGACTTACTCCACGAAGATGGAAGCTTACAGAGCAGTGAAAGAGCTGAACGGCTACGAGATACGTGCAGGGAGACAAATAGGTGTCGTGAAATCTGTAGATAACTGTCGTCTCTTCGTAGGGGGGCTTCCGAAGACTAAAACCAAAGAAGAAATCTTGGAAGAGCTATCTAATCGAGTGTCTGGTATCGTGGATGTGATCCTCTATAGGAACTGCTTCGACCGCCGGTTGAATAGAGGGTTCGCGTTCGTGGAGTTCACGTCACACCGCGCTGCAGCGATGGCGCGCCGCGCGCTCATTCCGGGCTGCGTCAAAATATGGGACCAAGAGCTGATGGTAGACTGGGCTGAACCGGAACCTGATATTGACGACGAGCAAATGAAAAGGGTGAGTTTTATATTTCTTCTCTGTAAAATTGACTACGATTTTATATATTTTATTTTAATGCACACGTTTTTTACGCGTTTTCATTATCAACTAGTAACTATTTAGCATAATTTAAGAAAACTTCTTTCTTTTATACTAAGCGTTACTTATTCTTATTAGCGCAAAACATGCAAATGCGAGTGACCATATGTTTATTTTACTCCAATGTTTAGATAAGTAGTCATGTTACATACTCCATTGTTATAGTTTAAGTGCTAGGAATTCATATCTGATTTTGGTACTAATCCTTTCATATAGCATATTCACCTGTCGTATTCAAACTTCCCAAATTCATTACTAAAACCTTAAATCAGGTACTGGGAGGTCTTTAAATTTATTTTATTTATTACAGGTAAAAGTGCTGTATGTAAGGAACTTCTTGATAAGAACGACTCCTGAAACTATTCAGTCGGTGTTTGAAACTGCAATAAAAAATAAAATTGAGCGAGTTAAGAAAATTTACGACTATGCCTTTATACATTTTTATGAACGTGAACATGCTGAGCTTGCTATGAACAAATTGCAAAATGCTGAAATAGACGGTAGCAATATTGAAATAAGATGGGCGAAGCCGGTTGATCGAGAATTGTACCGTATACAAAAACTGAATCACGGCAATGCCAAATTTAATAATAGCCTCGATTTGTCTCAGACTCTTTTACTTTACAAACGACACTTGGACAAGAAAGAATATGCGAATTCTCCAAAGGATGACGAAGGCATCGGCTCCTCGGCATGCGCTGGGGATTCCATATGTGGATCACCTTCAGAATCAAAGTCTTCTAACTTTCAATACTCACCACCTAAGGACTGCTACACGATTGCTCCAGCTAAACTAGATTCTATGTGCAAAAGGTATTTATTTATTTTAGTCATCTTCTCTATACATTCTTTAGTCAGTGTGCTTTGAGAAAGAAATCAAATGTTTTTTCAATTTTTATTATAATTCTGTTGTATTTCCTTAGTTTTTGGTTCTTCAAAAGTCATTAATTAATGACTAATATATAATTAATGATGAATAATTATAAACTAATCTCATATAAATCCATTACAAAGACCAGTTTTCACTAAATGGACATTACATGTATAATTAGAATCTGTTATGTTGGGACAGGTACATGTGGGCCCCACCGGTGTACTCGTACCAAAAGTACTTGGGCCCGTCGGGCGAGGAGCAGTGGGTGGGGCGCGTGGAGCTACCGCTGGTGGGCGCGCCGCTGCTGACGGTCGCGCGGCGCGTGGGCCCACTCTCCTCCCGCGCGTGCCACTCCATGCAGCAGGCGCACGTCGAGGCCGCAGAAAACGCGCTTAACTACATCAAGGTATGCATATATGTGACAGACTACTAAATTGTCCTTGATAGTCCAGAAATTCGTAACTATGTATATCGGAACTACTGAGTCTTAACTCTTACGAATTAACATATCGCCTGAGGGCCTATTCTCTTTTTCCTTTAATGAAAGATTTCTAATCATCCTTATGTTATTGTTAAAATCACATCTGTGAAGATTACCTGTGAATTAGAGGATTGTCAGGCTTGGGTCCTACCTCTGTTACCTCTAAAATTTACTACTATCTCTGTTACTTTTAATATATGGAGAGAAATTGTTTGCTGTGTAATAGAATAGGCCTTTGGATATCATGTTAATTCGTCCTAGTAGTAGTTTCACAAATATCCATTAAGGTTTAAGGACTACTCTGTGCTCTAAAGTATGTTAAATTTTAAAATAAGTGTCTGTAATAGTCTAATACTATTGACTATTTTAATGGATAGTGTGTTAACTCTGTGTTTAATTAGATAAAGAAATACACCAACAATATCAGCAAGTCTACCTATAATTGTAAAAAGTAAATTATGCTAATATGTTCCTTCATAACTATCTAGTTGCCTGTCCTGGCTGTGCACTATTTTTCATGTAGGCTAACTTTTACAATTTCTTTATAATTTACACGCCATAACGTTTTTCTTAGATGTTTCCAAGTGATACATCTAAAGTATATGATAATATAGAAATTATAGAATACTAGCTTTACGCCAGCGGCTTCGCCCGCGTAGTGTTATATAAAACATAAATACCTTAATTTTGAATCGCCCTATCTATGAAAAAGAACCGCATCAAAATGCGTTGCGTAATTTTAAAGATTAAAGCATGCATAGAGATATAGGGACAGAAAGCGACTTTGTTTTATTTTATAGTATGTAATGATACACGCTGCTTTTAGCTACCCTTATTGGAATCTGAACAAAGTAAATGTTGACTAATATTTATTTATAAAAGCTTTCCATTAACTTCAATGCCTAATTATAATTTAAAAACCTCCTTAGCCGAGTGGTTCGCACGCCGGTTTCAAGGTGTCGCCATCTCTGAGGTCCCGGGTTCGATTCCCGGTCGGGTCAATGTAGAAAATGAACTTTTCTATATTGACTCGGGTCTGGGTGTTGTGGTACCTTCGTTGTCTCAGATACTCCATAATACGGGGGCTTTAGCTACTCATCTTGGAATCTGAGCAATGTATGTGATGTTGTTAAATATTTATTATTATTATTATTATTATTGTAACTGTCCTTTCACTTGAAATCCATTGAGTAGTTTGTTATACTCCAGATGCTGCGAGCCGACCTAATCCAGCGGTCTACGCCAGCGCCGCTACAGCACGTGTATGGAGTGAGTGGAGTGGGCAACGTGGGCTGCGTGCTACCCTACGACTACCTGCCACTGTACCCGCGTCAGCCCACACTGCCCCCGCTGCCGCTGCCGCTGACGGTACCACCCATCTGGCGCACCGTATGAGCCTCCTGCTCTCGTCTGACTACTCGACTCTCCGAAATCAGCTTTTATATTATAATATTAAACGCTCATTTCTTTTAAATATGGTGTATCATATGTTTACTAAAACTAAGTCTTTATTGTTGACACAATAGAGCTTAGACTTAGTTTTGTGACTATTGAAAGATCCCACTGAAATATCTTTTTATTCTTGATGGAATCAAAGGAAATTTCTTGAGTGGATTTTCAAACTGATGTCTATTTAACGCGACGGATTGTCGAAATCTTTTTTTTGACTTGTTTATTTAGGACATAATATTTCTGTTATTGTTTTTCACTGAACTTAGAATGTTGACCAAATTGTTTTCTTATATTTTAAGATGCCTCTTTTTTTACTATCTATATCAGAAAGACTAACGAATTTATGTTGTGACCGCTCTGTTTAGACTAACGCGCGGTTGTTTTTCATATTTGTTTAAGACTAGTTTTCTTTGATTAATAGTTTAAATAAGAAAGTTGTTTTTGATTGTATTTAATTTTATTTTGGATAGTTTATTGGCGTTATTTACTTCTGTAAAGCTGCCATGGAGTGCTTCCTTGTGCTTATATAAAGATATATTCAGAGAGAATGCACTTCTTTAGTATTGAAGTCTTAAAGAGACTCCTTTTGACTAATAAAATCATATAAAAACTAGTTGTTTTCATTTTACCTGTTTTCCAGTGTGAACAATAGGTTGGTATTACGAGTTCAAAATCGTTGCCGATTGTTGCATTTTATGGTATACTAAATATAAACTAAACCGGTATAAATAGTAAGTACATATAAGTATACTCAATTTTATCAAATGTCTAGATTTCACCATCCTCTGCAAAATGTCCAAACGATTATAGGTAGTTAGAGTTACCTACCTGGCTGAGAATTGAGATAGTAGCAATCGGTAGTACTTAAGACCTGAGTTACTGCATTCCTTCTAGCCATGTTACAGCGTAAGAGACCCGACTTGGCACCACTCTTATATCTAAACCAATTTGTGACTTCATTGACTTTTAGTTTGGTACGCTTGTTTTATATATGTATACATAGTCGTGTACCCAGGAAAGTATTTGCCTTCAAATTATGTTTTAACGCCTGACACTTTTTTAAAGCAATGAGTTTGTTTATTATTTGATTACTGTCATTATTGTACATGTACTTGAAACTGATAGTATGGAAACCAAATAAGCGACTACAATTCACATATCCAATTAATTATTAACTATCAGATTATTTATTTATGAGGTTATTCTACTTACTGTCTTTTCTTCAAAATCTTATAATGAAATGGACGTTGAAACGCCTGACGCGAATATTGGAGCAATTCTGTTTTTACGGTTGGTCGGGCTGGGACGCATACGTTGTAATTTGACCACAGATTTATGAATAAAGAAGGTTTAGCGCTGGAGTAAATTTATGATAATACCTGCATTTAATATTAGTCAAAATTTCATATTAAACGGACAATTGGCAAAGGTTAACCTAGTAAGAGGTTCTAGGGGAGTACCTAATATTTATTCCTAGAAAGAAGTAGGTTTGCTTATTCTCTGTATAATATGAATATAGACAAATACTAAAATTGCAATTTTAACTGAAATTTGCTCTGACGCTAAACCTTGTTTAAGAATAGCTCTAAAAATTAGTGGTGGTACCGTAGTATTTTGATAAGGTATAATCTATAAGACTCCAGCATTTTTATATTCTCGGCTGGGCTTTAAAGAACGACACGAATGTAGCATATAAATAGCAATTTAGGAAGAGTATACAAATCGTTTTGGCGCTCATTCATTGTATTTTACGTTTTAATTATTGAAATGAAATGAAAATATCTTTATTCAAGTAAGCTTGTTACAAGTACTTTTGAATCGTCCAAAATCTTTTATTAAAACAAGACTCTATATATTTTTTTATTAAACTGGTAAAATTGCAGAGCGCTTTATTACACACTCATCTTTGTTTAACACACCACCATTTAGGATAACCGCGTTCATTTGGTACCATAGAAAGTGACCGACTAACCACATCGGAGGCCCGAGGCGGCAATAGGCAAGGATCGACAACTTTTCCGGGTCAGAATATTGCTTTTACACCCGATACACTTTTTAATTTTATTAAGATTTTGACGGATGCTCCGGCCATTTGGAGGCCCGGGGCTTACTGCCCTCTACCCCCCCGCCCACTTAGTCCGCCAGTTACCAGTGATCACCTACTACATAGGGATGGTATGCACAGAGTACCTACATTATGTATGGAAACCAATAATCAACAATTTCAACAATTCTTAACACACTTAAAGGCCGTCAGCGCTCTTGTAGCACCTCTGGAGTTGAGCAGGTGTCCATGGGCGACGGTGAGCACTTACCATCAGGTGATCCGTTTGCTCGTCTGCCCCCTACCCCATAAAAAAGACACGCTTACAAGTGGACTTACATTGGCCACTACAAAAAGACTTGTCGCTAGGCTGTGCCCTGCCTTAAAGGCAGGTTTACAAACCGGTTAATACCCTCTTTCAAGTTTCTTGACAGATATAGCAGAAAAGTCCCTAGTTAAATTAAGTTGTGTGTCCCAACTAGTGTTGCCACATCTACAAAACCTATACACGCCGGTGAATCTATTAAAAATCGGTAAATTTTTAAAAATTACGGTAAACGGTATATACGGCGGGGTCCAACATAACGGCGATATTGTTTTACAGATTTCTTCATCGCATTCAAAGAAGTGTGATAAACATGACATTGTATTAATTTATTTATACGTTTGAATTTATTAAAATTAACAATTTTGTATCTTTCTTCCACTATCCATTCCACGAAGTCAACTCAATATGATACAAAAATTTTTACTCTTGATTAAGCTCCTTTGGTCTTATTATCTATTCTGTGATTTAAACGTGTTACCTACTAGTAGCGAAACAAGATAGTCTGTTTACTGTAGATATACCTACTAAACATAAGTCATATCCGTCTGGTCCAATTTCTAAACATAGACCAGACATTAAAGAGAGGATGTAAACCTAAAAGACGGACCCTGACTATTTAAAAACGGTTTTTAATTAATTACTCTCAAACTATTATGATCATTGTAAAAGTGCTGCACAGAACCCTCTATTGCAAGGGGACTATGCATTTATAACAAAAAAATTACTATGAAAAATAACTATGAAATTTTTTTATTATTTTTGTATAGGAGCCTTAACTTGAGTAACCTTGAATTATATACAAAATTTAAAAAAAAAACTATCTATTTTTTAATCAATCAAGTTTAAGTGTATCGAAAGAACTTTTGAATTTTCTAAAAATTTTTGTTATTAGCACATTTTCATAGAATATGACGTCTTATGAAGTTTATAGATTTGACAGCAATAATAGTAATCATCCTAAATCAATCCACTGCTTAACTTTTTAGCCATAGGATACCATAGCCATAGCGTACATCTTAGCGATATTTCGGTTAATTTTAATAATTACATAGAAGAAACATTGAAATGTTTATTTAACTTTAGGCCAAGAAATCGTACGTATATTTTGCAGATTAATTTTAAAAGCCTTTTTAAGTACATTAAATATACTACATAAGGCACTCACTTTTCAAACAGAGTACATTATACCATTATAGCCTATTCCGGGAAGGAGTGCATTGACACTTGATTTGACCCCACATTTTCTGTGAAAGCTTCCCATAACTGGGGATTTTTATAAAGTCATAATTGATTATACCTACCAAAACAATCATTTAATTCATGGGGGGAATAACCTTATATTTCATTTGCCAAAGATAATAATAATAAAATAATCATAATATACAAATACTGGTATATGCAAACATTAAAATTGTAATGCCTGCTGTGCACTACTTTCCATACAAAAATATTATTTTTGTTGTTACACACAATGTCATTCTTCAGTCGCTCGTATCTTCTTACTAGTCTGTGGGTCGCTCGAGCTTGAGTAGCCTTATGCGAGGTAGGTGATTCCTAGCGTCTCGTTGACTGTGTTGCCATTATGTTTATCGTGCCAAATAAAAGAACAAAGCAAACAACAAATTATTACACTATAAAGCTTACAAACTGGTGTTAGAGTCTATTTTAGCAGTAACAGTGTGTTATCTTAGCCTTTAGTTCATGCTTTACGTGTCGATATATAATGTTCGAATGTTCCTTGCTTTACCGTGAGTCGTGTTTGGTTATTACGTACGTAAACATATTTGAAAAAATTATAAAATCAATTATTTCTTATCGATAGTCCATTAAGTGTTATTGTTTTAATACTATTATTGCTTACAAACTTGAAACATGGAACAAAATCGGAGAAATAATGAAGAGGAATCGAGCGGGTGGTGGTGGAAAGGCCTAGGTGCCGTGGCTGTTGCTGCCGCTGCGGGTGCAGGTGTATACTACGCTACCAGAGGTTCTCAAACAACTCCTAAGGGTGACAGTACACAAGAGCAACGCATTTTGCAAAAAAAAAGACGTCTTTTGCTATCGGGACAAACCTGTTCATCTTACTTGAACGATTTATTTCTTAGGGCATCTTTAAATGAGTAAGTTACAATTCCATTTCAATAGACTTAACCGCTTTGGCATCAATTATACTTACTACCTACTAATTGGCGTTTTTAAAATTTTTAACGTGACGATACTATATTTGATGTGTACGACCAACGATAACATAGAATTTAAATTGTAAATCTATTATTCCTATCTATGGCTATTTATGATTCAATTCGACAGGGTTCCATAGGATATTTGCGATAAAACGTAAATCATCTTAACGACTTTTATGTTATCTAGAAGTGAAATCACATATAACTCATGTAAATGTCGAGATAAAAATTACGATAATAGGTATATGTAGGTAACGAGGTGCATAGATATCTACATATTAATTTGCTTTGTTTGGTTGAACGCGTTAATCTCAGGAATTAGGTTCGAATTAAAAATATGTATATTTACGTGTTAAATATATAGTCTATTTATTGAGGAAGGCTATAGTAATAGGAATAGAGCAACTGGAAAATGTTGCAAAAATGGGAATACCTTACGGGCGAAACCACTGGTGCGGCTAGATTTTCGCCAACGGCAAAATTGCATTAGGATAAAACTGATGGCCGTGGTAGTTAATTTTCTCAGAATAATTACTCATTTCGATCGAAAAAGATATTTCATTTATTATTTACGATACAGAAATAATAGGGTAGTTTCGGTGGTGAAAAATAAGTCACGAAATTGAAACATAGAAATTCTGATTTAGAATTTTAAAATCGCACGATTATATTATTATCTTAAAATCATGATTTTTGCCTCTGTGTCATGCCTTATCTCTATGATGTCACGTGACTTGAAACACGTCCCGACATTGTGCCGACAACTGTCAGATTAGTACAAAGATATTAATTATAAATCAAATTCCTAGATGGCGCAGGTCTTAGCTTATTTATATATTTTTACTGTTTATCGAGTTTTGAAAACTGTGACGGACAGCGTTTTCGCGGATATAAAAAAAATTAAAATTTTCATTTAATTTTTAGGCACGAAAACGTGTTTATTTTATAGAAAATTAAAATGAAAATTTATAAAAAATAAAAATATTATTTCAAATGAAGTAGAATACCATATTGTATATGTTTAATGAAATCGTGAAAGACACTTTAATTTCTTGTTTTACAGTAAAATTGCAACTAAAAATGAGTTTAACAAATTCAGTTATCTCATTTAATTTCAATGATTTAAAATAATTTTACAACCCTCTATCCACGCAAAACACATATCGCAGTAGTTTTGTCATATAAAATAATAGATTATAGTCTTCGATCGATAACACTTGATCGATTTTTATTATTAAAGTTGTTGATTATAATGAAGCGTCAAAGCTGTCAAAGTTGAGGAAGCTTGGTGCCGCTGAAGTCGTGCACATAGCCAATATCTATACTTGTCGTGTATTTATTTGGTATCTTTGCCCAGATTGCCCAAAGCACTTTGATGTAGTTAGATACCTATCTGATTATTTGACGCGACAATGACGGAGTTATAGCTCAGTTGTTGAAAAAGATTTTATCTATTTATATACTAGTTTGTCGCCTCGGTTGCCTATAGAATAATAACAAAGCTGTTATTTTGAGTCTACAGATCAGCCTATAAAACAATATACATCTGCGTACCTCTACGATCGATAAAATTGTCTAGAGCAGCAGTTCTAAAACATTTATAGCAATGGGATTGGAATGGAATTTAAATATAACGGCAATGTAAACAAAATATTTTCTATCAAGTGGGGGCGCCAAAATCAAATTAAAGTAGATTTTGGCGTCCAAACTTTTTCTCTCTGACGGTTATGCTTATACATACTCTGCTTATACACTGCATTTTTCTGCAAAATTTTGGTAATATATGTAAAATCGTCAGCCTCATGGAGTGTAGAAGGGCGAATATTCTATATTCAACAATAAACGCCTTCGTTTAGGGTAAAAGGATTATATTTGTAAGCTCTGAAATGTTTAAAAAATCTTAATTGCAGCAACATAGTCCATGAGGCGCAGGGTAGAGTCGACCCCAGATCGATCCCAGATAATCCAATTATCAATAATCTGAACTCCTTGCTGTCTGATATTTATGTGAGGTACACAGCAATACGGCTGGATGACTTCGAGCTGCATTATGAAGTGTTCAATAGCATTTTTTATAGTCTTCATCAAAAGATGAAAGATGTTGATAAATATTACAATCGCTATTCCAGTACGGTAAGACATCACCTTGTTTATGATAATAGTAGGCTAGTGTTACCATTATTATAAGTAACATCTTAGATTATGTATAAACTAAGAGTATCTGTAAAATTTATCTCGGCAATATTGCTATTCTGTATAAATACAGCGCCGAACACAGCGCCTTTACAGCATTACAATAGTACCTTTAATACATTTTGAAGTAGGTTTTATTTGATTGATCCTCCATGCTGTGTCAGTGCTGTGCTCTACGCTGTAATTTAAACAGAATAGCACTGCAAAAGAGAGCACGCTCCAGGTAATGAAATAAGAATACCTAGTAACACATTGATATTTGTGAACAAGATAATTATTTAAAATTACAATGTCGGTTCCATCAATAGTTCTATATGTTTTTTTCCTTTCCTTGTTCTGTGATGATAACAAGCGATAATACTCGTAGACTATAATAACCAAAATGGGCGCGAAACGTGCGCGCGAAACTGATCAAATCTCAAAGTGACAGTGACAGGCTGTCACTGACAGCTAAGGATGTCCGTAGATCAATTATTTTTAATTACAATTTACGATTTTAAAGCAGTTTTATATAATCACTAAATTGATAAGTTTATATTATTTACAAGTATGTAACGTTTTGAAGCATCTTTAATCACTGAAAAGCGTAAGTAAAATGTCACTGTCATTCCCAACTCCACTGTCACTACGTATTAATTTAGTTATATCAATGATATTACAATAAAAAAAGGTAGATAGGTTACTTGCATTCTAAAAGTTTCACACTAAAACTATGCTTATTAGCATACATGAGCGCAGTCTGGCGAACTTGCTGATTATGTGCATTTATGTAACATAATCATTTTAAAAATGCCATCCTGTGTTATGCGATACTGTAGAAAATACTTAACTAAATCGTCTAATTATCAAGAGCCCACATTTCATTCGAAAGTACATTTTCAATTGATTTACGTTTTAATCAGAAAAATAAATATTATGTCGCAAAAAGAAATAATAAATACTCTGATTACAAATTGTGAAAGTGATCTGTCAAAGATTATGTAAGTAACAGAACGGACAATTCGACTTTAGTGCCTACGCTCTATCTTACATTTATTTGAAAATCTCTCTTTATGAGACTGAAACTCCAAGGTTTGAATTCGGAGCATTGAAACCTAACTCAGGAGCAAAAAAAAAAAACTCCGATTCCGATCAAAGCCCTCGTGTTATTATACATATATTAGTGTCAGGTTTATTTTATCGCTTCAAAAGTATATTTATACATGGGTAACTAATATACAGACTAACGAAAAGGAGAAATAATAATGTTAGACAACAACATTTTTAAGTTGAACTGTTTATCAAAGTCTTTTACTCGTTTAGGTAAAAGTAGGTGCATTAAACATGCATTAAATCATTATGCGTCTGGTCTGTGACATGTTCAATTTTAGTCTATGAATAATTGGAGAGCGTCGTGCCATGTGCATGTATATGCTGGAGATAATTTTTGACATTGTATTAGTACTGAGATGACCTGTCCACCCTTTTTTATTGTAATATCATTATTTATTATAGGTTATTTCGCTTGCTAAGACCAGTTTATAAATTTTGAAATCTTGATGTGGATATTTTATTACGAAATGGTAATAGTGGCCGGTATAAGTCAGCATTTTCTTCATTACAGTAGAAGCACTTAGTTTCACTGATGTACTTAAGTAAATCGGCAAATAGTACCGCCAGTATAAGACTATATCTTTTCCTCTTACTACAACTCGAAATTGTCAAGACGTGACACGCCCACGTCATTCACCGGGCACGAACGTGGCGCACGCATGCTTCCTTCGATAGTATCTGCCACAGCTCGACTTGCTTAAGCTTGCTTATCAAACACCCGCTGCAGAGGCAATCTAGGGTACATGGTGGTCGCGACAATATCAGAGTTGTTTCCACATATGATATGCTTTTTTGTGAAAGCAAAGGAATTGCTCTTTAAGCCTTAAGTCCAGCCTTAATAACCACATTAATCTACCCTGAAAAGGATAAGTCAATGCGTAGCTAGCCTGCCTGATAAAATACTCTTAGTAGGACGGAAGGCTCAGGAATCCAAGAAGGAGCTCGCCGGAGCCCTCCCCACCTACACATATGCCTGCCGATCAATGGGTGGTATTAGCGAATGCAGATGCACAGCAGTCAGCATCTGAGACCAACGCCTTAACTGCTCGAGAAAATAAATTTTTAATTACCCATCTAAAGAGAAACCTGTGAAAATTGCTTCAGTATCGTTCTCCAAACAATCGGTTTGTCAAATTTTGTCACAATATTATCATTATTTTGAAAGCATAACAGAGAAACAAGGTTACATGTTATTTTACGCGTTTATCACATTAATAGGTTTATTACATATAAATTCTTAATACTAATAACTACAATTATAAATGTTTACAGGTACAATTTGCTGGTAGTCATTACGACCGACTACGTATTAAAAAACCAGATGAGTTTGACATGGACGTTGTGATTGGTCTACCACTCAGCATCAGACATAATCCATTCAACATCGACGATAGTGACTTCATAATAGAGCCGAAAGACGCTGGCTACGTACATCTGAAGATGGGCAAACAATTCAAAAATTTGCCAATGAGAGATAGTCTCGATTGGGACATAAACAAAACAGCTTTTAAGTGGAAGGATGAGAATGACTATTTGTTGCGTTCTAAGTTCACGGATTGGTTCAAAGGAGTAGTAGTTAGAGCCTTAAACACCTTTGATAGGAATGTTTTTTCGCAGCCTATTTATGTAGTTAATGGTGTTGTTTACACGATCGATAGATCAGAGTCAGGGCCGGCTATCACTATTAAGATAAAAAACAGAAATTTCCAAATGGACGTTGACCTAGTGCCAGCTTTGAAATTTCCAGAGGACCGCTGGCCAGTAGGGCCCGATTATCGGAATATACCACACAACTGCAAAAAAGACTACTGGATGGTTGTTCCTAAACCTAACAAGAACGGACAATGTGATGTCTCGAAATCTCGATCTTGGAGGATTGCAATGCATTATCAAGAGAGAGAACTGATGTACAACACGAATCATTTGCGTCAATCTATTAGATTGGTTAGTAGTATATTTGTATTATGTCCTTAAGTAGTTCAATTAAGTTATGCATAGGTATATTTCTTACTTAAGTAGGTAACTAGGGCCAATAATTTGAACCAGCAACATAGTCTACTATGATATTTTATGCGATTTCTCAAATCATTTATAATTGACGATTTATCTATCACCTGAATTTCTTCTTTGATTGTTGTTTCGGGATCAAAATCGTCATCGAAATTGTAATAAACTATATATAGTAGTGGACGATAAAATTGGGTGTAGAAATTGTATTTTAACATAACAACTTTTGAAATACATTTTTATTGATTGCTTGTTAATTCTTAAATGAAATATTTATAATTTTATTAATTTACAGTTGAAAAAATTACGCGACTCTCAAGGCATGGAGAAGATAGCCAGTTATTACATCAAGACATTGGCATTTTGGGAGATCGAGCGGATCAACGATATCTCGTATTGGAACAAAAATCCAGCTGAGCTATTCAAATTGATGGTGAAGATATTCCATAAAGCAATGGTGGATGGCAATATTCCATATTACTGGAATAGACATAATAATCTAATAGAAGGAATAAATCGTCAATTATTAATTTCGTACGCTGCTAGACTCAAAAATCTAATGGATGTATTAGAAGTGCCATCACAATATAAAAAGGTTGCACGGTTTTTACTTACTCAGGCTGAGTTTGAGGATTATAATAAGAGATTCCTAAAGGATTGAAATGTTCACTTGTACAATTTCTTCAATATTTTTAGTATTTTAATACGATGCTTATACGATAATATGTACAATTTTAAATAACAATGATATGTAATCAATTTAAATTTAACAGAATTTATTCACATTTTAATTGTAATTAATAAAAAAAAAAACTAATTACATTTATTGACAATAAATATAATAATAATTTTACTAAACAAATATTATTTGTATCATTAAACAAGAGAAATATAATCATACTTTAATCCAATGTATTTTTTTTTTCATTTTTCATAATAGATAACAATAGTTATTATAGTTCTTATTTTAATAAGTCCGCCGCTTAGAATTAAGTCAATTTATTATTTTCGTATTTTTGCCGCTAAATAATACTGGCAAACCCGCAGCTATTTCGTAATACGAGCTAAAATAGAGCGAGACAAAACTCATGCGGAACATTGCAGCTTTTTTGTTGTTTTGCTTTCGCATAGGTGTACAGACGGCGTAATCGATACCACCATTTGTCCGATACAAGTATTCAATCACATCGCTTGCCTTTTAATCAGTGTTGCCAACACTTCACTATTTCTAATGAAAAAAAGATCTAATTCTAATAAAAACATAAATAGTATAAAATTAATACAAAATAAAATAATAAAATTATAGCAATGATGAGTTCTGATACTTAATTTTTTTTTTACATTTAATGCGTAAATATTTTTTGGCGTGTTGACTACTACAATAAAATGAAATTATTAGTAAAAAAGAAGTTATGAGAAACGTTATTACGCCGGATCAAAATAGAAACCGTAAAAAGGTAAAAAAAATACTAAAGCAGATTTGATTTAGATGTGTAAGCGTAACAGGAGTTGCAATATTAGAAGAGATTACCAATAAGGAAATATATAAAGCTTCTTCTATTTATTCTTTCATTTATTCGTGTTAGAATGCAATTCCGGTTGTTTTCTTTTTGAGCCAAGTGCTTTCCCTTCAAAACATTAGATGTTGGTAATTTAGAGTATACAGGTGTATGTGTGAGCATTATTTTTTTAATAAATAAATATTAAAGAAATATCACATACATTGCTCAGATTCCAAGATATCATAACCAGAACAGTCGAAGGTACCATAATTATATATATATTATATCCCACACAGATGGCTCATCGCTATTAAAATTTGCCGACATAGGAATATGGTCATGAGTACGTTATTGAAAAGCGTGATACTTTAGCATCAAGTCGTCTTTATCCTTTTTCCCCAATATTGCCTTCCACAAATTAAAATTTCCCGAAATGCTATCAGATTCTGGTACACCTATAACTGCTCACTAAAAGGAATAAAGTAAATAATTAAAAACACGACTACCAACAACAAACCAAAATTAAAGAAATAAGATTTATTAGAGCTTGGCTAAACAAAATTCCCATTGCACTCGGGGGACCGTTCTGTGGAATATTTGTAATCGAACAGGTTCCCCCGACTCTAATGAGAATTTTGTTTAGCCATGACATAATAGTTTCTCTTATTTTTAGGTCAGTTTTTTTTTTATCCAATTTGTTCTTATTCAAATATGCCATACAAATAATACACGCTTTGCCATCTTTACTCAAGCACACACGAATCTCTATAAAAAAAAAAAACAAAATTGTTTATTAAGTTAAAGCTTTTACAGAGCACTTGTGAAAGTCGAAAACTACGCCATCGGTTCGCAAAACTACGGCGGGATACCTTGTACTGAGAAGAACCGGCAAGAAACTCAGCAAGGGCTGCTTTGTTCTCCCTGTTTTATTTCACACAGAGAAGTCTTATTGAAATGTGACTTCATTAGAATATGAGATCACATTCCATTAGAATATTAGAAATAAGGGAGATATTTTCGATAAGTGATTAATATGTCGATCGCTGATTCATACATACTCGTTAACAAATCAATATATGTACAATATTGATTATAAAAGAAAATGGGCTAAGTAGTCTAGAGCAGACTCATCCCCACTGGCAGCACCCGTTCACGAGCATGACGCATGAGCCAGCCATCGCTTCGCTCAACCATATTTTAGGGTACGTAACGACCCGACACACCCGACACCACCGCAGAGATTTTTAAAAGAACGTGACTACTCTAGGTACTTAATTTATGCAGTGAATTAAGAAAGCTTATCTTATACCTCTTCACTATTTTAATTAAACAAAAATACTTTTAACTGTTCATGTGTTGCTGTTTTAATTAAATTTACCTATACTTTGGAAGATTTCCAGTCAGGTTGGGGAGAAAGTCGCAAAAATTCTGGCAACACTAACTTACACACGCGAGTGAAACACTTTGGAATCAGGGAGCGCCATTGGCGCACGAATGTCAAATTAAACTGTGCAGTGTTTCATTAAAAACGGGCAGAGTGAGAGAGTAAATTAGTAACTCTCCATCTCTGTCTTAGTAGTTTTGTAGGATGTCCACGCGTTTTTAATTATTTCATAAATAGGTAATAATTTAATAATGTTACATGACCTTATTTAAACATTTACAGATAAAACTTTATAATTTTTTTTCAGATATTATGAATGATGTTGATGATATTAAAAATTTAACCAATAAATTAGTTTTTATTTATCGGTAAAAATATTTATTTTGTAGGAAAAAAAAAACAAATGCATAAATGTTATCATAATCATCTTTAATGTATAAAACAATTAAAAGGATAGAAATGTTTTTTTTTTCCTATTAATTGTATGAGAATACAACGGATCATTTTGTCACTTTGCCTGGTATTGATCCTAGAAACATAAGAGCAATTTTGTCATGGTCAGCATAATAAAATTATTACTTTATAAAAATTTATTCAAACTAATGTGTAGGCCATTCAGATATTTTCCAAAACATAAATAAGCTAGTTCTCGTTTTTCATTTTCCAAATAACTTTGTACCTACCGTGAAAATATTCAAGGTTCTTGAGAATTTAGAATATTAATTTCGCAGTGCATAACTTTTTAATAAACATTTTTACTGTTGTTTTTGTTATTGTTTTTACATTTTTATGTTAAGCAAGTAAATTTTACAAAGATTAAAACGAAGAATGGCGGGTAGCGTAAGTTAAACTAATAAATGTTTACAATATAAACGTATGTATATTAATTTAAATCAAAGCCCCTTTGATATGGTTTTGTTTCTTGTTCGTAGACACCCTATTTCATCACTGTTTAATAAATAAGGAAAACAGCTTACCTGTGGAATGTGAAGTCACAACCGTGATACCATTCATTTTTGCAATCAGCCAAGCAAAACAATATACCATTTTGATGTAAATAATCGAATTAGTAAGTCAAAACACAAATAAACATCAAACTTTAACATTATTTACGTTGTCACATCGAGCGGCCATTTAATTTATAATATTGTCACTTAAATGTAACGAATAACTACTAACACGACATCGGTTTACATTATAATTTTAATTAATTCACACTTTTACTTAAATAACATATCAACTATGTCTATTCAATATATTTACTATTAGATAATAACTAAAATTAACTAGTCATGTCTTAAAAAAAAAACAATATAATCTCCTAAATGCCAGTAACGATTATTTAATTTTCCAATGGCAACTTGTTTGACAAGGACCTACTGCTATAAATCTAATATCTCTAGTAGACCGTTTTTCTACTCTGAAAAGTGACATAGAAAAATAAGCCTTATTTTATAATAGATAAAGTGTAAGTTTGGTTTTAAGAAATATATCAGTACGCAATCCAGTTTAATTTGACATTCGTGCATTGGCGCTGCATTTCCATAAGTGTTGCCAAAGATACGGCAATTGCTGTTTCATTTGGCAATCAGGTTTTTCAAAATGTAATATTGTGAATATTGCCGCACGCTAAAATACGACAACTGCCCTTTTGCATTTCTCAAGAAGCCATTGTTTTACAGTTGGTCTATGCTTCTTTTAAAGGTGTGTGACAAGAAATAAAAGTTTTACGTAAAATAATAGATTTAGCGTAAAAATAAATTACTTCTATTAAGATTTTCAAGTATATTCTATGCTATGGTTTCAGAAACTTGTCCTCAATCAAAAACATTTCTTTTTGTATTTTTTTGTCTCTCATTGTAAACGAAATGGCTGATCAAAGTGGATGCATTTTCAAATGTTTTGTTGACCTAAAAACAATGAAACAAAAAAAATGAATCGATTACAAAACGTTCCATAGAACAGTCCCCCTACCGAAATGAAAATTTTATTTAGACAAGCTTATTATTTTAAACATTTTATGACCTCAAATATGATTTTTATACAATTTTGATAGAATTTTACGTCGGAGCTTTTTTTAAATTATGGTTCACATCGCAAACGGGTTTTTTCTTTTAATTTATTTTGGCATCAAACAGTCATGTAAAATAACAATATTTTCACAAACAGTAATAATGACTAAAAAGACCAAGTTTAGTGCAAACAAAGTGTTTTCATGTTTAAACGTGATCAGACAAATATTACTGTTGTAATAAAAAAAAAATGCAGGTGATTACAATAAAAATCAAATCAGAGAAGACCAAACAAAATGTAACAAAATAAAATAATTAAAAAATAAACTATTTATTTTAAACAATAATTATTTTTATTTTTCTTTGGGTTGTCGATTTATTTATTAAAGTATTAATCAGTATTCAAAAAAACAATTAAATATAAAAAAAAATATTGTAATGGAATGGGGCATTATTTTCTATTGTGAACGGCAACCCACCCAATATAAGATCAGCGGCAACACTCATTTTCAATCACTCGTGTGATTTTTATAGCAAGGTGACTAACCGTCTCGGTAGTGTTTGTGTTCTTGGTGTAAAAAAAAACTGTCTACTGAACCACAAATCAGAATTTTTGCGTGAGGAAAATATTTGTATTTGTAATTTTTATTTCTTATTGTTCGGGAGCTTTTGTATCACATGCCATAGATAAGTCTCCTTTAGGGCCTATATACTTCAGAAGTGTAGGAAAGGAGAATGTACTTTACATTATTATATGACTCGAAATAAACAACTGCAAGAGACGGGAACGTAATCGTGTGGTGCACAATTAGGCCTTTATTCCCGTGTAATTCGGATCGTCTATTCGATATTCAATCGATAGGATTATTTGTCGTCAATCACATTGTCATCATCATCATCAGCTTATCGGTGTCGGGGCGCAGGCCTTCCATAAGAATGGAATTGAATTGAATAGGAATAAATGGCCGTTAACCCAAAGGCCCAGTGCGGATTGATGGGTGTTAACGACTCTAACTTTAGCCGGGACCAACAGTTTAAAGTGCTTTTAGGAGGAGACGGAGGACGGACAATATTTCTAATCAACCACACATGACCGGCCTTTATGTTGCCTAAATTTTTAACTTGCCCATTCCAATCGAACGCGTTAACAGCTCATATTATCATTGTTTGAAGTGTACTTAATACTCGATAGGTTCATTGTGTTCATAGGTTTACATAATTATAAATTGTTGTATCATTATCAATCCTGTCGGGTATAACAATAACACAAATAAGAAACACTGCTCATTATTACCTATCATTTAAATTTAAGTATCCAAGAAAAAAATCAATATCACAGATTCCTTCTTTCGTATTGAAAGTATTGGCTTTATCTTCTTGAAACAGTTTTTTGTTTCAGACTAAATATCTTCCCAGTTTTACAGTACGTACAGCATAATAATCGTGGATTTGTATTAAACGTAATCCTAGGTAGGTATTAAGCGGGTTTTACTGGCTTCCATTTTCATAGAGAATAACAGTGGAGTTCAATTATACAAAAGAATGTCTTGTTATAACGATAAGTTATCGTGTGGCGTCAAAAAATAATAATAAGTTCTCATCATCAAAAATAATGACAATGATATCATACATAAGTAGGTAGGTAGGTAGATATTAGTCATTATTTATTTACACACAATTTTTCAACATAACAACACTCAAATTCGTTGATATTCTTATGCCTATACTATCTTGATGTACATAATATCCCTAAGGGCGCTTGGGCACTACACTGAATTTTCATGTCCGGCGGTCCGATTTATTAGGTCCGATATGTAAGGCCTTATATAGGTAATGCTAGCATGTGCACTGTCGGGAATTTTGCCGTCCGGGATTTTACTTTTTTCTATTCCGGACCGGTTTTTTCAGGTCCGTGATGGCGGCAATGAAAAACGTGTTTACGCTTGTGTTCATAAGGAATAGGCTTGGGAAAAAAATAATCGATTTCCGTATAATCGATATTTATTGTAGATTATAAAATGCTATGTTTTATATGACGATTTAATATAGTTGGTAAATATCACTGCATATGCTTTGGCAAACTCGGTGTAGATCTAATTTCATCAGCGTATGGTTCTAGTATCGATACTTAGCTAGATTTTAGAATCGTATCAAAAGTATTGATAACTTAAGGTTAGATAAATAAGTGTTGTTACGCTTAGACTCATAAACAACTGAACCCATCTTAATGGAAATTAATATAGTAAATAGAATTAACTTTAAGAAAGAGCATAGGTTACATTTTATCGCAAAAAACAGGGGATAAAAGTTTGCCTGGAAATTTGTCATTATCAAAAATTTTTTAGACAATTGATAAGTATAGATAAATATTTGATAACAGAAGGAATAATTGTCATAAATAAGTTTTGTGTCATAAATCAATAAAAAAAAAAAAAAGTATTCTAAGGGAAAAATATTTCTGCTCAAAGAAACTACACCACGCGTATAAAATTATGCCTACCTATACATGATACAGTCAACTGATCTCGTAAAGTTAGCATATTAATTCTCCGCTTACACGGCACTAATTTCGATTTGTTTACGAAACGGCGCCACCGATTGGTCTATCTCTGTAATCGCTTAAAGTTGTTTTTACAAAACTTCGAAAAAAATAGCAAGTTTATAAATTTAAATATCAAGTACTAACCCATTATCAGTAATTTTATTCTAATGTCACAGATATTTTTAGCTATTGTATGTGAATAATGCTGTTTCTAAATTAGTAAAGGTATGAGTTTTTCACCTGATAGTAGTCATCCGATAGTAGTAAAAAAATGCTTTCGTCTTGCCATAATTTATTATGGTTTATGTAAAATGATCAGGTCATTATTTAGGTACCTTTCTACGTCTTCGAACGCAATTACCGACGTTCCAAAAATCTCATCGTACCTAGTGACGTGTGTAAGTGACGTGTAGCTTCAAAAAGAGCTGCTCTACAGTGCTCCGATCCAAGTGCACAAGCTACTCATCCGGGTTTTTCATGTCATTCCGGACCGGAAAAAATCGGACCGCCCCAGGTCTGAAAATTCAGTGTAGTGCACAAGCGCCTAATAATTTTTTTATAATTGTTAAATCACATCTTATATTTTTTTTTAATCAAGACAGATCCCGTCTACGCTCCTCAAAAAAAATTGTTGCTATATCAACTTTTTGTGTTTCGATTTTATTGAGATGATAATATGTGGATTCATTACTCTCTTTTCAATCGCAACTCTTTATTGCGATTTTTTTGAAGTCGTTGTTTTTATTTTTTCGAGTTGTTTTTTTTTTATTTTTCTTTTTTTTTAATAGAATTTGTCACCGATCCATTTTATAGTGGTTAATAGTGTTTCGATATTAGTGAAAATTAATAATTATTTTGTCTTGTGTCGTGATCCTTGATAAGTAACCAGCCGGTGTTGTAGAACGTTCTTCAACTACTCAGCTGATCGACGTTTATCCGTGCAATTGAATGGCGCCATTTTAACTTAGGCTACTACGAGGGTCAAACTGAAAGTTCTTAGAAAATCAAAAACTGATTACATTAGCCAGTTATTAGTTTTATTATATCTTTTCAAAATATTGTCCATTCACGTCAATACACCGCTGCATGCGATGGAACCACTGGGAAAAGCACTTTGCCCACTCGTCCTTAGGGGTCTCTTCAATGGCATCGCGATACGCAGCCACCGCTTCTTCAGCATTCATAAACCGCTTTCCTTTAAGTTTTTCTTTAATTTTTGGAAATAAATAAAAATCACAAGGCGCGAGGTCGGGGCTATACGGCGGGTGACCCAGTAATTCAACGTTTGATGTCGCCAAATAGTCGATCGTTCGCTTGGCGGTGTGCGACGAGGCGTTGTCGTGGTGAAGGAGGATCCCACTGCGAGGTCGTTTCTCTCGAACTTTTTCCAAGACAAGTGGCAAACAATTGGTAGTGTACCATTCTGCAGAAACTGTTTTTTGATCCTCTAACACAATTGTTGCAAAATGACCTATCCTTCCAAAGAACGAGGCCACCATTTTTTTTCCCGCACTTCGATCTCTCTTCACTTTAGTTGGCAACTCCTCGAAAGGAAACACCCACTGAGCAGATTGTCTTTTGGTTTTAGGATCATAACAGTAAATCCAGCTTTCGTCACCTGTTAGTATGTCGAACACAGCATTTGAGTCACCTCCGTTAAATCTTTCAATCATTTTACGACACCAATCCACACGATGGAGTTTTTGAGCCTCAGTCAAATTATGAGGTATCCACCGGGCGCAAAGCTTCCTGACCGCTAAATGTTCGTGGAGGATTTTGTGCACTTGACTCATACCGATGCCTAAGCTTGTCCGAATCTGTTGATAGGTCACTCTTTTGTCAGTCTCTATCATACGCCGCACAACACAGATGTTATCTTCAGTCGTCGCCGTAGAAGGCCGTCCCTCACGTAAATCATCAGTGAGATTAGTGCGACCACGTTTAAACTCATTAAACCAGTTGTAAACAGTCGCACGAGATGGGGCTTCATCGTGAAAGGCCAATCGTAGTCTATCATAACTTTCTTGTTGACTTAAATGACATCGAAAGTCATAAAAAATCATTGCACGAAAATTTTCTCGTGTTAAATTCATGATGACGTGATACAGACAATTTTCAATTTGCCGCCAAATCGTAAAACAAATGACAAATGAATGAAATATATACTCAGTAATATTGGCAAAGAGTTATATTTTCAAATTTTAGAATTATTTTTTTATTATATTGTTTATAAGTGGCCAGTTCTAAGAACTTTCAGTTTGACCCTCGTATATAAACATGATACCTAATCAAAGACTCATTCATTTATCAATATGCAATTTGCTACAGCAAAATGTTAAATCATATCAAGAGATTTTGTCATTAGTTCTTATCCATTCAAGAGCAATTAAACATATATATCTAATTTCAGAATACACATTTCTAACCGGTGAACAATGAGTCGACATATCAGAAGAAAAGAAATATCTAATCTTGATTCATTATTAGCATATATATATGAAGAATATATAGAGATTCGGGAAGAAGACTTCACCCTACATTATAGAGTCTTTGACGTTATTTTCCAACAACTCAGAAAAAAGATGGAAGAGGTCGATGAACTATATAAACGTCACACCAGTACGGTAAGTGTGGTAATTGGTGGGTTTATCGTTATTAAAATCATTATTCGTGGCGCCTACAATGAGATAAAGAGGGCAGTGGCATAATTATACCGTTTGAAGCCCGTGGCAAATTAATCGGATATTCATTTTTTTTACTTGTTAAATTGAAGTAAAAAAAAATACGTATTATATATTTTTCTAATATCTGAATGAAGAACTAAATAGAAGTCTTTCTTTGCCCAGTCGTCAACCCTAATATGTATTGAATTCGATCTTCACCAAACCAAATGGTAATTTTTACTAAGAACCATTTGCGATAATGTCCCTTGTGTAGGCAACTGGAGACTTATATTGTTTATAGAAATCGTAACCAAGAATGTGACACCAACGCTACCTAGCAGATTTAATTATAAGCTTTATAAGATAAGAACTTAAAGATAAATATTAGACAACAACATAGGAAGTCGCTACGATTGTAGCTTTCGGCGTTTGTGTCATGTAATTATCTAAAACAACGATTCTGTATTGTTTTAACCGGGAATCGAACCCAGCACCTCAGGTATGGTGACCTTGGCACAGGCATGTGAACTGCTCCATCAATTCTGTTCTTTAATCTTTATTTTGGGAACCTATTATTATTGTTTTATTATTGACCATATAAAAATATTACATTTTATATAAATGAAACAACTTTTCGGTTTCATCGCGTTTGTATAAAGTTTTACAAGTCTCGTAGTCTCACGGATCATGGAACCTGTAAAGGGCCCGAAACGTCAATAAAATAAACCGCTTAAAAATGTTGTGCGCGTAAAAATATAAGAAATCAGTATTACATTTTATATTATTGTAAAATATATAGATTTTTTGTAGGTATACTGCTGACGCGCTCACTTGATTTCATATATAGAAAAAAAATTTAAATATAAAAAACCTTTTGTGTACTTTATATTTTATTACAAAACCTATTTTTGTAAATATATAAAGATGTCATAAATTCGATCTAAACCGTATTTAGAGTCTCCATATTTTTAATCGAGCTAATTATTAAAATTTGTGTTTTCACTTTTAACAAGCAATCGATCGTATGTTTAATTTTCATATAAAAATTATTTGGTAAATAATATAGCCTTAGAATAAAATTGGTTTAAAAACAGAAGAATTTCCGTCTATTGGTAAAAAAAAAACTCAAATAATTACTTCTCTCGACTATAAATACGAGTGTTAGTGGCAAGGCTGTACTTCAGGCTACCAGGAAATGTCAAGTTATTTAGTTAATTTTAAACTCTATCTCCAAAACATAAAGGTTGAAACAAAATTTTTCAGTTGCTCTTTAAAAGTGAATTTTTGTAAAATTCCTTCCGTTACAAAAGGTAGCCGACCTCTGCAGAGTGATTCCGTAAAAATCCGAACCCGGATTCGAATTCGCGTCATTTAGTGTCAAAATTTTATTGATTTCGTTTTCTTTTTTGTTTAAAAATACAAAACAAGATCGACTTATTAATCATGTCTCAGATATTCCTAAGTCGTTTCGAAATTCACTTCACTTATGCTACGAAACTTTAATAGGTACCAATTCAAGATTAAGCGGATGTCGCTTTCGAAGTGGATTCGGACACCGAAGTGAATTCGAATTCAGGTTAGAATATAAAAGTGTTCAAATTTTATAATTGTATTGTCTTATCATTGAGAATGTTTACTGAAACTTATAAGTAACTGGCTTTCGCCTCGCCCGCATGGTCCCTAGGGAACTGTTTAGTGAGATAAAAAGTAGCGTATATATTAATCCGCGCTCAGAAGTATCCGTATACCAAATTTCATCAAAATCCGTCCAGTAGTTTTTTCGTGAAAGAGTTACAAACATACATACATCTATCCTCACAACTTTCGCATTTATGGAGGATTACAACGAATTGATAAAGATAATTAAAACCAGCAGCGGCCTCAGGGGGTGGCGAATGGGGCAATCGTCCGGGGCCTCGCTCCTCCGGGGCCTCGCGCATCAAGCCAAGCAAATTTAAAAATACATATATTTCTTTAACAATATTTTTTAAAATTAAAACTTTTTATTTTGACCCCTCATTATTTATGCAGGTTATATATTATAACATAGCAGTTAATTAAAATAAAGTTAGTTAACTAAATCATTAATTCTAAACATAATTGAATACCCCTTTCAAACCACTTGAAGATCGGTTTTTAATTGCATAACACTTTGTATAACTTAAGCATTTCTTCTCGAACATGACAAATACTTAACCCAAACAACCAGACCTACTTTCGAATCACATACTTTTCACAAAGAACAAAGGGTCTCGCAAAGACCTGCCATCCGGAGCCTCGCAATGGCTGAGGCCGCTGCTGACTAAAACAAACAAAATTCATAGAAGAGTTAATAATATGTTGCATTGTATATATCAATTGAATCATCATCTTAATAATGCCAACTTAAATTCGCTACAGTATTTATATAACTTACTATATTTCAGGTTGATTTTATGGGAAGCCATTATGACCGCTTGCGTATAAAAAAACCAGACGAATTTGATACATTCAATATTATAAAATTGCCGTCGGCAATCGTGGCATGTCCCGACTTTCAAATAAAAGCAAGGGAAGCCGCCTTTGTTTACATCAAGATGGGTGTAAAATGCAGAAACGTACTTATGAACGGTCCTAATTCAGATATTGATAGAAAAATTCTTACTTGGATTGATAGCAGTGGTTATTTGCGGCGTTCGTGTTTATTCTATTGGTACAAAGGCGTAGTTGATAGAGCATTGAATGAATTTAAAAGGAATACGAATTATGCCGTTTTTCACGTTGACGGAAAGCAGTATACTGTGATAAGATCGGAATCGGGGCCCGCGATCACGCTCAAAATAAAGAGTGTAAATGGTAAATTTAACATGGACGTGGATCTTGTGCCCGCTTTGAAGTTCTCCGAAGACCTTTGGCCGCCGGGCCCTGGTTATGTGGAAATACCGCCCGGTTGCAATAAAGGCCATTGGATGGTTGTGCCGAAACCAAATAAATATAAAAAAGGAGTCGTGAAACAACGTTCATGGCGGATAGCAATGCCTCAACAGGAGCGTCAGATGATACATAATTCTTACAATCTGCGTCAGGCGATAAGACTGGTATTATACTAATAAATAACAATATCGTCGGTGATAGTGCAATACCACGTAACTAACTCTCGTAAGAGTAAATTTTGATTGAGGTACATTAAGATGCACAAAGTTCATTAAAGTGACATTAATTTGCACTTGATTGCCAATTATTGGTATTGCACTATTCCTATCCTTACTTATCACGGGCTTCAAGCCATAAAGGCGTAAAAGCAATAACCTTACTTTTCAAGAGTCTATCATATGTCGAATAGTATTTGATTAATATATTTTTAAGTAAGTTGATTATTTATTAAAAAAAATATTAATTGACAAAATTAGAACGAAACAGATTGGCATTATAACATTTTTTTGCGTATACGCCCCTTTAAGTCCACGATATGTGGTTTGTTAGCAAGTTTCTATGTTGCTTACGTCTTCACAAGGCTCTAAAAATTTAAATACTTATAGGTCAATTGCACAAACGTCCATTATGGTTTAATTACGCCTATAAACTCTAACAAATCTAAAATTTGTATCTATAATGTCGCTTTAAACTAATGAGAAATTTAATGGACATTTGTGCAACTAGCTGTATATGTTTTGTGGCTTGTAACATTTACACATTATTTATTAGTAAGGTATGTATGATATAGGCATATGTAGAGGCGAGGAAGATGACTCGATTTTGGAAAGTTGGGAAAAAGAAAACTTTGTTACTTCTCAGCTAGCAACTGTACAAGATAATGCATATCATCATCACTTATGCGTATTGGAGGGTATTAACGACTGAAAATACAGCCGGGACCAACGGCTTAATATGCCTTCCGAAATACGGAGTAGCTCGAGATAATTGATTGGTCAACCATTCTGTGATCGACCCTTTTCAAAGTTGCTTAACAACAATGATAACGGGCAGCGGCTTATCCACCACGCCACCGAGCTACTAAGTTTAATGTCTAATATAACTGACGGACTTATACAGAAACTTTCAACCACTATATCGTGTTCTTAAGGTTGATTTTCCTCAAACGAGTTAAATTATAATGAAAATTATTAAAAGAAGAAAATAATTTAATAATATTTTCCTTACAATGTACAGAATAACTTTAAAAAAGCAACATAACTATTTAAGCGACGTTATTATTTTCAGTAGTAGTAGTAGAGTAGCTCGGTGGCGTAGTGGATAAGCGCCGCGGCCCGCGATCGTTGTCGTTAAGCAACTTTCGCAAGGGTCGGTCACGGGATGGGTGACCAATAATTATTATCTCGAGCTACTCCGTGCTTCGGAAGGCACGTTAAGGCGTTGGTTCCGGCTGCATTTGCAGTCGTTAATACCCTCCAATCCGCATTGGGCCAGCGTGGAGGGTCATAGCCCATCCTCCTTAACCATCCCTAAGGAAGGCTTGAGCCCCTGCAGTGGGGACGTAAAAGGGCTGATGATGATGATTATTTTCAGTTGAAAAAGCTACGTGACGCTAAAGGCATGACTGCAATCGCCAGTTACTATATAAAACAGATGGTATTCATGGAAGTAGACCGTCGCAACAAGATTAAAGACAAGAAGTTCTGTACCCAAAGCACGGCTACACTATTTAAGATATTTGTGAAAATTTTCTATGATGCAATGGTAAAACAACGAATCCCGTATTTCTGGAATAAAAATAACAATTTGATAGAGAATGTCAACTCTGCAACGTTGAAGGTATATGAAAATACGCTTAAAAATCTTGTGGATGTATTGGAGGAGCCTGAGGATTATATGGATGTAGTGAGTTTCTTGCTCACCGCGAAGGAATTGGAAAACTTTTAATCTGTTAAGGAAAAATTATGCTTATTTTATTTTTCGTTGATCAACAGAGTGTGATTTTAAATTGCTTTGTGTTGATTTCATGTGTTTTTTAAAGAATAAGTTTCTATTTTATAACCTGCTGGTTACGACTTAGAGTTTAGAATGCTTTACGTAGAGTCATGTCAATTATATTACTAATTACATTTATTAATTTTTAACATTAAAACACACAATATTTATAAGTAAAAAAATTATAAATTTTTTTTCGTTACACTTTGGTTTAAAGTTTGTGTTATTTTAATTATATAAGGAAGTTAAGCTTTAGTTATTGATCTTTAATGACAGATTAATATTTGTACATTTAATCATTAATAAGAATAAGTTGTTCTAACAGATCAAGAAGAATTTATAGTTTGATAAAATGTGAAGATTTTTATAAGGTACCTACTATATTACAATAAAGTGTTAAATGAAAGATAACCCAACCTGTTGCATCTAGATTGTATAACATTGGTGAGGTTTTCGTATTTGTATGTTGGACCAATGCTAAAGTATTTTTTTTTTATTTAGGGAGAGAAACATAATTAAATTATACCTATAAAAATTATATCTTCTTTTAATTCGTGTTCCTACTTCATCTTTCTAATCGATCAAATCAAAATATTTAGGCTACAAGCACTTGTGAATGTGTTTCTTGTTTGTCAGTCTGCCACCAAGCTCATGAACCGTGATAGTTAAGTAGTTAAAATTTTCACAGATGCTATATTTTAGTCGCCGCTAAAATAACAGAATAAAATAAATGTATAAGGGAGCTCCTTACAACAGCGGTGATTTTCTTTCATTTTCCATTGATAATGGTTTTTATTCGTCGGGGAAATGCTCGAAGCATAATCTCTGCCGCGATAGGAACGCGGGACTCTCCTCCGTTACCGGAGCCCTTCCCACTAAAACCTCTATGATGTACCCTCTGCTGGGAGATGGGACATGGGAGGCAATCGAGTCGCCAATTACGCTAATATTTATGTAATAATTGCTCAATAGGATCTCAACTACTTTGCTTTTTGTCTTTGTACTGTCTACTTGAAGTCCAATATATTTATATATCTGACACCATTGATGTGTGTGTTAGTATTTGATATCTCATAAATAATACAACTAATATGTATATGTGGTTGACATGTTCAAAAGGATAAGAACCACTCTAAATATAAAAAGTAAGGCTCCTGCTTTTACCATAAAAAATATTTTTTAAATTCTTACGATAACAATCCCTTCGTTCCTTTCCAAATGATGACAATACACTCTTTATTTATTTGTCAAATTATTGTCGACTAAGAAAATATGTCAAATTGGTAAAACACATGGGAAATTTTAGCGATGTGAAATTAAAATAATTCATATAACAATAAATATAGTTTTATCTACATCGAATCATTATGAGTTGTATAGTATGAATAAAATTACATATTGAAAATCTTATTGGGTAAGTAAAATAATGATAATGGCCAAATATTATCAAGGCAAATAAGTAAACCTTTCGTACTTTAATTCGACTACTTTATTAATCTATACTAATACATATTATAAAGAGGAAAATTTTGTTTGTTTAATTGTAATGAAAAGGCTCAAAAACTACTGGTCCGATTTAAAAAATTCTTTCACCATTCAAAAGCTACATTATCCACGAGTAACATAGGCTATATTTTATTTTGGAAATATAGGGTTCCGTAAGATATTTGGGTTTTTCGGACACAAGGTGTAAAAAATTAACCAGAAAAGTTACTTATTTTGCGTACGCTGCCTAAACTAACTAACCTAATAGATAGAACCATAAAATGTTCTAATTAATTGTAGATCTTATAAATATCTACAAAAAAGTCGGCGACACACTATACCTATCTATGTCGAGTTACACAAACAATATCTTTATTTAAAAATCAAGTTTTTTTTTACTACATTTAAACGCGTTTATTTTACTCATGTTATAAGTTCTTATCAAAATAAATTATTTTATCACTAAATACAGTTTATGTAGATTATATTTAGCCAGATTATATACAGCCGGAACAACGGCTAAACGTGCCTCCAAAGCAAGGAGCTCGAAATAATTTTTTGGTCACCCATCTTATAACCGGCCATTGTGAAAGTTACTGAACAGCCGTTGCGCCGTCCTCTATATATTATGTTTTCTTTTTGTTTGTCTCATCAAAAAAAAACAGTATTTAGCGGGAACGATAGATAATGTATATGTCTGATACGTATCGTTATTGTCCGTTTTTTTGCTAGCCTTAGGAATATAGGAGGGTTGCATCCGTTTTCACTAACCTAGAACAAGGCATAGCTTAATTACAAAACGCCTTATCTCTTAACATGTTTATGTGTATTACGCAAATGCCTAGCGTAAGGCTCCGCATACCCATATGCATATTATTACTTTAGACATTTTTAGATGTCCTTAGGTGGTTCCTAGTTATTGGTTAAATGCGTTTTCACTTATTAGGCAATTCCTATGTTTAAGGTGTAATAACTACAACCGCCAATAGTATGAAACAACTGATAATTTTTCGTGAATTCAGTGTAGCTCCCATAGTAGAAGTTGTTTAGTATACTTAACTAAAACACCCAACGAAGTCCTGGCATATAATAATAGGCTTTATATTTAAGCGACACTTAAGTTTAGTGAAAACGAGCATAATGTTACAGTGGTATAGTCCTTGTGATGAGTAATCGTCGCCGCGACAGTGGTGGCGAGGGCAACTACGGCTGGGTGCCAGTGGCGGCCGGGGTAGCCGTGGGCGCGGGGGTTTTGGCCCTCATTTATAAATTCTTCTTCTCTGGCGGCTGTGATAAAATGAACCAACAACCAGGCGCCCCCTACAAGTGCAATTGCAAGGGCCCGTCGCACACACCGCCGGTAACTAGCTTAATGTGTTCAATATTATAAAAACGTGAAGTTTATAAGGTGACTTGTTTGTTTATAGGATATAATCTTCGGAAATACTGATCTGATCATGAAAATTGTTTCTCCTACGGGAAGCTACATCATACGCTGGTGACATAGGCTATAATTAAATCGCGGGGAAACAGCTAGTTAGTAGATAAGTTGCTAGAAATACTGCATGCGTGTACCCATTTGGGACAATAAAACTAAGCAGTGCACTTGACTGATTGAATGTACTGCACTGAAAACAACCAACCAATATATAAATGACTGCGCGCGTCTAATATCCACATGCAAAGACTTTTACAATTTAATTCCGCTGTTGTCAGCCTAACGGGGTCTGGGCTTGCAGGTTCCTGCTGATCCCCGAATCGTTATTCGAGTACGTTGGAGGGGGTTTAGTGGGTAAATTATATTTTGTTTTGACAAATCTTCGGGTTGTGGCTCCAGGGCCGTTATGATCTGACGAAACGAAGGCCTGATTGATCTGTCAGACTAACAGAGTGATCTCAGTCTGGTACGGGTGGTTGGTTAGGGTTACCAATTCAGTTGATCAGAAATTAGTTTTTTTATCATTACTTCTGAGTATATACCCCGTTGCTACGGTTAATTTGATACCTTACTGGTCAATTGGCAGATAATACATTACGGCATTAACTATTGCCTTTAGTGCAAGATTAATTAAGTCAATTAAAAATTAATCCTGGAGATAAAAAAACAATGATTATATTTAAGTAAAGTTTTATTTATAGCCCCCGACGAGAAAAGAAAAAGAAGGATGTTATAAGGTTGACCCCTTTGGCTTTGACCCCTTTGGCTGTTCGTTTTGTGTGTAAACACTGCAAGTAGCTTTTCGTATTACAAATAAATTAAATTACACTTTGAAATTAGTGCACACTTGTATTTCAAATCTGAATAAAGCACATGTAATGATTGGTTCAACCGTTTGCGAATTTCTGATCAAAGCTTATATACTTCGCTTAAAAACACATTCACCGGAGGTTTTTGACATAAGGGATTGATAGAATAATTGTAACCGGCTTTTGTTTTATTTCTTGCTAGTTTCATGTTCACATTTTTCATAAAAGTTAAACACAACTTCATGAACTTTTCGAAATAAACTATAGTGTTCTGCGATTCATCGAATTCGTAGCATTTATTCAAATAAGTCAAACATTCTGGCAGATTTTAGTTGCTTTCCTGGAGCCGGGAAATATTAAAATGTGGTCCAATTTTTTGAGAGAGTTGGCAACCCTACGACTGGTGAGGGTGAGGTCCTAAGCATTCCCCCTCTGACATAGAATAAGTCGTAATCGGCTTTGGAAGGTCTCCACATGCACAAATGGTTCTATTGCACGTTTTGCAGGATAACTGCCACACACGGGTGCTAAGGCATGCATTATAGAAAGTTCTAGCACCTATCATGCGGCAAATGTATATGCTTCTTAGGGCTTTGTCGTAACCCTAGTGCCTGCTTAAAGGCTTAAGGTTGGCCAACGAATAATTAAACGATGGGCCAACACAAACTGCTATTATGGATACAGGATACGATTATACTAACAAGCGATGCAACTTTGTCGTACGGCGGAGTTTCAAGTTATTTAATTGAGTCTGATTTAAATTATCGCGCAAGAACGTAAGAAATAAACACTTCTTATTATGACTCAATCCTAATACGATGGGATCAGCAACCTCTGCGAGCTCATCTCATAGGACAATAAAACAATGACCGGTCAATGCCACAGAAATCGCCAACAACTCGCACGCAGACCTCATCGACTAATGTAACTGCACATCCTAATCAGAACAAGATTACATATTTACATCGCACGACACTGTGTCTGTGTCGGACGACATGTCGAATACACTGTAGATATAAGACCGTTCAACTTAGGAAGCCTTCTTAAATGTATTTAAACGCCAGTTTTAGATAAATGTGAGTTGAGCAATATCGGTGAACTAGAAAGTGAAGCATAATTTGTATTTTTTTATCATTTTCTTCCACATATCACGGAACAGTCATTATACACGTCTTATTCATAATCTGCATTGTTTTGGTCTTCTTCACCCTACATCTAATAGGAGATGTAGGGAGAGGAAGGTCTGAAGAAGAAATTCACGTTTTAAATATTGGGTAGTAGATATGTACTGTAGGTACTGTACATACTCATTAATTATAAATTCCTATTAATAAGAAAAAAGTAATACTTAGAAAAGTATTGTGTTTTTCCTTTTCTTGTTGTGTTAGTTGTTTATTTGGGAACTAGCTGTTTTCTATTTATATAGCCTATTTCACCCGCGTACCTGCGTCAGATGTAGCTTCCTGGTGAATTTTTTAAATCGCACCAGTAATTTCAGAGCAATTCCGTAAAAATCCGAACCCGAATTCGAATTCACGACGGACCTGGAAGGATATTTAAGCAGGTCTCTTCATAACGGTTGGAAGAGTAGAGGAATCTCTAATGGATTCCTTCCTTCTGTCGAGGCTTGATCAGCAGCCATTCCTAAACTGGCCTGGCCGGTTATAGGAGAGGCTTCTGATGTACTCGAGTCTCTCCGGCCACAAGGGAGGACCAAGGGCCTGTTAATAGGGGTGAGAGTCCTGGCAACACGATCACGGCTACCCAGGTCTCATTCCTTAGCAGAGAGTACACCATAGGGGTTTTGATGAGTAGGCCTCTGGTGACAAACGAGAGTCCCACGCCCCCCTGTCGCTCGCCAGACGACAGGGACGGTGCTTAAAGCATTTCCTAGACGTATAAAAAAAGGTGACCGGATCACGTCGGTTGGTGTAGAAATTCTATTGATTCTATTGATATTTTTGTATAAAAATAGAAAACAAGATTGATTGATTCATACGTGTCTCAGATATTCTATTCTTATGTTATAAAAGTTAATATCAATTTATAGTTAATCAGATATCGCTTTCGTAAATACGGACACTTTTTTTTTTTTTTTTTGACACTGAGAAATGCGTTACGCATACCCACCACTTCACCCTGCGCGGGCTCCACGGGTGATGTGGGACTCCTCCTGTGGTCCCACCCCCGAAGGGGCTAGACAAGAAACAGGAGTTTACCCACTAAAACTCAGCGATGTCCCTCGCATGGAAGGCGATGCGCGGGATCAGCCCGAAGGCCATACACCGCGCCGTTCGCCCCCATTTCGGCCCGCCATGAAAAGGGTAGGTCCCACAGCGGGTTGGGAGTACGTCTCAGAGACATTCGAGACGCACCCCCACGACGAGGCAGGAGCGTGCAATGCCGGCCGGTGCGCGAACCGGCCAGCTGCCCCTGACTAGAGACCAGAGATGCGCAACTGTGCAATCTCCGGTCCCCTGCCCATCGTGTTGGGAGGATCCACACAGGCAGAGCCCTTATCGTGGATCCCCCCCCCCCCCGTAGGTCGGTGCGCCACAGAAGACCGACCTCATCACGCCCTGTATCAGCTTCGAGGAGCAGACAGGGCGCGTCCAGCCGGTCGACTGGTTGCATCCCCTCTCGTCGCGCCGCGGCTGCGGCCCTACCGAGGTCCCGGCGCCGCACCAGTCGTCGAGCAAGCACAGCAGGTAAGTCCCCAGGTAAGTACCCACTATACTACTCTAGACTAGTACGGCGTGTAGATGTGTGTGTGTAAGATGCATGAATGTGTAAATACGGACACCTGAGTGAATTCGAATTCGGAATTCAGGTTAGATGTCTTTCGGAATTGCTCTGCAGATCACAAAATGGCGACCTCCAGCTGATTTTATATACTACTTATGAAATACTAAGGTTTAAAATCGATTAAGACGTGCATTACTTGACGTGCTGTCGACTGTTTCTTCATGATTTTCTATATTCAGAAGTATAAGTATAAACAATTATTATAAATTATTACAATATTATTATTAATATTTATATAGTTAGGCATTTATAGATAATATCTAAGGTTAATATAATTAAGCACGAAATGCATCCGGTAACGACGTCATTGCCTATTTATAACGTATACCCAATTGATAGCAATTATTAGTAAAAATTGGTTTTCATAGGTACCTATAACTTAATCATGTATGGGTGATTTAATATTTTTTTTTCTATAACAATCTCTGGTGTTATCATTTCGCAGAATCGTTAAAGACGATCATTGTAGGTATCATTCTTTAGTTCATTCATGATAGGTATAAGGGAACGTTAATATGATTCTTGTTATTGATAAGAAAATTTATTTCTTGGAATCGTCCTCGTGTTAAATTTTATCGACAATCATATTTATATCTTAACATTTCATCATAACAGTATGGAAGTTTCTTTTCACAAATTGCAATATAACGTGGGATGTCTATGATCTAATCAGGCTTTAATAAAATAATTATTTCTTTTGTCTATACTAATATTATATGTATACGAGGAAACATTGGCTTTTTTTTGCATTGAATAGGCTCCGCGAATATATTATAAATTATTCACCGCGATATTCAAAATTCACCTATGGGAAGCTACATCATACGCGGGTGACATAGGCTTTAATTAATGCGAGCATAGTCGTTGGAAATAGTTAATATAAAGTAAATCTACGAATAGTGACAATAAAAAGTTTTTCATTATGATTTTCAGTGTATACTCGAAGAGAGGAGACGAGGATATATAAAACCAGAACAATAACAGATAAATTAAAAAAGAAGTGGCAGTAGAGACCTGTCAAAGAAAAAACATAAAATGGCAACTATGATTACGTAAAAGAAAATTAATAATTTACACGTCTCAGTATCATCAAAATAACAAAAAAAAAATGCAAAACATATTATTATTCATAATTTAAACATATCTGCGGGACTATGTGCGATTGGTATGTATTGAACTATATATTGTAATTGATACATTGATTGAACATAGTACTGTTTCTAAAGTGTGTTTTATCTGCTAAAATAGCATTCAAAGTAAAAATTACCTACCATCAAAATATGCTGCTCAATAGGCTCAAACTTTTATTACTCCAGAGCACAATGAGTTTTCAACAATTTGTAATATACAACTTTACGACCTATATTTTTGTTCAACATAATAATATTAAAAAAACCTGTGACACCTACTAGCTGAATATTTGTGTAATAATAAATAATATAGATAGTATACTGTCTCCTTTTTCTTCAGCGCAGAAGAGCAGCAGCGGCGATTACAAGCTGAAAGGGAGCGCGAGGAATTAGAACGTGAAGCGGCCAAAGCACAAAAGTCTAGCGCAAAGGGTCAAAAGCGCAGTAGCGCAAAGGGGGGCGAATCAGCTCAAAAGCGGAGCACAAAATCGGACGCAGCTACTCAAAAGCGCGGTCAAAGTGCTGGCGGAAAGGGCCACTTAGGAGAAGGGGCAGGTCGGAGGCGTGGCTCAAATGCAGATGCGCCCAGTACCCCGGCCTGGGTGTCCGTGCTCGGCGGGACGTTGCTTATGGCGCTTCTCGGTTTCCTCGCAAAGACCGGGTCTGATCCGGAGGGATGGGCTCGACCGCTGCATTCTTGTTTATGCTATGTAGGCAAGAGTCTTGGTTCGTACTGCAATGTACAATGTGTTCAAGCGGCCGACTTAGAGTCTGGAGGAGATGATAATGATGACTGTGATTGCGAAGTAGATGGTTATGGAGATGTTTTATTTGATGATGATGAGGAAGAAGACGCAGACGAGGAGTATGAGGAGGAAGAGGAGAAAGAGAACGTGGCATTGAAGTGCGACGTCCGGATTGATAGCAAGAAACGAGTAAGATTTTTATTTCTTTTATTTATGAAAATTATATGACTACCTACATAGGTACTAGCAAAGGTTAGTAATTTGTCTGGGTGATATTCTGTTTTATCTAGATACATTGATTAATATTCTTCATATTACTATGAGTCAACTTTGACATGCTTCGAAGAATAATGGACGGCGTGGATAAATTTGTACTATAACATATCGAATTATTTTTAATAAATAAATTTACTAAACGTATGTATCTGGTGGAGCTCGACGTTGCAGTAATCAGTGCGTTTGGTCTGTTACGATTGTCGAGGTTAACAACTTTTGCAAATGCCCGTCATCGGATGGATGACCAAAACTTGTATGCTGCTTTATGATTTTGGGTATTTTATCACACCTGTCTTTGCGGGGTTTTTCTTTTGCCCTTGTCCTTTCTTTTTTAAATGTTACTAGCTGTAACTCGCGGTTTTAAATAAATCCATTTATTAGACTTATACTTATAGAATAGGACTTATTTATTGGCAACCCTGTGTGACAAAACTTCTAGATATTAACTTTTGAGTTGCATATCGCTTACATGTGTCATAATTAAATTAAGACTGCTATTATCTGAATCGTATTAAGATAACCAAATCGGAACATACTTGATAGATAGAAAGTACACATTTTAACTGTGAAAAATATCCTTTGATTAATACAACTACATACTAATTTATTGAATACGCAAAAAAACTGATATTTTTCTAGTAGTTGAGGAGAGATAAAAAAAATTAACGTCGTTTATAGAAGCGTTATAGGTGTATCAGAATCTGATGGCACAAAAACAAAAGAAACAATCTCGATTTTCATGTCATAGAGTAAATTGTTGTGAATATTTGTGAAAATATTAATTTGCAGATTTGCCATCAGTTTCTGGTACACCTTTATGTTATACACTAGCTTTCGCCAGCGGCTGCGCCCGCCTGGATACAAGGGAAATGTTAAATGGGATAAAAAGTATCCTATTATTTAAGTCAGCTAGTACCCTATCTGTATCCAAATTTCATCAAAATCCGTTCAGTAGTTTCGGCGTGATTGACCGACAAACATCCAAACAAAGAAACTTTCACATTTATAATATTAATAGGATTAGTCGTTGTCGTTAGTAAAATTAGTGTCACAATTAGATAAAACATTCTCAGTATTGAACTTGCCTGAATTTGCTCCTTGAAGAACGATAAAAGGAAAATTTTGGCGCAGGCACAATTAGAACCTTTATCTAGGGTTATAACTATTAGGCTTATGAGATTATATTATAAAAAGCTTATGAGCCATAAACCATTACTGATGTAGTCATTGATTGATTGATTGAATATTCTTTATTCGCAATGAAATACAGTAAGAAATGTACATAAAACTAGATACAGTAACACAAAAGGCGGCCTTATTGCTAAGGTAGCAATCTCTACCAGGCGACCAGGGTGAATGAGCCATGACAAACCATGCGACAGATCGAGGAAATATTCTTTTATCAATTTATTGAATGAGTGATTGCGCGCGTCTAATATCTATAGGCAGAGAATTCCATAGTTTGATTGCTTTAATTGTAAATTACTGTAAATATTATAATCACGTCTTCGCTATCATCACCATCACCAGCCCTTTTACGTCCCCACTGCAGGGGCTCAGGCCTTCCTTATGGATGGTTAAGGAGGATGGGCCATGACCCTCCACGCTGGCCCAATGCGGATTGGAGGGTATTAACGACTGCAAATGCAGCCGGGACCAACGGCTTAACGTGCCTTCCGAAGCACGGAGTAGCTCGAGATAATAATTTTTGGTCACCCATCCCGTGACCGACTCTTGCGAAAGTTGCTTAACGATTATGATCGCGGGCCGCGGCGCTTATCCACTACGCCACCGAGCTACTACCTCTTCGTCTTCGCTATGGATGGTTGGAATCGGACAGGGTGAGTGAGCCATGACAAACCATGCCAGCCCAGTGCGAATTGATGGGTGTCAACGACTGCACACTAACGGCTCTACGTACTTTCTGGACGAAATCTAGATAACAAATTTTGCCCACCCATCCTGTGACCTTGACTTCCGCAGCGTAGACCAAAGGCACTAATCACTGCGTCATCCCGTTTCTATACAAAGTTCAAACAAATATATTTAAATTAAAATGACTTTATTTACTTACAGAAAACCTGGTAGCTGAAAGTCGTAATAAGTGATGATGATAAAGAAGATAGAGACTATCTAAGGCACGTTTGTTATTGTTCACCATGTCAATCGGTACTGCTTCAAAATATATCATAGATGATTGTTTACATATATCATAATGGATTTAAATGAATAAATTATACTTTTTCTCATTCGTAATAGTTTTCATCGCATCATCATCAGCCTTTTTACGTCCCTACTGCAGGGGCTCAGGCTTTCCTTATGGATGGTTAAGGAGGATGGACCATGACCCTCCACGCTGGTTCAATGTGTATTAGACGGTATTACAGCCGGCACCAACAGCTTAACATACCTTCCGAAGCACGGAGTAGTTCAAGATAGTAATATTTTTTGGTCACCCATCCCGTGACCGACCCTTGCGTTAAGTTGCTTAACAAACAAAGATCGCGGGCCGCGCTTATCCACTACACCACCGAGTTGCTCTGCATAGTTTTCATCAATAGTTCAAAACTCCATAAGTGTTAAGAACAATTATACAGAGAACAAGCATTAAGAATTTCCTGATCTACCAACCAACGATCCACTTTTAGAAAAAAAAAAACTATTTATTTTATTTAAAGTGCAATCTAGTGCAACACAGCGAACTTTTAATTTTGTTTATTCTAAAAATGATTATCAAATATAAAATATTGATTGAAAAAAACATGGCAGATACAACATGTGCATTTGGTAAAGACAAGTAAATTTTTTTTAAATGTAATTCTATTTTATTTTTGATGTCAATTTTGATCATCTTGACATCTCGTAGATCAGTAGTATGTGTCACAAAGTATAATAGTGTCACGAAAAATAAAAAACAAATTTTGAAACAAAATATATTTAATACCACCTTCATTTTACAAATCATTTAACTGCCTCCATCGGGCTCATCCCAACTACAACTATTATAAGTCTGGGCATGTAAAATACACAACCGTATTAACAAAACTTACTAGTCGTTAGTGCCTTATAAAACAAGGAACGTTAGGTATTATGTACAAGAAAACTTATTCAGACAACAGGGCTCCAACTCACGAGGCGTTCGAGTATTCATAATTATACATTTACTATCAAAATAATACGTGTCGACCATCACAAAATGATCTCTGCAAACAAGATTTAATTCGCCAGTTTCTTGCTGGGTATCGGCACTAAAAAGGTTCGTATTGTGTTCTGAAACGCCTCGAGTTTGACAACCTAGGCCTATTTCTCGAAGTTATATTAATCCTTGTAATCATATTGGTGACAATGGTTTAAAACAAATCGTATTTTTTTTTGTTATCTCTCAGTTAAATGTTTGCTTTGCTGGAAATATAATTTAATAGTGTGTCCATCGTTACCAATATGAAATAAAACATTTGTATGTTTCGAGAAACAGGTCACTAATCTACATTTATCAAATAAATCTATTAATTATCTAATCATTTCAAACTGATATGCATAATGGTGAAACTGAGCCTCCACTCCGAACTGTTATTGGCAAGAAAACAGTTTAGTGCTGAAACATTCTTAGCTATCGACCTAAAAATATCCTATCTCGACGATCGATGAGGACAACTTAAGAATATATTTCTCCTATAAAATAGGTTTTCTAACTTCTGCAATCCTATCGCGCATCTATCTGTCAGGTTGACAGACCAACTGTCAGTGTAGCAAACCAATCAGGTTTTTAACGGCTGCTGACTGGTTAAACCGGCTTTGTTATGACGACCTCCCATTTCCTTTTTTTTTCTCGTGTTTCTTTAAATTATTCAATATTTTTTTAACGCCTAAATTTCAGTTGATCTAAACCGGAATGGGAAATCTAAAACATTAGAATTGTTTCCTTTTTTCATTTTTATAACATAATTTAAATAATGGTGACTTATTATCATTTTCTTCTTGAATCGCCGATGTTAGAATCTAATAATATTGACTTATAATGGTTTGTCTTATACCTAACGTTTATTTACTAGCTACGTGCATCTGAATTAGAAGTGTACAGACATAGGAATAAGTCACAAAGTTGCTAAACCTTTGATAGACTGAAGAATTTAGAAGAAAGTACAAAGAGATTTATCCGTTTAAAATTATCGTTTTGTTCAGTCTTCAATCGGACTCTTAAATCTTTATACGTTTCATATTATAATCGTTCTATAACGAACTAACTCACGGCGAGATAACACAAACGAATGGAGATCTTATTACTGGTACACGGTAAGTATAAAACGCCTTGCATGGACGGACACAATAATTGCTCATCTACACGAAGTAATGTTTCAACACCAAAACCACAATTGTTTTGCAAATGTAAAGGAAAGGCGTCGGTCGCTTCACGCATTATTTTACAGACAAAAAAAAACCTGTACACAGATAAATAGTTAATATAATAATATGGGAATGAATATTTTGGCACTGGCTCTATAACAGCTCGCTTTATACTCTGTCATACGATTCAATATATAAATTACAGATAAAAATAGTAGTTTCAATGTACCAATTTCTATACAGGTTTATTATCTATATGAAAAATAGTCTACGGTGTTCTCGATTTTGAACTTTATAACAGTGAACATTAAAGTGTATTTATATTTATCAATATTCTTATACCGTTTATCATAATATGCATCTTGTCACAACTCCAATACTAAGAGAAATAATAGTTTTATCAATATGAGTTATAGATCGATTTTTTTATCTTCAGAATAAGGGTTAACGCGCCGATTGAGGTGAAAGGATGGAATTTTAGAATCCTTTGTATACAAACATAATGTAATCATCAGAATCTAATGTCAAATGTCTTTAATTTGCACGGTGTAAAAGAAAATTCGTTTCGCTCGCCTCCTTCGTCTCTGATACTTATGCGAGCATGATAATAGTAATATTTGCAATAATATACTATACATACAGCATATTGTATAATATTATCCCTTTATTGTTTCATTTGATTTGGTATTAGTCAATAAGATAAGTAATCTGAAGATTGAAAAATCGATCTTATATCAGATTTCACGCTCGTTTATTTTTACATTTTCAATACCCTGATATTTAACAGTTAAAAATTGAAATATACGCCCATGTTTAATATTAAATACATGATGTAATACTGTATTTACAAAAATATTCTGCTCCAGTTGCTCACTCGAAAAATATCGCTCACCGACAATTTTAATGAGACTGGCGTTTAGTTGCTATATTCATATATAAACACAAAAAGCCATCTTATGTACTATATACGGTGTGAACCAAAATAGACTTATTATAAAATAGATTAGGGAAGACAATTGACTATATGTAAGCGAAAACGTCCTTCGGTTAGGTAGAGAGAGATCGCTCTCCGTCTCTCTCTACTGAAGCCACATTCTACTGCACGTCAGACTATACAATACTGTCAAATTTACCCACTCGATTTTAAACCTTAACATTTTGAATGTAGAGGTCAAACTCCATACCAGCAATTTGATATATTCTGTTAACCTGACGTGCAGTCTTCTGTACAATAAAGTTATAAACAGTGCATTCGTTCGCGATTAGAGAGAGATAGAGTACTGCGATTTCTCTCTCTCACTTTCTAGCTCAGGAGCTCAGGGACGGCTCCAGGACTGGTTTTGCTGCTCTATCTGTATTAAATACCTCTATAGCTAAGGGCATGATGTCACGTAATTAATATTCAAATAGATTTTCAAGTTTACTTATTCAATTTCACTCTTATACCATTAGCAATAAAGATCTAAGCGACGGCATTTCTCTTTTGAACTAATAATTTATTCTAAATAAGACATTTGTCGAGAATACTGAAGAATATCTGAATACAGCTATGTTCACCAGTCTCATTAAAACTATGGCAGCAGCATTAGGGTCGGTGCATATATGTCGGAAGACGCGTCGCGAAACGTCAATCAAAACTGACATAAATATGAAATGATATTCAACGTAATAACGCATATTTTCATGAGACGCTCGACGGATTTTTCGTTAGTATGCACCGACCCTTACAATTCTTCGTGTAACGCTTCATTTGACACATATTTGTACACTGATTTAGTAGAAATCAAACAATCTTTGCAGTTATTCAATGCCGCAAAAGAAAATATAGAAAACGTCACTTAATAATTGTGACCATAAATATATTAAATGGTTAGTTGTGAGTGACGCAAAACCAACCGAAAAGATCAAATCAGTTTACCACAATGCAACTAATTTTCATAAGCAATTTTGAACTTAATTATCAACGATTTAAGGTTCAAAATTGGTATAAATTAGAAATTTGATTAGAACCTTATAGGCCATTGACTGTGTGTTTTCAAAAGATCATTAGTGTACGTTAAACTGGCTCGTATAAGTTTATACTTTGAGAAAGCAAGTTATGAAATGAGTATGAAAGACAGAGAGGGCGCTCTACAAAAAATTATCTGTGTTACTCACAACCTCACCCTTTATGTTTATATATCGACGGATTAACATATAAGTCGTAAAATTTTAATAGGACTAGCATAACGCCACTTTTACGCAAAATTTGGGACGAATTTTCTTTGTATTACCATTAGTAGTACAAAAAAGATAGTTAGATACCAAACAAAAATATATTACTAAGTTTTAAATATCAAAGAAAAAGAAAAACTCTTTTACAATAAATAAACTCAAATATGACTATGTCTCATAATGTATTAGTATATATTGTTATTTTCTCTAATGAAAATATATTTATATATATCAAAGGAAATGTTACTTAACTTCTACTGTCGTAGAGTACAAAATCAAATATTATGATCGATGATATTTATAAAAACTAAACTATGAAACATATTTACATACTTAAAACAGAACTGGCAAGTGCTAACATAGTTTAATACTGTATATATATAAATTATAAACATGGATGAAACGATAACCTTAAAAACATATGTACAGGTATTTAACAATATCATATCTAAAGAAAAATAATATATATTTTTTATTTCGGACTATATTGGAAGGGCCTCGGACCATAGACACTAGAATAGACTAGTTCGTTTAGGCCTTTATAATCTAAACCCCCAATATCTTAGCTATTTATTTTTCTAAATTAATATATTACAACCAACCAACTATAATCTCATTCATTTACAGAAATTATAATTAATAACGAAATGCCTAATAATTATTCAGTCGCGTCCTTGGATTCTGATTGTATCCAAAACATATTTTTGTATGTGATCGTATGTGATTACAGATTTTTTGTCTTATATTCTCAGTTGATTGGTAGAAATCGAATGATTGAACAAATAATTCAATAAATCGTTTAAAATAACATATTCGAATATCAATTCTAGCAGCATAAACGAAAGATTTTCAAAGGATGCGTCAGCCCAGACGATTTTGGACCTTGTTATTTACAAGATAGTATAACTGTTTCAGAATATATATCGGGAAATTATAGAAAAAAATATAGGGATTTCACATTAAAAACGCAATGCAATATTATTATTGTGAGCTTAGGTTCACATTGACGAAATTTTTATGGCAAGAAACGTCTTTTTATATGTAAACATTTTCACTAATGCAAAGATTACATATTAAAAAATATGTAAATATATTTGTAACGTGTTTTGGTGTAAAATGTCTTGTCTTCATTAAATGTTTCGTCAGTGCGAACACAAATACGCACATCAGATTATTACAAAATTACTAATGTAAGTTAAGATCTATGCATTACAGTTTAAGAATCAACAAAGTACATTTTATTTGTTTTGTATAAATAGATGTGCTATTCACTGTATATACAGCAGCACTGCAGGTTACCATGAAGTCAAAAATTTTCGCAATAGACTTTGAACTCTATTTTATATGTAATAAGTTCAAAATAGACTACGACAAATTTTGAGAGTTTTGTACAATCTGATATGCCTTTGATTGCATATAATAATATTTTTTTCCCTACGACGTATCTGAGGACAGTTGGCACTAGCCTTTATAATATTGCTTCGGTTCTTACATAAAAATGTTGCGACATACACACGCATTCTATCTCACTCGCACTTTTTGTAAGTACGTTGATTTCTTTTACGGATTTAAATACACGTTTGAATCTAAACATCCAACGATTTCGCTAAAAATTGCCAATATTTAGCTAAAATGTATTTTTTTTATTATATTCCGGATAACACTTTCGTATCTATATTTTTTTTATATAAATTTCATACAATACGAAATAGATCCTAATACAAGTACTTAAAGCAAAAGTCCCGCAGCATATGCAAATATATAAACTTGCCAAGAAAGATATCCATTTCGCTACGAGATACTGCAGGCCTTGAGTTTCGAGTATATAAACATTAACACACATGACGCGTCAGCTAACATTAATATATCAAATTTCTCCAGTTGATTTTAAACTCTACCCCAATATATTAAAGTTTAGAATTAAGTGGAGAAAGACAGATTTGTATGAAGTGACGTGTTGTCACCTGTACATTAAAACACAACAAACAAGGCTTTCCGACGTACTTTTCGAAGTAGGCCTTAATTTTGATTAATCATAATGACCGAGTGTGAGCGAGATGTAAACCTAATGTGTTGTATTTTCTCCTTATGACTATCGAAACAAGGTTCATTATATATTTGAATCATATTTTCGGTCACCATCGGTGTAAGTAGGTCTGATAAGTCATTTTTATTGCGTTTTAATTGTTTTGGTCTAAGGAAAAACGAACACAGTAAACACAGTAATCAAAATAATAATTGAAAACTTGTAAATGAAATAAAAAAAAAATATCGAACTTTTTGAGACGTTGAAAACGACGACAAAATACGGCGAAAACGCTATGTCTATGGTGGAGACAGCAGCATTTCAAACAATATGTTAAATTTCCGCAGTCGATTTTGAACTCTAACCTGAATGTTTTAAAGTTTAAAATCAAATGGAGAAATTTGGCAGTTTTGCGTACATGCTGATTTACTGTTATGTTGCCTCTTTTCTTGGAGAAATTAGGCTGAAAATGTGTAACTGTTAAGGTAGTGTCGGGTCAATGTACAGACGGCCTTACGTTTCTATGTTCGTTTTAAACTTACCTTCAACGTTAGGTGTCAACTATGCCGTTAAGTGTAGGTTGTACAATAGCATATATATTTTCGAATCAAATATTTTGATGCGATCACAAGAAAATTAGGCGATGCGCGAAACATGTTTATTGAAAGCGGGGATGTTTTTAAAATAACCAACTCAACCGCATGCGAATGAGAACACGGTTGTCACCTTTTGAGAAAAAAATCGTGATACTCGGATAGTTATCAGAAACCGGGTCGGGTGGCAACTCTGAATGCGAACCATGTGCGTCTGTGTAACATAACTTTTTTCTCAGTTGACTGCGAAACCGTACAACTGACAAGGACGCAGATTTTATATTAGAGTGAGACAATGAACATCGCTAAGCAACTGACAAGATTCGTATTCGCATGCGATAGGGTCGATGCACTAACGGCGTAATGTCCGCCAACCGGCGCAGTCGCCACGTGCGTTCACACGCGAACTCCCCCCCCTTCCTCTTGAAGTACTCGACTATTTTCAGCTGCCGTATCGAGTCCGAACAGACGCAACCTGGCCGCCTCGTCTCACCGTCACGCGCGCTTATCGAATATAGGTAATTTAGAACTCACAGCTCCCTCGCAGACGAGCAAGCCGCGCCGTCCGACGTCGTCGGCCGCCCGCCGCCTAATGTCCGCCAGCCGGCGCAGTCGCCACGTGCGTTCACACGCGAACTCTCCCCCCTTCCTCTCGAAGTACTCTACTATTTTCGATATCTGAGCGGATCGCCGGGGGAGCCTGTCGTCGCAGTAGAGGCTGTCGGAGCCGGCGAGCGAGGCGACGTCCTCCGAGCTGTCCGTGTAGACGCTGGAGGCGCGCTTGTACGTCTGCCGCTCGTACTCGGCGAGGCAGTCCGCGCACACCCTTAGTCGGAGCTCGTCGAGCGACCGCTCGGAGGCGGCGTCGCGTCGGCCGCACAGACAGAGAGGGGCGATGTCCTCGTTCGCGACCGAGAATATCCCGCTCTCGCACGACGCGCGCCGCCGCGGCCGCTCGAGGGAGCCGCGCCGACTCACCGCCGGCGAAGTCGGGAGGGACGCGCACCTGTACACGTACCCGATATTATAATGTCATACCTCTATGAACTGAACACGTACTGTAGGTATTTGATCTATTTTATTAGTATTTTGATTTATTTTATTAGTAGAACCTAAAATTCCGTGTTTCGGGATGAACAGGGACTAGTTAAACACGACATTATTTCTGAATATCTACTACATTTTTATAAGAATTCTACCGTTAGGAAGATTTCAATGTCAGCAATATACTTAATCGTAAGTGAACATTTCGATATAAAGAATTAAAATTTGACGTGAACAAACAGCGAGTGGTATCCTTCCCTACCACCGAGGGTATTCCGCATCGCGTTTTATCAGGTAGGCCTATCACGCTCGTTCTTTACAGGACAGAGTGATTCGAGAGATCTGATGTAAGGCTTTTAAGGTGCATTTCCTTTGAGTTAAAAAAAGGTGTACTGCTGTGGCATGGTTGTGTTGAAGTGCATGTGTACTGGTGTGACATTGTTGAGTACGTGTGTATTGGCCTAGCACGGTTGAGTGCACGTGTACTAGTGTGGCTATGTTGAGTGCATGTTTACTGGTGTGAGGTTGTTGAGTGCACGTGTACTGGCCTAGCGCGGTTGAGTGCACGTGTACTAGTGTGGCGATGTTGAGTGCATGTGTACTGGTGTAGCGTTGTTGAGTGCACGTGTACTAGTGTGTACTAGTGTGGCGATGTTGAGTGCATGTGTACTGGTGTGGCGTTGTTGAGTGCACGTGTACTGGCGTTGGCGTGGTCGAGTGCGCGTGTACTAGTGTGCTTGTGTACAGGGTTGTACCTGGGCTCGTCGTCGTCGTCGTGCGGCGAGGGCAGGTCGAGGCAGGTGGCGGGCGGCTCGAGGATCTTGTGCACGCCGCGGAAGGTGTGCAGCGGGCGGCGCGCGGCGGGCGCGGCGGCGTGCGCGTCGCGCAGCCCCATCGTGTGCGCCAGCCGCCGCAGCCGCGCGCCGCGCCCCCCGCCCCCGCCCCCGCCCCCGCCCGCGCCCGCCACGCCGCCGCACTCCATCACCCACTCCAGCTCCGACAGCGAGCGGCGGTGGACTGCAATAAGACACGCGTAAAAATTACGATTTTGCTTAACGTCAACACTTAATATATGTAAATTGATAAAATAAACGTACGATTATTTTTAAGGCATATTTTGTCGCATGTTCTATAGAATTGTGATCGGCACCATATATTTTAATTTATTTTAAATGACAATTGGTGCACTTTTCTGTATTTTTAGTCGATTTTAAGGGCAAGATCCGGCCATGTCATTTATCATTAGTAATAATTTTTGCAACGTTTCAAAATTATTTCGTAATTATTTAAAAATTTTATATATTGTATTGTATACTGACGTGATGAATTGTGATACAGTGCCGCCATATATTTTAAATGATAGCCTATTCACCTTGCTGTATTTTTAATCGATTTTAAGGACAGGACTCGGCCATTTCATTTATTACTAGTAATAATTCTTGACATTTATAGCGCAAAAAAGTTTCAAAATTATTTCGTAATTATTTGAAATATTATATATTCTATTGTATACTGACGTGATCGTTGCGGTCGAGCGCGTCTCCACGCGGACAATCCGGGACACGAACGCGGCCCCGACGAGTCCGCCTCCTCACCGCTGTAATAAAACATATAAATACAATACATATACTTGATTTAACATTGATAAACGACTCCTGTCTGGCTTAAACGAAAGAACAAGTTATTGCACCATTACTTAATACATCACGTTATACTCGTATTAATTATGAAAAAAATAAACTTAATTGCACATAATATTTTTTCTACACATGATGCAATACAAAGAAAAGTCATAAAGAAAAGTAAATAAGAAAGTACATAAAAAATCGTGTTGTTAAGCACTAATATTGTCCAAACAACCCATGTCAAAAATAAATCATACATACTATTAATATTTATCCATACAAGATAATTAGTTAAATACTAATTGTCATTAAGTCTTGGCATTAAGTCCACCTTTTGCTGTTCTTGCAAAAAAGTTTTAAATTATAATAATACTGATACTGATGAAGAATTAAAAAAATAATAATTTCACTATTTTGACTACAAAACATCCAGCTCGAAGGACCAAAATGGTTAAAAGCAGTGTATCGGTTACCTTTCATAGCTGTTGTTGGGCGTGTGACAGCCCCAGTTGGACTCGTCGTTGCCTTCCTTGATCTCAGCGAGCTTGCTCACTATCTCGGGGAATAGCGGCCGCGCCTTAGGTTCAAACTACGGATAAAACAATTATGGTGATTAAAACATTTAAAAACTTCACTAGCCTACTCGGAGATGGGACTATAACCCACGACCTTTCGCAATTCAAGTCCCATCTCAAGAGTACCTTTGGACCTTAATGCTACGTTCGGAAGTTTGGAATTTAATGCTACGTTCGGAAGTTTGTATTGAAAGACCCTTAACCCTTCGCATTATTTTTATTATGAGGAGAATAGTAAGAAAATACTTACGATACAGCAATTGAATGCCAGTTTCAGGAGACCTGGCACAGTGTCTTCGTCGCAGAGTTCTACGAACGCCATGTAGTTGAGGCCGAAATTGTCAGTGCGAGGTAGCACGTCCGGATCGGCATCAACCTGGACACCGGAATGTAACAAAATATTATATTGTCTACTTTCATAACTATCTCCGTCAAAGGACCAATCCGAGGGAAAATCATCATCACACCAATTTCAAATTCTCTTATGGATGTAACATACGTACGGATGGATGTTGTAGGGATGTTGACTTATGTTTGTTTGTTTGTCCGTCAGGTAGATTATTGAAGAATATTAACACGAATATTTTATTTTATTATTATCTTCGTTTATCATTAATAGGTAAATGAAAAGAATTAGTGGGAAAAAGTCTGTTCAGTTCAACCGTAGAACTATATATAAACATAATATAATAACAATTTCTGTAAATGTCATAGCTACTGTAAAGAACCGATATGTTTCATGGACCTCCTCCTGTCAGCTACAACACGTTCTCATATCATTGAGTGGTAAATATTAATAAAAAAATGGACGATTCCAAAGGGCTTCATTCGAAGAGGGAATATTTTAATTTCCTTTAACAAAAAAACCTGAAAAGTTGGACAAGTAGTGTGATGCTCACCCTGGCGATAAGTTGGCAGAGTATGATCCCGTAGGAGAATATGTCGGAGCGGTGGTCATACCAGCGGCCCCGCAGGCACTCCGGGGACATCCACCACGGCGAGCCCACGGACGGCAACCGGTACCCGTTACTGTGACCACACCATAGATTTAACACTACTAAAAAACCGTATAAGCTACACCATTCTCTATGTGTGGAGTAAGGATAGATCTGCTGCCGGATGGATAGACGGTGGGAGGAATAAGACTCTATCTATATATTCACGTCAAACCCGTTGGAGAGAATCGCCACAAGGCACTATCTTTACATGCATCTTTCGCTTTCTTGATATTGACAACTCTTCTGTCCGCTGGTTTCATGGTTTTTGAAGTCAACTTCCGATATTAAATAATCATTTTGATCGAGATAGGTGTTATTTTTGGACTTTAATATCCTCCACCTTCGCATAAAATAAGCTGAGTCCAAATACAATACTGCGAATGAAAAAGAACCAAAGAAGAGTTTAGTTCCAATCATCTGTTATTATTACCATTGATTAACGTTGGGTCATGTTGTCCGAGATATGAGGTTTCAAGAACAGGTGTAGATTTTTTTAACATGATGCCTCAGTTTTTTTTGTTTTAGCCCTAAATCTGATGAAGCATGAAGCTGTTTTCGAGTATCTCTGTAATGACGTGACTTAACTGCATACGTAATACACAAGTAATAAATCGTCTCAACAATAAAACTGGTATATATAACTATGTGTGGCGTAATCTCGTACCTCTCAAAATATAGCATTGGTGGAAATCGAAAGCGGGAGGGACAAACATCGGGCGACATCGTTCGGTTCTCAGAAACACTCGACACTTATGGTAATGCTGCTTAAGGGTTGATAATACGAGAAGTTATTTTTACTTTTTACCGGCTTCCAATCAAAAAGGAGTTTTCATTTCGACGAGTGTTTGTTTTTTTTCTCTCTTCAGAATCCTCAAAATTGCGTCTTGATGGTTTTTAGCCTCTTAATTCATATATGTTTTTTTTGTTTTAATAGATACCTTCATGTCGGTTCCATGAGAGATATCGGGATTTGTTTACATATTTATCTATTTATAACCATCATTCCAATTAAGCACATCCATAATCGCACTATTAACCAATTAGCAAAGCTCAATTATAAAAGGGTTTTTCAAAATATTATGAAAACTGTAATGATGAACCGTTAATTTTTCAGTGATGCGACAAAAAAAAATATATGTTTACAAATGATCGACCATGTGCCCGTGTGGAGTGGAGACACGCGAAATCGCGTGATATATTGTACGTAGGGTTGACAACTTTGCATATTCTAATTAAATACGATTTTTTTTTGCGATAGTAACAAGCGCTTGATCTAGGTTTCGGGCAGCTCAATTGTGTAGAGCCAGCAGCCCGGATTGCGCAAGGATATGGATTCAAATCCCATCTCGGGCACCTAGGACAGAAGTATTGAGCATTTCTCTTTAAGATAAAATTTTATATATTGTTTTTGTAATAGGTTAGTAAATGAGAAATAAATTGTTGAAAATAAAAATATCATCTCGTATAAACAGCATTTTATTAGCGTTACCATAGGTATTGACCGTTTCAGATGTCGCCTTATGTTTGTCACCGCTTTCGATTTCTACCAGTATTATATTTTAAAAGATACGAGATTACGCCATACGTATCATATGACAGTTTAATTGTTGAGACGAAATATTACGCGTATTTATTACGTATGCAGTTGTATGACATATCCATGCTTGAAACATAAAACTCAATAATATTATATGTATTGTCGCATCATCAATATGTCTATTCAGCTCTTCAAATTATAATTTGGTTGTATTAAAATAATTAAAAAAAAATCAGAACTAGTTTCTGTAGCTTTTGTACTTTTGTCAAGCTAATAGAGCGTCAATAACATTAGTTCACTACACTTTTTACGATAAATCAATAACTTTCCATTTGTTTAAAGCAAACGTGCTAATATACCAAATATAATAAATGAATAACGTATCTATTCTCCTTTTATACTTTGAAAAAAAAAAATTTAATAGTAGTATTTATTAGTGAGATAAAAACGTTGACAAACCCTGAATAAAGCCATCCCTCTCGCACCGGTCGTCATTAACTTAATTACGTTGGATGTGAATATTAACCGTTTCAGTGTGACAGAATGCAATATCTTTGAGATACGCCGCTATTTATTCTACCTTTTTGCCGGTATCACTAATGGGATCGTGAGTTTTATAATTTATCAAGTAAAAAGGTACACAGCAGCTCGCCAAGTTACCACAATATAACAAATTTTGTACAATTAATTTTAAACTTTAATCTAAATATGTTAAGGTACAAAATAAAGTGGTCAAAATTGACACTTAGTATACCCTGACGTAGTGTTGACTGTACCTATTAGATTTATTTTAAAAAAGAACGGTTCTAATATTTTATAGAAAAGAGAATTTTATTTAAAACAATATTCAAATATTACTTAAATTATCATAATATTTATTTTATATGTTAAAGAATTATATGATTTCCATATTTTTGGGTATATAATTATTTTAAATATTTATTGTATATAGATGACATCAAGGTTAAATTCCACAGTTGTTTTTATTCCAACGCAAATAAAAATACAAATCCAATATTCTTTTAAAGTAACATTTGCCTGCTTATAATGTTATGTTTACGCGGCTGACATCTGGATAATTGATACACTCTTGACATGTGCACACCTACGGCCGTAACCTTGAGTCATCCTTGAGTTTTCGGACGCCCAATAGCAATCTGGTTCAATGTACTGACTCGTTAAATCACTAAACAAATGTGTCAGTCGCAGATTACAGACATGTCGGATAGATTTGATTCTGCCTCCAAATAAAGGCATTTCGAAAACTACAAACAAATCTATAGTTGAATAAATTCTGGAAAAATATCCACTTTCAAAGAATATCGACATTTTCGTTCACAAAAAAAAGATTTCCAATTAGAATAGATATGCCAAATATCCTGCTTTCCAAGGACATGACCTCGTTTTTATAATCCTTGAGTTTTTAAGCAGCAGCCTTGTTTTGAAGACGCCTTGATAAGGTTATTTATTTTAAAATTATCGCAGTGATTTTTGGTTCAAATTAGTTCGTCCTGTTTTTAAACTTAATTGTCCTATTAACATCTTTGCATCCTAGTTTTCGAAAGTCAGGATTGGCAACCCTAAAATAGAACAAAGATTCAAAATAATTCACGTGGGTCGTTCCACGTTAGAAATTTAGAAATATTATTTGCTGTTTAATGACCTCTCTGGACATTATATCATCTTTGTTACTTTAGCACGCAGGTTGTCAAACTTATAACGCCTACTTTGCATTTCTTGCGTCTTTTCATTGTTCTATTCATAGCATAGAAAATTTGAATAAATCTGTTAGTAGAGACAGCACAATACTACTTACACAGGATGAGGTATTTTAGCGGCAAGCCCGAAATCTGCTACCACCGCTGAGTAGCCGTCGTCTCCAGTTTTTCTTAATAATACATTCTGAAAAAAAAAGAGATTTATCATTAAAAGAGCATAATAGAGGAAACGAATACCGGTTAAAAAGCCATAACTTCACTGAAATAAAAGAGAAATTAGGATATTCTTCCTTTTAGTTGGCGTCACAATGTTTGTTTGTAACTATACGAGAACGAAAGAATGCAGCCAAGACAAAGTCAGAAACAGTCAATGCAGCCATAGAGCAAGCGGAAACCTTATTCTGCAATATAAAATCGGAATAAATCAATGCCAAAAATAGGTTTTCAGTGAAACTTCCCGATTGGCTAATAACAGAGTTGATTTGAGTGTAGAATATGAAACGTTAGTGTATAAGCACTCAATTTGTTTTACATTTGAAATACAATTCCCTGAAAACAAACTCAATGTAGATAATTAGCCCCTGCTGTAAAAAACAGAATTGACTACGTTATTGGACGCCAGCAAACAACGAACAAAGTAAATGGCCAATGAGGAAAAGTACACTCACACCGTGACTGTCGGAAAGGAAAATTATAAAGTTACGGTATATATAATTTCATTTCCATGAAATCAGGTAGATTTTTTTTAGAGATAGAGCGAAATATTAAAGTCCATCTAATCGCGATAAATATCGTAAATGAAAAAGAATAAATAATACGCGGCTCTAATATTTATAAATGAGAACTGACTTTGAGCTAAGGTTAATTAATAAACTTATTAAATGGTAGTATTTATTGTATGATTATTTCATAAAAACACGACTACCGTATGACAACCGGAAAGCGTTGAAACGTTTCCAAGAAAAAAAATGCAATGAATTATGAAACTGCACTCATGAAATTATTTTTATGAAAAGTTTTAGTTATTATGAAACGCGTGAATATCTGCAGGTAATGATGAGACTAGACATGTTCTCAGCCGCAGGCAACTCCTCGCACAAATCGCTGGCAACTCCTTGCGAGCAAAAAGTAATTGGACGCGGTGGTGTCAATACATACGTCTGTTAAAATGATAAGTTTGATCTTCAACGTTACAAGAAATTAAGAAAATGGTTTTAATTTTTCACCTACATTTGGTATTTTCTATGGTTACATATAGCAACATCAGTGAACGCCATTCTCGACAGTAATCAATGAAAAAATATACCATAATCCCGGTACAGTATAAAGATACGTGTTAGATGTTACCTTAGCAGTACCTAAGGTATTTATAGAAGGTTATATCAAATGTATATGGATGGCATGTTAAGCCGTTGGTCCCGACTGCATTTGTCGTTAATACCCTCCAATCCATATTTGGTTAGTGTGGAGGGTTGAAGATGAGTATTGCAAATGTACCTTAGCAGTAAGGTCCCTATGGAAGACTCCGAGAGAGTGCAGGTACTTCATGCCGGCGGCTACGTCGGAGGCTAACGACACCCTCAGCTGCTGCGGCAACGGCTGAGACGGCCGACCGAGGATCAGCTGCTCGAGAGATCCCCCCTCCATGTACTCCGTGAGCGCGTGCAGCTGACCTTCGTGGACACATACGCCCATGAATCTGAAATAGCAGAATAGGTTATTTGAATGTAGGTACATTACTTATCTCTATGATCTGTAACAGGAGTAAACCATATGATTTTAGTGTCAACCCTTCGAAGACGCAAACAATATTACATTCGACGGCACCCTCACACTGCTTTTAAAATCTAATAGAAACCTGTGTTATTTTTAACCAATCTCTATCTTGAAGGCCTCATTTGGAATTGGTTAAAAAAAAAATATTTGCCGCGTATAGTTCAATCCACTCTTGAAACGCTTCTATAGAACCCATACATATGGACCTGGCTGATGTTTGTTACATAGATCTGTCTAAGAACTTCTTAATAAAAAATCAACATTTACAATTTTTTGGCTCTAATTTACATTTGGTTTAATATTCAAATATGTCATGTTATTGATAATGCAAATTTTAATTCTAGACAGGGTAAGACTAATTTACAAGTCTTCTTTGTCGTTTTTCGGATTGTTTCGTAAAACGTTGTGTTAGTAGACCACAGGTTGTAAGAAGTGAAACTACCACAAAAGCGCAAAGGTTAAGCAGTGAAATGAAACAATAAACATGATCGTCATGCAACAATGTGGGATTAAACAAAAGACTACTGAGACTTGTACATCTTGATAAGAAATTGTACCCGGAAACTGAACTTTCTGGGTGACTGGGCGTATTGCCAGAAGCGGAAGCTTATGAGATAAATAGTCGAATAACCGATCTCCTAACTGGTGGATTTCTCATATTCTAAATTCCCATATATTCTGAGCAAGACAATGTTAATTATAAAAAAGCGACACCACACACAACCAAGCACTCCCCACATAAAAAGTTCTTTTACAAAAGTAGCTCGACATGCAACTAAGTCTAAGATATCAAACTCTAGAATAGCGTGCTAGGTGCGCTTGCTATTTGACTATGCATAAACAAAGTATCACTGAATAAATCAAAACAAACAATGTCAATTATATATTTTCACAAGATTATGATGTAATAATTGTGATGAATTGCTTAAACAAGAACAATGTGATAATAGCGGCTGCACCATGTATAATAAAAGTAATAAATCTAACCCTAATTGCTTTTTATATGCTATTTTAGACGTACGTATGAAATACGTTAATAGCAATTGTTTATTCAGAGAGAAAGTGAAACGATTCCATCGCAATAGAAGACTAGCACAAAAGAAAAACCGTGGAAAGCGCCATCATGCATAGAGAGACTGTTATTAACGTGGCTCCGATCAATCGTAATATAAATCACGTGTGTGTCAACCAAGATAACATTTCTTCACCACCTCAATTAACTTTTAATTAATTGTACTCTATTGTTGATCGATAAACAAAACACACAACTTGGCGAATGTGTGGTGCATCATTAACATTAAAAAACAGCGCAAAAGTGAAATGGCAAGGTCGATATGGTGACTTAAAAAGGTTATTGTTTGTTTTGTTCACCTTTTATTTATAGTCATGTTGAAAGTTCTTAAATTTATTTACGTATCCTTTTCTCTACACCAAAGAGAGGGACTACACTTCTACAGTCAGGGTCAAACTTTTAGCACGAGCAGTCAAGATGTCCAATTAATTCGATACAAAAACGCAGATGTACAAAAACATCGTAACAGCTAGTTTTCAAATTATTGACAAGCTTTTCGAGTGTTTCTATTTAAATACTCATGCCATCTAATAGGAATAATAACTAGAATCAAGATCATTATTTATATAAGTTCTCCAAAATTGACAGATGTTACGACAAGGTCATCAGCTCACCATTCGTGGAGCGTATTTATAAAAAGCAGAGCGCTAACGGTCTCTTCATCTTGTGTGTAATTCGAAAAAGATTGACGTTGCTGCGATAATGACCCATGTTCCACTATGACACAATACCATAAGAAGTCATTCAAATGATGAATCTGTCATATGTGATTTAGATTGAACTTCCAATGACGTGTTGTATTGAGTCGAGGTTGTTGCTGCTGTCGTGCGCACCCACTCCAGTTGAAAAATTGCAAGTAATGAGTTTTAATATTATTGATGCGGTATGATAAATTAATAATAAATAAAAGAACCATAGGTGAGAATTATCAGATCAATTTTTACATACAAATGACAGAACCAACGTGTAATGTAAAATGTAAACCAAATAATCCATTGAAAAAATGTAAATTTTATACAAGAGCCGATAATTAACATCTTTTTAATTTCTCATTGCGTTTATCAGTGAGATGTCACGCGACGTGACAAATGTCAAGGACTAACAAGTGAAGAAATCGTCGCTGATTGCAAACAGTTAATTAAAGCGTTGCGTGCTAAAGAATCTCTGGGCGAACATAATAAAACTGCAGGTATCCCATGATTAAATAATTAAAAGTAAAATTAAAGCTCGGCGCGATGATATAACTGGTAAAGTGACTGTTGAAGTGATGTTAAATAAGAATTAAACACAAAGCGTCCTTGTGTATTTATCTCTTGATGCTTTTGCTGCGGTGAGACGTAGGAAACACGCGAGCGAACTAGTTTTTCGTCCCACTTGCATGTGAATCGCTAAACAATCGCACACAGACGGTGCATTGTTTTTTTTTTATATCTCTGAAGACAGCAAACAGGAAACGCACCAAAATGCAGGACAGCGGACCATTGTTCAATGTTTCGATTTCATAATGTTTTATTACGCAAATGCCCGTTTCAGGATGACAAAATTATTTTGTGTCGTGAGTTGAGAATTGTAACGCAAACTATATTCACATAGCGACCGGAATCGAAATGGATCTAGATATGTGTTACACAATGTTGTGTAAAGAGGATGATATATAATATGCATTTGGTTCGGCTAACATGCTGGTAAACACAACATTAGTATCTATCTATCTATCTATAGATTATACAGTCGGTTTCTGAATTGAAAAGAGTATAATTTTTTTAAAATTATTTTACGTTTTACAAGTCAAAAATTCCAAGTTTTATCAAACTATAATATTAACTGAACTTTAAAAAAATTAAAATCAGAAACGAAAACCTGTTTGAGAATAAACTATAATATTAACTGAACTTTAAAAAAAATAAAATCAGAAACAAAAACCTGTTTGAGATGTTCTTAACTTTAAATTCTCTATTCAAAAATCGGAAGACGGTATATTGCACACATGGGAAGTGATTCTCAAAGTCGTCAATATTGACCTCTTGGGGTCGACGTCGTTTTCGACACCTGATCGACAGAAAAAAACACTAATTTAGGGAGTCGGTAAGGCCTATAAATCAATTCATATTGAATACAACAAATCTTATTTATTAAACATGTTTAGTATAGCAATTAATCAAATTAAATAAAAATTACAATTTTAAACTTTCAAGATATTGTGTACTTAAGTCTATTTCTGTATAGACATAGAAAACGATGTCAAGTTTATTCACTTAACCAATTAATAGTTACCACTTAATCAGTTAATTGAAACTGTTTTTTTTTTAATCTGTGTTACCTCTGGACTAACATTAAAAGAAAAGCTCGATGACGCAATAGGTAGCGCGTTTGAACTGCGATACGGCATAAAGTAATTTTCACAAGGACCGATCGTAGGATTGGTGACCAAAAATTTATTACCTCCAGCTCCTCCATGTCTCGGAAGGTACGTTAAGTTGTTTGTTCCTGTTGTATCTGCAGTTGTTAACACCCACCAATTGGCTCTATGGTCTAACAGGGATAATGACTGGGTAAAAAAAATGAAATTCTATTTAGTCCGTCAGTCATATAATAGAAAACTATTAGATACATATTTTGTTTTGCTTCAATTTAACTAGAAATGACTCCGATAATAGGCATTAAAGTTAAGTGGAGGGGGCTCGTTACGTCACAGTTTTGTAGAAAATGTACAAAAGCGTGACGTTATGCGACATTTCACCACAATGTTTCGCCGTAATGCTATGTTATTGATTACACAAAAAATAAGAAATACATGTTTAATATTTTTCAATAATCTCAGGTAGATATAGCTGACATACAAACAAACAAGAAATAGTTGTCATCTCTGTTGTCTAATTTCAAAATGAATCGTAATCAAAGCGATTTATGTTTGTGTTTTTTTTTAATAAGTATTATTTTAATAGTAGATTTTATTAAAATAATACTTATTAAAAAAGCTTACTATAAGGTATCAGATTATATAACAGATAAGAATGCTTGGACTTGAGATGATCCAGCAACTGGATAGGTGATTACTTCTTAACTCATTAAATATCAAAAATTATCTTGCTTCCATTATTATTAAATGATTATGTTATTATTATAAGACCATAAATTTCTTTCTATCTCTGTTTATAATGTATTGATCTGGTAATGGCATGGTTTTTGTAAATGTCATTACTCCTATTAGAGCTGGTGAGTTTCTTGCTCGTTCTTCTTATCAGCCAAAAGACGTCCTGAACGAGCGGTAGGGAAAAAAAATGTTGGACGATTCAAAAGTACTTTTAAGAAGTCTATTTGAATAAAGATTATTTTGACTTGACTTGACTTGACTTATTGAATTATGCAACGTTTAAAATCGCATGATTTAAATTACCAAGAATAGTAGTAGTAAGTTTATAGAATAAAAGTTAGCACAACCCGTCGAAATATTGCGGTTGGAATTTAACATATTTGTTTCATATTTCTAGATAGCTTTCAAAGAGGTAATATTTGCATCTAACGATTGCCTAAGATAATTGATATTTAAAAAAAAATCGCCGCGGTCTCATTAACTATCACATGTCAAGTAATTCTACCGTGAAGTTAAAGAATATCTGTCACTTATTTGCAATGGATTGAGATTGATTTTAAAATTAGATCGCGTTGTTGATTTTGAGCCATTCTCTGTATTTGATACGTTTCCAACCGTGGGGAAGGCCTGTACCCCAGACAACAGGCTGGTGATGATTATCGTAATATTAACTTTGATTTCATTTGAAGTAAGTTTTCGCTAAAAGCTGTGAAATTAAAAGTCTTTTTTATAATAAAACACGACTTTATGCTTTTCTGAAGTCGTTAATCAACTTGACGTCTTTGTATAAAAACAGGTTTTCGTAGAGTTGAGTGCCTTACCGAAGCTCTACGGTTTTCTCTGTTCGTGCTCGTGAGCTTTACTTTACTTACATTTACGAGTATTATCCCATTTACTTTTCAAAATTATCTCTTATCCATACATAGTATAAAACAAAGTTTGTACGCTGAGATCTATTAAATTATACAACGGATATTAATTTTCATCAATTCACAGAGTGATTCAAGACTAAAGTTTATAGGCATGGATAATATAAGACCGTGCGAGCGAAGCTGCTGAAGGAAAGCTAGTACACGTTCGATACTTCAAAATATGAAACTAACTATATTAAATGAAATTTTTAAATTCATATTATAGATAATGAAAGCAAAAATAAACAGATAAAATTTCACCACCCACGAGAAGTTTATACTAGAGCGGTGATAAGCTTTGCCCTCGTTCCACCTTCCTCTCGTCCCGATGACGTAAGCCAAAACAATGCGGTCCAGGAACCGGCTCGGGAGGTACAAATTGAAAACAAAACACGATCGACTACGAATTTGACCATGGACGTGAAGTTTTTGGCGAGCCAACTCATTGCTTCACTCGGTATTGCGATAACACCAAGCATCTGTATACCGTATATCAAAAGTGGTAAGGTTTAAAATCACAAGCGATTGGGTGTAAATACAGGGGGGGTTGATCGTACGAAATGTAAATAGTAGCAATACAATATTTGCAGGCTTCATGAGGTGTACGGTTAAAGGAATTCCTTTGTTATTTGTTTTCCTTTATATTGATGGATTGAGTGAATGACGAGTCTCTGAACTCGGCATACTTAACAAATGAAAATATTTCACTGCCTTTTGTTAAACCGACTGGCAAATATTTTCTCGCCTTACATTCCAAAGGTCGTGTTTCCAAACAGGAAAATGATTTAATTTTAAAATCCGAAACTTATATAAACGATGCCGTCTTATTTCAATATCAAGTTAATGAATTAAAATTTTTAAAACAAGTCATAAGTGATGAATAGCTTTTTTTTTTCTTGTAATTAATCAGACGTTAAAGAGGTTTATCATCAAAATTATGCATTATGTAAATTAATTTTGAATTTTCCTTTCAAACGTATTTCAGTTATTTGTAGAGGCACATAATCTGATTAAAACAATGTAGAAAGAATTGTAAATGATTAAATCAACATTCTCATAAAATACAAATAGATTTTAGTTCAGTTTATATGAAAAGTATGATCTTATTAAAAATATCTAACACCAATATAAAAATGAACATAGTAAAGCTTGTAATAAGCATAGAGATGCTTTAAAAATAGTAATGCCAGTCAATGTGCAGTCAACCGCGTGTCCTGAAGACGAGATAGCGTACCCCACAGTCATTGACGTCATTCCACATTATAACTGTCAATAAAACAGCTATTGTTCCTAACTATAGGTACATATCTCATCTTGAATAACAAATTACACAAATAACTCATTATTCGTGATGGAAAAAAAAATATCACCTTTGTTCTTTTGCTAAGTGAAATATATAAGCACGTGTAATAAAATCAGTAAAAATATTTGAGACATCAGTCATATTTCCCTGGGGAAATATACGTCAGGCAACATTTAATTTTACTTGTGTATATATTAAGTTTTAGTACTAAAACTATTTGAAATGAAACGATAACACTCATTAGATCTTCGTATTTATAACAAGTTATAATAAACCCTATACAAAGAACACAAATATTTACTAGATTTTTTTGGAACATCTGTACTTTCTTTAAAAGTCTTATTCTTACTATTAGAAAATATAAAAGAAAACACTCCAGATACTCTTCATGCTATTTTTCTATAAGTATGTAACTTTTTCATGAACATGATAGAGATAATTTTACTTCAGAATACTATCTGGCTTTTATAAAAAATATGCAAATTGAAGAACTCCCGAGACATGTATTTACTTATTCTACCGTAACTTATAAAAATTTCGTGAGCTTATAGAGGCAATCTTCCTCAGTACCTCGGTAATTTCCTTAATACATATACATTATTAACATCACATAAATGTACTACCATTAATCCTAAAATGTGAGTCTGGCAACACACCGGAGATACATACTTGGCAATCGATCAAAACTCCATGTTACCTGCGAAAATTCTAAAAAGCTTCTGTGCTTTAGGCCGGAGTTAGATTGGTGATTTTGTGTCTTTTCTGGGCTAAGGCCCAACGTTTTCAATTCTATAGAGACAGAGACCAGGTGGTGGGCGGCCTCTACCTCTTTTGCTCTCTTGTATGGCCATACAACATGAGGGATCGGGTCATATAACTTTCACTGCGTCGAATCACATGCGTCTAAATGTGGAAAATAGGTACCCCTTCACCTAACTTTACTACTGTTAATGTACGTTATATCAGTATTGTTATTGCTAAGGAGACTTACCCTAGTATGTTAGGGTGTTTGAGTTTATTCATGAGCTGCACCTCCCGCAGCATGTTGGGTCTATTCGCCCGCTGCTGATTCATCTTGAGCACCATCACTTTACCAGACGTTTTGTGTGTCACCTGCAAAAAATAAACGATAGCTATTGTAGAGATATAACGTTTTATCACAAACTAGGACAACAATCCAGGCTGGCTTCACATAGGACTTTCTTGGAGAATTTTTCTATTCAACAGCAAAATCATTATTGAAATTCGTTGTATGATATGGGAAGATTTAAAAGCCTAACAGACACGGGAAATGGTAAGATGCAGTGCGTCTTTATTTGTCATGTGGTTATGATGATTATTTTTATTAATATATTGTAAAGCATATTTAGAATTATATTATTGAGAGAACTATATAGGGATAACAAGAGATTTTGCTGCTGTCTGTTTTTTTTATGAACTGAAGACATATAGTCTATAAGTTATATGGTTTTTGGTAAGACGTCCGTGTGAATCTTGCTCGCTATTTGCCTAACCCGCTTAGATTTAATAACAAAAAAATAACAAGAGCGAGGTCAACATGGATCCTATCTCAGCAGAAACCTCTGCAACAATTCTAGATGGGCAGACTGATACTGGGACGTTGTTATTCTAATAGGGAATTGGAGAATGTGTAAAAATAATGAAACCAATAAAAATAATCTCTACAATGCCCAAACTTGTTCAGTAAAAAACAAAATGACATGCAAGTGAACAATATAGGCACCTCCGTAGCCGAGTGGTTCGCACGCCGGTTTCAAGGTGTCGCCATCTCTGAGGTCCTGGGTTCGATTCCCGGTCGGGTCAATGTATAAAATGAACTTTTCTATATTGACTCGGGTCTGGGTGTTGTTGTACCTTCGTTGTCTCAGATACTCCATAATACGGGAGCTTTAGCTTACTCATCTTGGAATCTGAGCAATGTATGTGATGTTGTTAAATATGTATTTATTATTATTTATTTATTTAAATTAAATATTTATATTTAAAAAATATTTAAAATATTTAAATATTTAATCACGATGTTACTTTTCCTCTTTTAATATAAGTGCAAAATTTCAAACAAGTTTTTAACAAATATTTATATTATATATACAATATCTATGCATGCATTTCTCTATACTATCGTATCGAACATCGGTTATATATTATTTGTAATATATACTCCAATTATCTCAGCATTCAAAAGAAACGACTAAAAATATATAAAAAGATCATTTTCTCGAACAAACTCTAGTAGGTATTAAACTACTAATTGGAAGTATTTGGCGTCGTTGAAGAGTCAATTTGGCCGCTATAAAAGTATTTTTAGACATTGGATTACAAAAACAACAAGAATTAGACTTGAGGGATATTAAATGTACGAATTTTTGATCGTTAAACGATCAAAAATAGATAAAGAACGATATTTAAATCTAATTTTTTAATCAATTTACTATCGTAGATTATAAAAAAAAAACCTCAATATTATTCAATGTAACCTGTTTTATAGTGGTCAGGATATCTGGTATTACACTCTTGATCACATACGACATCAAATACATCTACTTGTGGTTTGATTACGTAAATTTTCTCAGTTACTTCACATTACTTTATACATATGTACTAGATAATCTTTATTACAAACAGGAGCTGCTCAGTGTTCAATTTCACTTCAAGCCACTGTACCTCTACTTGCCGAGTATATTGTGTGTGGTCCAACAAGTAATGAATTGAATTTCTAACATTTAACTTCTTCTAGGTCGTGTCACTTTTAAGAGCGGTCTTGATTATTCTGAGGCATAATCATCAAAATGTTAGAACTGGAAACATTTAACTACGATATTATTATTATTGTTAATACTTGAAAAAACATTTTTATATTATTGAACCTCATTCCTTTTAAAATTCGATCCAGCCCTGCCTGCGATTCTTTAAAAATCCAAACCCGAATTCGCTGATGTTTCCGAATTCACGTCATTTAATGAAGAATTCCTATTGATACCATTTTTTGTATAAGATACAAAATAAATTTGATTGATTATACGTGTCTCAGATATTCATTTCTAAAACTCACTTCACTTATGCCACTTAACGTTATTACCAATTCAAGATTGAGCGGATGCCGCTTTTTGAAGTGTATTCGGATTTTAACAAAATCGCAGGGCAGTTCTTTGTAATCTATTCTTTATGTGTGTAAAGGTTAAATATTTCTTTAATAATGTCACTGGAATGTAAGTTATATTTAAAAATATTTGTTTTTAAGATCTTAGTTAGATTTTTATATAATAGATTCCATTTTCTAATTAGGTAATATATGAAAATCGGAAAACTCTGAGTCGACATAGAGTAGATGTTCTTGAAAAAAAAAAAGGTAAAACAATTGAGCTATTTAAAACACCTTTTCCACTGGTATTACTTATAACAATCGTAACGTAGACTGTAATGATTAATGAACATTACCAATAATTAAATTATAAATTCCGATATGTCGCTCAAACGGGGTTCAATGAAAAGTAGTCGCGTCCCACTTATTTTTATCCCCGATTACAACAACAATTCAATGTAGTAGACTATAATGGCATAATAATGAAATGCTCTAGGCATCAGGTTAGAAGTAGGTCAACGCGTATTCCAGGCGAGATCGGATTTCTAGATTATAGTGTGACGTTTTCTTGCATCAACCAACGCACGCTTAGACTTTGTAATAATAACATGCGTCTGATGGCGGCGAGGTGGCCGGGCAGTGTGAACACCTCGTTAGTACTATTAAAGTATTTTTAAAGTTGCCAATGAATTATGTCAACAATTTTGAAGAGAAACGTGATGTGTTTATTTAAGTGATCAGAGTGATCTGTATCGCAAGAGAGAAATGAAGCAAAAAATTTAGAACTTAAAATATACTCTTTGCTATAAGATTTCTGTGAGCAAAATTTAATGCATCGCAATAATATGAGAAAGAACTGATAAATTTAATTGTATAGCCTCCGATGTTAGGAAGAAGTTATGATTGATATTTTTAATAAACGGCCCTTGTATTCATGGATGAATTCAATTCCTTTACTTCAAGTCTTCAACAATCATTGTCATACTGTAGTCAATTTATTTAATACCCTAAAATAAGCATTCTTTGTTACGAATTACCATATCCATTGGTAGATGTACATCGGTAGTTTTTGAATTTATCACATTTAAACAGATAGTAGCTGAGGTTTGTAGTTAGTCCGAACAAAATTTATCAGAGACATATTGCAAACAAACAACTAATATCTAACTGTGCTGTGAAAAAGGAAGTCACGATTTCAATAATAGTAACAGCCTTATCGTCGGTTAATATTTTGTCTGCAGATAACGAGAGAAAAACAATAGCACAACCGTGATGTGGTTAAACAAAATTGTGTATTTAGTTTATCAGGAATTTAAGATATTTCAAGGACTTTGTAATGACTGCAATGAAAATAACACAAAAGCATCTCTATAGAAAACAAGTCCTTAAGTACATATGTTAATATTCAGTGTGGATAAGTTTGTTAATAATATAAATAAACTGTTAGGAGAAGTGGTATATAATAATAATGATATCTATACGTCTGTATGGTATTAAGTAGTAATCTGTAAGACTGCTTTCGATTCTTATGATAATGAATTCTACATATAAAATGCCATTGGAGAAAATTAAACTAAACAGACTCAACATTACACAGAAATTACAATCACTCAGATCAGGTAGGCTGAATGAAGACGCCAAATCATTTCTGATCTTTTTTCCAGAACAGATTAAGCTGAATGACATACGTTGCTACTTTGATATATCAAGGCTTGAGCGTCACCAGCTACTGTCAAATTAAGTTAAAGCAAATGAAATGGGGTTTTTGTTATATTCCAGGTGAAATTGTAGTAACAAAGTTTCAAGACGATAGACGACGAGATAATGTAAAGAAACATTTGCTAACAGTTCAGACTTTTGTAGATGAAAGTTTCCATTTGGAACTAGAACTGTCTTAACAAATGCCGAATAAAACCATAAATGAATTTGAATTTTCTTAAATAAGCTTGTACCAACAAGTAGCACAAACTTTTATATATTTCAACATAATAATGTTATCGTTACAACAATTTATATTATAGTTTCGTGAAAAATTCTATAATAACGTTGTTAATGACATAACGTCCCTTTAGCACGACTTCCAAATGGATAATCATTACTCACTGGCTCATGGTATTCCCCTTTCGAGGGGTGAACATTTTGGGTGCGTTTTTGTGACTCGGGGAAACGGTTAGATACAATTTATATCGAGGTGTTAACCTTATCGAGTGCTATTTCCGATTTCAAATTGCTATCACGGCACACGATGAAGTTTACAAATTGCAGTAATTTTATTGTCAGTATAAAAAAAATTATAATTGAGAGAATTAAACGAATTAAACGAATGAAGAGAATTAAAGTAAATACATAATCACATAGAATAGCATATCGCTGTTAATTTAATACCAATTTCAGTTTAATTATTTCCAGCTCTCAAATTTTTATATTCGATTCCCCACTATTCTTACATAGTTCCAACTATAAATATCATAGCGACATATATTTCGCATGCCGGCCAATGTTCATGATGTCGCGATTGCTTCGGTTCCGGATTCGATTCCCGGATCAATTTAGAAAATAAATCAATTTTTCTATATTGTCTCGGGTCTGGGTGTGATGATGCCTTCGTTGATTAGCCCTTCGGCTATGATGGCTATGCTTACGTGGAATTTGAGCACGTATGTGATGCGGCCCAATATTTATTTATTTAGTAATTGGCGAAGCATAAAATTAGGAGTGAAAAATATAAAAGAATGTATACTTAATAATGAAAGATAGAAACGAATAAAAGCTAGTTTACTGAAATAGCCTAACATTAAACGCCTACAAACGGGTTCGTTACAATTTCACAGTGTACCAACTGTCGCTAATGGCTTTAACCAGTTTGCATTTGGCAATATTTGTCGACTCCCACAGCATCTCGTGTGAGAACCTGCCTAATTCGGATTCCAAGTTGTTGCCAGTACAGTGTGTAACTGTTACCAACGCCTACGCAACACCACACATCGATGTACACATTTTATCGATAAAGAAGCGGCTGCATGCTAAACATGGAACGAGAAAACTATGCATAAAACCTTTTTAATTATAATACAAATTGATAAGACACTGCCGAAGTAACGAAGAAGGTTTGACTAATTGGATTATTAAAATAAGATAAGAAACTTGGATTTTTGTTCTTAGGGACGAATACCTCGAAGAATCTATGTGAAAAATATATGGCCTCTTTCTCCGTCGTGGGCACGAACAAGCGATTTGTCGTTGTTGGACGTTGCTTTTGTAGTGTTCGCCTTCAACGCCCAACTGATAGATCATAATAATATCAGTAATAAATTGATGCGTTTTTTTCAATGATTTATATTAGAGATAATTCTATTGAACAAAACCATTGATCTGATGCCAAAGCAAGTACCTTGAGCAATTGTATCACAGAAATGAGAAACAGCATGAGATCACAACTGACAGAACAATAAAGAATTATTTTTACATTGATAAACTCAGTAGGTATATAATGGACTTGTGCGTTTCTGTACATGTTTTTGATGGGAACTCATTTGTTTTTGTAGGTAGTTCTCATTTTTTTCTTTTCGGGTGTTATATCATGTGCGTTAGTTACGGGCATCAAAAATTACTCACTCTCTGTCTCTGTGGACCTTTTAAAAAGGCGTTAATGTATTGGTTTTAGATAAATCATATGATAAATCTGCTCGTCGAACGCATCTACAATAAGTATTATATTCAGAATACAACCAAAAGCCACTATTTTTTTCAGTATTTATATTTCAGAATAGAAACCAAAGCCACTATTTATATGCTTGACCGCATAAACTGGAGAATCAAC